AACAGCTTGATGGTATATGAAAGAGTTAAATTATTGGTTATTATGCGCCCAATCAGCAAAATCCTGCGTGATATTTTCGCCTTTTAAAAAACCAATAGGGGTTTTTGAGTAATTGATATTAAATTTATTTTTAACGATGTAACGATGATAAAAACATTACTGTAATTGATAAAATTGATACATGATTTACGATTATTGCAAATATTTTGGTAAAAGTTGTATAAATCATCATATACGAGTAAATTGGTATGTCTTTGACTGTCTATACAGTTAATTTGCGTTTGTTGATAATAATCACGTTCTTTTATTGTACTTATTATATATGCAAGTGGAAAATAAGTTTTTTACAGCCTAGGCACTAAATTGAACTTTCACTTGCTTCTTTTCAAGTAAAAGTATTATACACACATATGCGAATAGTTGTTGAATCATTTACGAGCGCGATTCGAAACGACTTTTGAAGCAATTAATAAAAATAAATTCTAAACTTTGAAATTTACACATAAGCTAATAAAATGCATTTTAAGTAAATGCTATTTTTAGTAAAACTGCGAATTGCATGGCAAAATCACTTCTCATTACTTTAAATTACGTAATAATTTTTACATATTACTCCTTCTTATTTCATAAAATTTTTAACATTTAAAGTTAACGCATACTTGGCACAGGTTTCATTTTTGATCTTCAAACAATTTTAATTTTGTGTATGTTGAACTTGATGCTTTCTTTGCCAGTACGGATGCTAACTATGTCAGTAATGTCTGGTATGCCGGAAAAAGCCGGTCAAAAGTGCAAAGTAATCACCGTCATCTCGCAGGACCACATGTCTGTAGTCTCTGCGATCGTGCAGCATGTTGCACGCTGCGCAACGAATCATTGTGAAGCCGAAGAGCTCGAGGAACAAGTGTAAACGCCCAAGAAAACACATTTAAACTTTAACTTGCAATATGTTTACGTATTGGAAACATTTAAAATTCTTTTCGGACTTTAATCGTGAATAACTTTTTGTCCATTAGTCTCAGATTCATAAGAAATACTCTAAAAGACGCAGATTTTAATTCTAAAGTAATTTTTCAAACAATTATAATGTCACACAAGTAGTTCACGTGCAATTAATTAAATAATTATACTTATAGAACAATTCCTTTTATGTCACTTAAAAACACAACAAATTTATTATATTTAATAAACTTATTATGCTCTATTTCCATCGTGATTTTGATTGATATTTGTTTAATGACAAGTGTTTATCATTCCGGTAACAATTCTGTATTTCTAATTCAAGTTACAGGTGAATTAAGTGAATGTGAATTGTGAACGTTGCATTTTCCTCCAAAGGTCAAACACTTCATTTACTTTTTTTCTAGTAGCTAAGTACCTGCTTACTACAACACGTAGGTACCTACCTACCAGTATTTTTCTGCAATAAATTCCACGCCGCAATTATGCAGTAATCGAAAAATTATAATAAACAGAGTAATTTTCTTTTCACTCCTCTGATAGACATAAACGCTGAAACAAATCGGTTTTGTAGTTTACCAACTTGAAGGCAATGTAACATATTACAGGCTTTAAAGTAACGAGATTTACAAGCCGTACAAGTTGGCTGTTAGTGTTAACCTGTTACAATTGCAAGAATTCGGTCGACTGCTGTGAATGGCTCGCATGCTCGAGTTCTGGTTTATTGTGCACATTGCGCATTGTGTTTGCTACAGTTTTAATTCCGAATGAAAGCAAGGTGTTTCCCATTCTGTTCAATATGTGATAATATAGTCATGGTAACCTTACTTGGTGATCAATCTGGAAGTGTATCGCTTTAACAACACCTTAACAAATCGATTTATTTTGTTTTTATTTTGTTCGAGTAATCACTTAAATCACATTTTTCATTTTCCATTTTTGGATTCAATTTCATTTAAATCTGCACTTAAGTCAAATGAGGGAATGGGCGATCGATTTTTTTATATGGGTTATGGTTGTGATAAGAACATGGAACTGAGTGAATATTTTGTAGAAGTTATGAACCGATTTATTCAATTTTTCGCTTTTATTTTGAAAATTAGCCTTTGATTAAATTAAATTATTAATTATTATTTAATCAAAATTTTGTACAATAAGCTGGTAATCTTTTGCTTTAGACAATTGCTTTTGACATTTACTTATGTGTTAACTAATTTCGTGAAATTAATTAATAACTAGATATATCAACACTAGTATTCTATGCCCCGATTTGCTGTATTTTACAATCAATTTTATTTATTACTGGACAACTTGGTACGCGATAAAATCGAAACTGTGCATATCAAGCAAGTGCACGAAATGAATGTCGGCTTGTCGAGCGCTGCGTGTGAATTTCCTTTTAGTCTTATATAACAAGAATGTGTAACGGCGTGGCGAACGCCGCCCACAAATGAAAATTTGCACGCCGGCGAAGAATTCATGCATAAATTAGTCTCGAGTAATACACGATAAGAAAGGAAAATTAAAATCTAAGAAGCGCTGGAAATTATCTTTTAATTTGAGGCATTTTCATGGTTTTATCGCACTACATCAAATCTTGTGGAATTATTTTTACTTAAACTCTATACATACGAGTATGTATAACTTTTAAGATTAATTAAAACTAAATTTATTGTTGTCTAGACTTTTTACAGAGCTTGTACTTTTTGAAATTTATTAAGTTCGTTTTTATAGTCATTAATATCCGTAATTCTTTTCTAATTGGAAGAAGTTTAAATGGCTATGGGATTATGAAGCATATCCCATTAATCCGACTTTAATTCTTCGTAACATTGTTATAAATCTGAGGAACTTTTCGTAAATGAACAAATGCTATGAATTCTTAAGAAATTTTAGTCTTGTCGAGTTTATTTGTGGATTTTACAAACTTTTAATATTCTAATGTTTATTGTCCACGCAAATAGAATGCAACAATAAAACGGTAAAAGTTCTGATCTGTTGACCTATTGACCACAACTTTACGATTTGATTTTCCATCGCGATAAGTGATTGTTAATACAGTGAATATTCACACTTATCTCCTCAACATCAACGCCATCATCACCTCATTGCGCACCGCTGCACGATTTTAATGCCAAATCACGCTGGGCTTAAATTAAACGACACATTCTGCCTCTCCGAATGCTTAAAATGCAATTGGAAATAAAACACAAAACGAGTTCTTTTCCAAAGCATATTGAGAATCCACGTACTCACAGTACAACATACCATAAACACCAACTAACGCATAACATTATAGAAATTTCAGTTTTTGTTTGAGCTCTCTGAGCATGCGCATAGGTGAGATGAGTATGCGAACCGAACGTGGCACAAACAGACGAACGTGAAATACTGTTACTCAACACACTTTCGACTCTTTGAAAACTACTCTTTATCCGACGTGCGAGTTGCGATTTTTTGTGCTGCTGATCTTTGTTCATCCTAGTTATAAAAATTACCAACGAGAAACGTACAAATGAATATGCAATGCTTTAAATGACAAAATCGTAAAGTGACAATTCCGATACTACTTATCTTTGTTTATAATTTATGTTTATGAATTATTATTAAGATTTAACAACAACAATGTAACAAATCTGAGATATCTTCATCTCATTCGGAATTAAGTCGTACCGAAAGCAATTTATTAAACAATAACGCGCATTAACTTAATAAGTAAAACCGCAAACATAAACAAGTAAGCGCAGATCTCATTACCGATAAACCCACGTAAATTTTTATTTTAAATTCAATTTATTTTGACGCGCCTACTTCCGACTGCCGCAGACGTTTCATCAACACCCAAATTAAACTTTAAAGAATGCGCTCGAGAAATTAAGAAATCAAGACGTGGGAAATTAACTTCCATTCTTTCCTAATTTTTCTCTGCTCGTTTGTGTCTCTTTCACGACACGTAAAGTTTAAGTTTATAGCTTTAACTTTGCATAAAACACAAGCCAAGCAAGTTTCTTTTGTCGTAAACAAAGCGATTACGCAAGCAGGCAAGATGGCGACAGTTTTAATTATGTGCAAATTTAATTTTCATAAAGCCAGCTCGTTTCTGTTTGTAGTCGACTACTGAATGGATTGAATTAAACATGAATGCCTTAAGATGGTTTTCCGGTAATTTGATTGCAATATAATTGAATTTATTCAATAATTTTCCTTCGCTGCTGTTTTTACTTTTCACGAGCGATTTTTTGCTCGCTAGAGTGTAGAGTGTGCCGGTGAACTTGTACTTAGAACTTTGAGTCGGGCAGACGAGCGCGTGTGCAACAATGCATCATAATAAATGCTAATCGTGGCTTTTAAGCGCGTCCGCCGAGCGGAAACAATTAGATTTCGTCTTCGCCTCGGGTCGAATTAACTCGTTCGGATCTAGGCGGAAAGTACGAGCGAATTTGTTGAATTAATGCGCGCACGTTCTCGGTAAGTCGTAAGTTTTCCGACCTTCCAGCGCGCGCAAAAGTTTTACATAATGTGTGGAATATTCATTACGTTATTATTGCTGGTATTATTAGTCAGTCATCTTTACGCATAATGCACAGACATGATCAACATTGGGTTTTGTATTTATAAAGGATAAGTGTGGTATAGGCATAATCTATATGAAGAAAGTGGTGTTAGTTAGAGCATTTATAACTAAAGAACGGCTGGACAGAATTTGATAATCTATTATTTGTTAGATTACTCTTTGCCTTGAATAACAGAATATCTTTGAAAATACTAAAAATTGTGTTGTAAAGGGTGTTAACTATGGGATGAAACGTGAGATGGCACAAAAATGTAATATTTGCAATGTTTGTTGCTTTTAAATTAAATAAAATATCCTAAACAAAAAAATACATTTTTACCAAAAACTACGGATATTTTAGGAATTTCTTTGCTCATATTTCTTGTCATAATGACAACGTCAAACACTACATGCCTTAAAATAACGTAATTTTATGTGTTTCACTTGCAAACATTAAACTTAATTTTCCTTGTGTTTTCTCTTGCAGATTAAGTAAAAATGTCACATCACAGCGACGATAACATGCTGATAGCGACGAGCGACTCCTTCTGGGAGCCAGGCAACTACAAGCGCACCACCAAGCGCATCGAAGACGGCTATAAGTTGTGCTCGGACCTTATAGCACTCGTCACCGAGCGCGCCGAGATCGAGAAGAACTACGCCAAGAACCTGAAGGCGTTCTCGAAGAAGTGGAACGACCTCATCGAAAAGGGCCCCGAGTACGGCACCACCGAAGCGGCGTGGAAGGGTGTCCTCGTCGAGGCGGACCGCCGGTGCGATGTGCACAATCGCATCCGCGACAACCTCAACATCGAGGTGATTGGCAAGATCAAGACGTGGCAGAAGGATAATTGGCATAAGGTAACACACAATTTTAATTATGATTAATTATCGCATAAATGCATAAACAAAACCAAAAGTGAAAGCGGTTTTACTTGGAAAGATGAGAGTTGATTAGATTGAATATGAATTGAGAGAAACGTGCGACTTTTTTTAAAAAAACAAACAAAATTTACGTAACGATGTGAATTTTTTGCTTCAAAATAGATATTACTTATTATCTTGTTGTTTGTGTAGAGTATGATGCAAGTTAAGGAGAGACGAGACATGGAGGAGGCTTTCAAGAAGGCGCAGAAACCATGGGTGAAGTTTCTGCAGAAGGTGGAGAAGGCGAAGACAGACTATCACACGGCGTGCAAGACTGAGAAGTCCGCTTCTAATCAGGAGCGGAATGCATCGGGCGATAGCTCAATTTCACAAGACCAGGTAAAATAATACCCACTTTTAAACATGGACAACTAATTGTTATGTCTGCATTAACATACTGTTTATTTCTTTTGTTTAACGTTACTATTATAATCAGAGAGCTGGCGTGGTCAGTATATTAACTAAGTTTACATAAGTTATGTAATAAATCATATATTTTGCTTTTTGATTTTAGATTAAGAAGATGCAAGACCGCGTGCAGAAATCGAAGGACGACGTGCAGAAATGCAAGGAGAAGTACGAGCTAGCCCTGCAAGAGATTAACGGATACAATCCGAAATACATGGAGGATATGCGGACTGTTTTTGAGACGTGTCAGGAAAAGGAAGGCCTGCGATTGGAGTTCATTAAGGATACCCTCTATCATATACACAAGCATTTAAACATTTACAAAGACTCTGCGTAAGTTTGCGTCTAACTGCAAAGTGAAGCATTTTTTAAGTTGATTGTATTTTTTAGATTGCCGTTAATTTATGAAGAATTATATCACACAATCCACAACGCTGATTACAACAAAGACTTGAAATGGTGGTCGAACAATTACGGCGTCAATATGGCGATGAATTGGCCTTCGTTTGAGGTACGTACGTTTTGCTCCGCGCTGTGAGTTTGGGTGTTGACATTGTGACAATCGAGATAAATGCATGATGCGCTCCTTTTCTCGAGAGAGTGGTCGTTGTGAGATTTTTGGTTTTAATTTCGAATTCGTGTGTTGTGCATGTTTGTGACGTAGGATTACACCGAGGAGTTCCGAGATATTTCCAAAGGTAAATCAAAGGAATCCGTTCCCACTGGCATTATGCTCATCAATCAGCGCCCGGTCGGCGAGGAACTGCATGTATGCTTATATTATTATTTTATTTTTATATTTTTCTAAAATTATTAGCCTCTCATCAATAATTTTCATGCTGTTGCTAAGTTTTACGCGAATGCACCTACATTTCATTCATTTTTATTTGGGTTAAGTTTAATTTTGGAATGTTTTTAAGAGTAATCATCTAAATGGAATCAAGCACCTCTTTAATGATATTATTGATAAGAAATGTGTGTTCCTGATCAGTAATTGGATTATTGTATTGTAGGATTTCTCCACGACAAAATCATCGGTGAAGTCTGTCAAGTCATTGCCCTCGAAAACAAACAGCAACGATAGTCAAAACGATAAGGACGATACTCCTGTGAAATCACCGCCGAAAGTCGAGAGTCCGAATCGTGCTTCCACCATAACGTGAGATAAACTGTTTGTGTTTACCTATTATTCAAGATAATGTTGAGTTTTGTCGTTTAGTAATGGATCATCAGGAAACAAAGGCGATGCTAATCCTTTCGAGGAAGAGGAATGGGACGAAAGCGATGCTATGGTTGACAATGGCGAAGCTGGTGTGCCAGTGAAAGCGCTTTATGACTACGAGGGTGCCGAAAATGACGAATTAACTTTTAAACAAGGTTAGTTTATTTAATAAACAATTAAATCTTGTCTAAAACAACTGAAAGCATTATTTCATTCATTTAATTATCAAATTCGATAAAATATTGAATTTCCTTTTATTCTAGGTGACATATTTGAAAAACTAGAAGACGAAGACGAACAGGGCTGGTGCAAAGGACGAAAAGACGGCCGCGTGGGGCTGTACCCCGCCAACTACGTCGAGCCGATCTCATCTTGAGCGGACGGCGCGTGTTAAGTTTCTTATTCTTCGTTGTTGTTACGTTACATATGCATATATAAATGAGTATTTATATCAATCAGTACCGAAAGAGAGCGAGCGAGAGAAGTACGCGAGCCGGCCGCGTAATACGCTCACGAATCGTGTTCGTTTGTTATTGTTGAAGTGCGCTCCTCATCCTCGTAAATGTAATGTATGTACGATATATGCGCATACCAAACGATAAAAACAACATGTAAACATGGTTTAAACATAAAAGCAAATGCATTCATCCAGCGCCACTCGCATTTATATTTTCTAATTTTGTTAAGTTTCGTTGTATCATTGTATTCATACGTTAGAAGCGCGGAAGTGTAGATGATTTAAGTTTAACGCGTTTAATGAATAAGTACGTACTGTGATCATTTTGTGTCAAATGCGCGGGGTGAGCGAGAGCACGCAGCATGCAGATATTAGACAAGATGCGCGCGGACGCTTTTATTTATATTTCTACGCCGTTGATAGCAGAGGCGCGCGTACGACGAATGACAAACGATGCGACGTCGGTTAATCATTTCCATTTACATTACGATTCCTGTACAAACAAAACAAAAGCGACTAACCTATGGGAACATGTTATATATATTATTGCGTTAGATGAAAGTTAGAATGTGGTTAATTCTTGTTTGTTTTCTTATCCGTTTGCGATTGAATGGTTAATCATATTATTGTCACATTTAGTATTCGTGTATGTATGTATTTAGGTATTTATTTACATACTCTCTCCATAGGGCCTACACATCATAAAATGTATTGTGTACATATAGTTTAAACGAAGCAAGCAACAGAAGTAACTGAGATATGTAACAAAATGACTAATGTAAACACAACAAAATGTAAACTATTCGGGAGGTGCACAGCGGCCATCGAAACAGTAGGCTATTTCATAATGATAAGCAAGTGTTGCAATAAACCGATTTGGTATGTTAGACGCGTTTCGATGGTCGGGTGTTTTCCTGACAAGGACGCGTAACATTATTTTGGATAAATCTTCGATTTTCGACTGAAAACACACAAAATCGTAGACGGTGTATTAATAAGGACTAAGCTCAATACTTGTAGGAATGTATTTTTCCGTCGGATTGAAGGATTTATGCGAATGCGTTCTTGAACGACCAGCGATAATAGGAAAGTGGGACACAATAATATACACCTATGTAAATATCAGTTATTTAAACATATACAAACTATTTCGAATTGCTAGCCACAAACTGGTAACAATAGTTAATCAATACGTTTCTGTTCCTTTAGTTATCACAATATCAGTATTAAAAATACGAAATTTTCAAACCCACATGATATTTTGTGGCTACCAATTCCGAAAGCAAATCAAAAAAATGTCAGTCTGAATGTTGGTTCCACCTGATGAAGATTGAAATTTATTTAAAATTTACCATACACTTATATATATATTATACATAAATAATATCTAATATTTATAGTTGTACAGAATGCGGATTAATATCTATATTTAGTTGAATAGTCTTTAGGTGAGACCACTAAACCTCTGCCTTTTCGCGCTCCCCGATACACCGTCTCAACGATGTCGATCATTTCCTGTTTGTCCTCCAGCGGCCAGTTGATTTTGTTATTGTTGCCGGTACCCAAATCGATCATTATGTGCTTATTTCTGAAGAAAAACATCACAGTGCATGGGTCGTACAATTCATACCTACAAGAAATAATATTTAAAAGATCAGTAAGTGAAAAAGAAACTTGTAAAGTATATGAGAACTTACATTTTGTTGAAATCTGGAACTTCAGTGATGTCAACCAGGTAAATAACAGCAAAGTTTTTCACTTTCTCAGCGATGCTGTACATGACCTCGTCCATTTTCATGCACGAGGGGTCCCAATCGTGTCCGAAACGTATCACCTATACATATTCCCCGTTATTTCTCTATGATTCTTCATAATAAGAATTGTTGATGTTTGGTTAGCTTCAAAAGTATGTATTAGCTTACTTACCACAACTCTATCTTCTTCTGATAAGATTGCCTGATCTACCTGCCACCCATTGTGTAAATGCGCTAGCATATAAGACATCTTGGCGAATTTTAAAGAAGTTTTTCTCGGAGAATTAAACGAAAACAAGTCGAAGAAAACAAGTTTTAATAGTAAGGTTATAGGTGATGTCACTTTTATTTGTTGTGGCAGCCAATGTCAATTCAAGGGCGTTTTGAATCTAATCGTAGCGTGCACAATTATTTTTGAATTTCTAACCTGAATATCGGTTGAACTGGCGCCAACTGACAACAGGACACATTTTTAACGTTTTTAATTCGTCACGTGTGGATTTTTTAAGATTTTTACTGCTTAAACCTTAGAAAAGTATGGATTCATATAGAGGTATGAAATTGATATTATTTAATCTATCGTACATTACTACTCCACATTTTTAGACACTACAATCATCTCAGATGATGAAGAATCTAGTGTTGAAGATCCAAGTGAAGGTATTTAAAAAGTTAAAATTTATCATTTAGAAGTTGACAACAGCTTCACATTTGTTTTAGATGATTCAGATTCAGAAGTTGTCGGTGCTACAAACAAGTTTAGAAGGATAAAGCGGATTATATCATCAGACTCTGAAAGTGATGAAGATAAAGAAAATGTAAACTTAAACTCAGAAATTAATAAAAAAGATGATGCTAAAAATACATCACAAGCAGCTAAGGTTGAAAAGTCATTCAGGGGTAAAACAAGTTTAAGTAGAAATTCTACTCTTTCTAAACCTAATTTAATAACAGAAGAAACTGAAGAAAATGAAGAAGAAACAGAAGAAAATGAAGAAGAATCAGAAGAAAATGAAGAAGAAACAGAAGAAAATGATGAAGATGCAGGAGAAGCTCATACAGATGATAACAATGAATTTAAAGACTTTTTGATTAATGACAAATTCAACTCCACTACTTTTGTTGATGAGTTTCAATTGAAAAGTTTTCCAGTAACTCCTGCTCCTCCTTTGCCAGAGGAGGAAGAGGAACTCATGCAGTCAATTTATGAACAAGCTACTTTGATAGAACCTTCTGTGACTACTAATTCACGTCGATCAAGTAGGATTTCAGGCACATTGTCAAATGTAAAAACTGAATGTAGTGAGGAAATAATTAATTCCACTGTTGAATCAGTAAAAGTAATAGAGGATTCTGTAGAAGAGATCATTATTAGTGATTCTGATTCTGAGGCAGTTTCACCACAGAAAAATTTAGTAAGTGCACTGTTAATTAATTTATACATTTGATGTTTTAATTGATTTTGTTTCTGCAGATGTTTAAAAATATGACTCCAAAAATTAATACAACTATTCGGCAAATGACTCTGCCGCAAATGTTGAAAAAGGAACCATCATTGGAAAACTCAGCAACGATAGATTCGCCGGACAGCAGTCCTGTCAAGAAACAGGTTTCTAGGATGGAGTATGTACAACTGAAGCAAAACCTTGAAGCGCTTAATCTTGATAAGCGCAAGTTAGAAGTAAGCATCTTTTAACTATTTTTCATTACATCTGGTTATGTTATAGTTTATAACCTTGGTTATGTTTACGTTTACTAGATGGCTTTGCGAACTATTCAACTAGATAAGTTACCGGACAGTGGCCGCGCATTGCTAAACAAACAAAACGAGTTTGAATTGAAGATTAAAGCAGCACAAGATCAACTGTCGCAAGTGGAAATAAAGGACGAGCCGCCACCACCATTAACATGGGGTGGTATCGAGGCTGGAACAACTCAAGTACAACCGCGCACGTTTGGCAAACAAGCTATGCAAACATATAACACTGAAAAATCGCTCACTCTCGATCGTTTACAAAATTTACATGGTTCATTGAAAACCTGCCCGACGCCTGAAACTTTGGCGGACGATCCCAAGGGACTGAAAGTAGAATTAATGCTGCATCAGAAGCATGCACTGGCATGGTTACTCTGGCGGGAACAACAGAAACCCGCTGGCGGCATTCTCGCTGACGATATGGGTCTTGGTAAAACTTTAACTATGCTTTCCCTGGCAGTAGCTCATAATGAGCTGAATAAAACAAAGGAGGAGTCTGAGTCAGAGGACGAGAATGAAACTGAAGAGGAGCAAAGGCAGTTTAAATACAATGGAGGAACTTTAATTGTTTGCCCTGCCAGTTTGTTAGGTCAATGGGTAAATGAAATCAGCGATAAGTTTGAATCTGGAACGCTTTCAGTAGAAACATATCATGGGGCTAAACGAGAAACAAAAGCGAAACGTTTGTCTAGGTATGATGTGGTTGTTACAACGTATGCGATTTGTCAGTATGAAGGCGGGTCGGATACGCCGCTTTATCGCGTAAAATGGGAGCGCATTATTCTCGACGAGGCTCACCAGATTCGTAATCATAAAAGTAAGACTTCCCTCGCCGTATTTCGTCTCGGTGCTAAACGCCGTTGGGCGTTGACAGGCACACCTGTACACAATAGGGAGATGGATTTATTTGCATTATTGAAGTTTCTGCGCTGTTCACCGTTTGATGATGTGGCCATTTTCAAGCGTTGGATTTCGACAAAGAGTGGCGGTGGTCATCAAAGGTTGCACACTGTATTATCGTCCATGTTGTTGCGTAGGACCAAGGAACAATTGAAAGAAATGGAGCAATTAACGTGTCTGCCGGAAAGAGAATGGCAATTGGTCGAAATTACTATGGACAAGGATGAGTTGGAAGTGTATCAGAAAATTCTTCTATTTTCCAAAACACTGTTCGCGCAATTTTTACATCAACGCGCTGAAAAGAACGCCGACGGAATGGATTTTAATACACCCAAACTTAGTAAGCATTAATTACAGGTAAATAGCTTTTTATTCAATTAATTGGTTATTTGTAGACGACCCTAGCAATGAATATTACAAAATGCATAAGAAGTTGGTTATGATGAACAAGCTACCAGAGGTAAAGCAATCCGATATTTTGGTCTTACTGCTGCGTTTGCGGCAGATTTGCTGCCATCCGTCCTTGATCACCGCCATGTTGGACACTGTGAGTGATTTAGGTGATGTTGAGGGGGATGCAGATATGTCCATGGACTTGCTCGATCAGCTAAACAAGTTGAATATTGAAGATCACGATGAAGGTGCACCTGAGAATGCATTGGATACAGGCGGAGCCAATGCTGGAATTGGATTGGCTGAGGCTTCACGTAATTTGCTGAATCCTTCAAATCCTGTATTTGACAAAGGACGCCAAAGCGCAAAAGTACATTTTAGAAATGATTACATATCATGCACTTCTGATATAACTTTTAAATTTACAGGTTCGCGAGGTAATTAAGGTCATACAAGAAAAGATCATTCCTGTGGACGATAAGGCAATTATCGTTTCGCAGTGGACCTCGTTGCTCCATCTAATGACACCACATCTTGATGCAATGGATATCAAATACTGTCATCTGGACGGCACCATTCCAGTAAAATCTCGCAGTGAAATTGTAAACAATTTTAACAACCCGAAATCAGGCGTACGGGTAATAAATGAATAATGCTTATTGAGTATGAATATCGTGACTATGCTAATGTTGTTATTAGATAATGTTATTGTCTTTGACGGCTGGAGGAGTCGGTCTTAACTTGGTTGGTGCGAACCATCTCTTTTTCTTGGACTTGCATTGGAATCCACAGTTAGAGATGCAGGCGCAGGATCGAATTTACCGTGTGGGTCAGCGCAAGAAAGTTTTTGTCTACAAATTTATGACAGTGGAAACTATCGAACAGAGAATAAAATGTCTGCAGGATAAGAAGAAGGAAATGGCAGAGGCTATGCTGAAGGGTGCCAAGATGCAGCATTCGAAACTATCAATGGATGACCTGAAGATGTTGTTTAACATGTGATCCATAAGAAATGTATAAGTGAAAGTTTTTATAATATAAATAGTTTAAGATATCCGTGATTTGATAATTTTATAATTTAAGGTGTTTTATATGTACAATTTGAAAATACAGCCAGTTTGGAAGTGTAGATGTGAAACTTCTTCAGCTTAAAATGCACAACCCCTTTGGTTGTTATGGTTTTTGTTGGTGTTAATTGTAAGTAATTTTTATCAGTTTTAATTTTTAAACCAAATTTTCAAAGATTAAAGAATGGTGAATGTTTTGAACTTAAATTTTCAGATCTTATCTCTGGTAAGTTACCTGCACATCGCAGGCGCGCATGCCCCTAATCTAGTGTTAAATCTAGTGCTATTATAAATCAAAGCAAGTTGCGCATGCCTTTAGTCGACTTTAGTGGGTTGTTGTTGTGGGTTGTCGCCGCGCATCTGTATGCGACGTGTTACAGCGTCGCAATTTTTGTTCGTGAACCAGCGGTTGCTAGTAATTAGCGAAAAACGGGTACTGTGCTGTGCTAATAAGTCAACTCTCGCCTACAACGTTCTCACAAAGTTGGATAGGAGTTGCAAGGTACGCATCGCGATTAGTAAAAAACTCAAAAATTACCAAGCATGTTCTCTTTCCGACTATGATGTGCTGTGGCTGATACGATGGTAAGTTTAATATTAAATTATTCGTATTATAAAAATATTCGCCTAAAATTATGTATCAGGAAAGTCGTTTCCGAAACTATTACGGAAAATTGCATTTTTATGTTTGGAGGACTAATTTTTGATGGTTTTAGGAATTTTGCACCTGAGTCTGACGTCGTAGAAGGACCATTTTTACATCAAATTGTAAATATTAAATATTTTTATCATCTTCCTAAATAACTTTTTTGAATGTCTCACAAATTGACCCCCAAAATTGCATTTTTATATATGAAGGACTAATTTTTGATGGTTTTAGGAATTTTGCACCTGAGTCTGACGTCGTAAAAGGACCATTCTTGCATCAGATTGTAAGTATTAAATATTTTTATCATCTTCCTAAATAACTTTTTTGATTATCTCACAAATTGACCCCCAAATTTGCGTTTTTATGTTTGAAGGACTAATTTTTGATGGTTTTAGGGATTTTGCTCCTGAGTCTGAATTCGTAGAGAGACCTTTCTTGCATCAGGTTGTAAGTATTAAATTTCTTTATCACTTGCTTAAATAACTTTTGTGATTATGTCACAAATTGACCCCCAAAATTGTATTTATATGTTCGCAGGACTAATTTTGGCTAGTTTTAGGGATTTTGTACCTGAGTCTGACATCGTAGAAGGACCATTCTTGCATTAGATTGTAAGTATTAAATTTCTTTGTAATTTCCCTTAATAACTTTTGTGATTATCTCACAAATTGATCCCCAAAATTGAATTTTTCTGTTCGATGGACTAATTTTTGCTTGTTTTAGGGATTTTGCACCTGAGTCTGACATCGTAGAAGGACCATTCTTGCATCAGATTGTTAATATTTAATTTCTTTATTATTATCTTAAATAACTTTTGTGATTATTACACAAATGTACTTCCAAAATTTATACTCGTGTGTTTTCTTTAATAAATAATATTTTTAAAGTATTTCTGATTTTAATTTGTTCTGTTATTTCAACCCGATCACATATTAAACCATCCCTTAAACCATTTATTTTAAAAAGTGCATGCTAGCGCCATCTGTTTATTGGAAACCAAAACTACTTAAAGTTTTGAGCTTCGGCCCGTCGCCACTAGAGGCAGCACATTACTAGTTGCCGCGAAAACTTTATCAGCCTCCTCAACTTTCTGCTCTCCGAATATTCAATCATTATTTTGTCGACTCTGTCGACGCAAAATGACACAAAATTTGGACTCAAACAGTCGAGAAACTCAGGTTTTGGTATTCGGATCGCAGAAAGTATGAGGAGGTAAATAAAGGAGGCGGTAACTAGTAATGCCGGGCAAAATTAATGTTTAAAAATATTTTTTTCAGCAATTGCAGCTTCTGTATAATTGGAATTTTTAAATTCTGTTCTCGGATTCTGTTAGCTAAAATTCTATATCGACTATTTAAGTAATTATTTTCTTAACATTGACCGTTTAGGCCTTATTTGCTAGTTTAATTAAAAAATTGTTTTTTTACATGCCAATAGGGCCTTAATCTATTAGTGTGTTACTGGTTTCCGATTCCGAATTTAATCTACTTTCAGAATCTGAAAACAGAATTTAAAAATTGCAATTATTACAGAAGCTGTATTTGGTGAAAAAAGATTTCGTCATAAAAAAGGCAAAACATTTTTCTTTTTTATGTCGAATGTTGTTTTCATTAAAATTGCAAATAGGGCCTAAACGGTTAGTACTAACAAGAAAAGTTACTAAAATAATCGATGTAGAATTAAAGTATGAATCATAATCCGAAAACAGAATTTCAAAATTCCAACTTTTAATTTTCGACATAAAAAAGAGAAATCTTTTGCCATTTTTTTAATAAAATCTTTTCTTTAAAAATTTTTTGTGCCACTTTTATCATTTTTCAATAAGGATGCCATCCTGTTGAGAATTTTTCAAGGATCACGATTATGTATTTCATTTTCTTCTAGCCCGTTTAGTTGTCGAGATAATTACGATTTAATCTTCTAATTAGGAAGGTTAAAAATTAAAAATTCGAATTTTTAAATTCTGTTTTCGGTTTCTGATTGATAATCTAATTCTACATCGATTATTTAAGTAACTTTTTTTGCTAACGTTAACCGTTTAGGCCCTATTTGCAATTTTAATGAAACATGTGCATGCCGTCGGAATAGTCTAATTTATGAAGATTAAAATAGTAATTATCTCGACAACTAAGAGGGCTAGATAAGAAAGAACTTCATATTCTTGATCCTTGAAAAATTCTGAACAAGATGACATCCTTATTGAAAAATATGAAAAATGGCACAAAAAATTTTTAAGAAAAAGATTTTATTAAAAAAATGGCAAAAGATTTCTTTTTTTTATGTCGACGATAAAAATGACTCGAGCGAGTTCGTCCCTACTCTTCGACCGAAAACATATGACAAGCATTTGACAGGTTGTGTCTTCGGTCGAAAATTTAAACTTGTTGACTATAATGCCGATGTTTGCAGGGCATTTTATGGCACTTGTGGAGGGTTTGAAGGGTCAGACAAGTATGTACATTATAAAGGGTCTCTTTAGGTATCAAAAGACGATGAGATAGCCAAGATAACTCTGTTGGAACCGGAAATACGGTGTGTTTTCTAACGCAACTTTTCGAACTGTAATGAAAGTAACAAGTTTTGAAGGGTTGTCGAGATAGCCTAATTTATGAAGATTAAATGGTAATTATCTCGACAACCAAAAGGGCTAGAAAAAAAAGAACTACATATTCTTGATCCTTGAAAAATTCTAGACAAGATGGCACCCTTATTGAAAAACTGCAAAAGTGGCACAAAAAATTTTTAAAGAAAAGATTTTGTTATAAAAAAGGCAAAAGATTTCTCTTTTTTATGTTGAAAATTAAAAGTTGGAATTTTTAAATTCAGTTTTCGGATTATGATTGATAATTTAATTCTACATCGATTATTTTAGTAACTTTTTTTTGCTTATGCCACCCGTTTAGGCCTTATTTGCAATTTTAATGAAAACAACATTCGACATAAAAAAGAAAAATGTTTTTTTTATGACGAAATCTTTTTTCAGCAAATGCAGGTTCTGTAATAATTGAAATTTTTAAATTCTGTTTTCGGATTCTGAAAGTAGATTAAATTCTAAATCGAAAACCAGTAATACACTTATAGATTAAGGCCCTACTGGCATGTAAAAAACCATTTTTTAATAAAAATTGCAAATAGGGCCTAAACGTCGATGTTAAGAAAATAATTACATAAATAGTCGATATAGAATTTTAGTTTACAGAATCCGAAAACAGAATTTAAAAATTCCACTTATACAGAAGCTGCACTTGCTGATAAATGAATTTTAAACATTAATTTTACCCGCCATTAGTTACCGCCAGAACTATATCAGCCTTCTTACACTTTCTGCGATCCGAATACCAAAACCTGAGTTTCGACTGTTTCGAGTCCAAATTTTGTGTGATTTGCCTCGCAGAGTCGACAAAATAAAGATTGAATATTAGGAACGCAGAAAGTTGAGGAGGCTGATAAAGTTTTGGCGGTGACTAGTAATGTGCTGCCTCTGGTGGTGACGGGTCGAAGCTCAAAACTTTCAGTAGTTTTAGTTTCCAATAAACAGATGGCGCTAGCATACACTTTTCAAAATAAATGGTTCAAGGATCGTTCAATATGTGATCAGGTTGAAATAACAGAATTAATTAAAATCAGAAATACTTAAAAATATTATTTATTAAAGAAAACACACAAGCAGAAAATGAAAAAGAAATTAAATATTAACAATATGATGCAAGAATGGTCCATCTACGATGTCAGGCTCAGGTGCAAAATCCCTAAAACAAGCAAAAATTAGTCTTTCGAACATAAAAATGCAATTTTCAGGGTTAATTTGGGAGATAATCACAAAAGTTAGTTAGGAAAATGATAAAGAAATTAATTACTTACAATCTGATACTAGAATGGTGCTTCTACGACGTCAGACTCAGGTGCAAAATCCCTAAAACCATAAAAAAATTAGTCCATCGAACATAAAAATGCAATTTTGGGGGTCAATTTGTGAGACTATCACAAATGTTATTTAGGAAAATGATAAAGAAATTTAATACTTACAATCTGATGCAAGAATAGTCCTTCTAAGATGTCAGACTCAGGTGCAAAATCCCTAAAACCATCAAAAATTAGTCATTCGAACATAATAATGCAATTTTAAGGGTAAATTTGTGAGATATTCACAAAAGTTATTTAGGAAGATGATAAAAATATTTAATACTTACAATCTGATGCAAGAATGGTCCTTTTACGACGTCAGACTCAGGTGCAAAATTCCTAAAACCATCAAAAATTAGTCCTTCATATATAAAAATGCAATTTTGGGGGTCAATTTGTGAGACTATCACAAATGTTATTTAGGAAAATGATAAAGAAATTAAATACTTACAATCTGATGCAAGAATGGTCCTTCTACGATGTCAGACTCAGGTGCAAAATCCCTAAAACAAGCAAAAATTAGTCTTTTGAACATAAAAATGCAATTTTAAGGGTTAGTTTGTGAGATAATCACAAAAGTTGTTAAGGAAAATGATAAAGAAATTAATTACTTACAATCAGATGCTAGAATGGTCCTTCTACGATGTCAGTTCGCCTGCTATACGCCTAAAACAAACAAAAATTAGCACGTCGAAGCACAAAAATGACATTTTTGCAGGTTTGCCGTGTGATAATCACAAAAATTATTTATGAAAATGATCAACAAATTCATTACTCACATTCTGATGAAAGAATCGTTGTCCTAGGGCAATTTGTTCGCCTGTTAGACACCTAAAACAAACAAAAATTAGCATATCGAAGCACAAAAATGACATTTCTGCAGGTTTCCCGTGTGATAATCACACAAATTATTTATGAAAATGATAAACAAATTCATTACTCACATTCTGATGAAAGAATCGTTGTCCTAGGACAATTTGTTCGCCTGCTAGACACCTAAAACAAACAAAAATTAGCATATCGAAGCACAAAAATGACATTTTTGCAGGTTTCCCGTGTGATAATCACACAAATTATTTATGAAAATGATAAACAAATTCATTACTCACATTCTGATGAAAGAATCGTTGTCCTAGGGCAATTTGTTCGCCTGCTAGACACCTAAAACAAACAAAAATTAGCATATCGAAGCACAAAAATGACATTTTTGCAGGTTTCCCGTGTGATAATCACACAAATTATTTATGAAAATGATAAACAAATTCATTACTCACATTCTGATGAAAGAATCGTTGTCCTAGGGCAATTTGTTCGCCTGCTAGACACCTAAAACAAACAAAAATTAGCATATCGAAGCACAAAAATGACATTTTTGCAGGTTTCCCGTGTGATAATCACACAAATTATTTATGAAAATGATAAACAAATTCATTACTCACATTCTGATGAAAGAATCGTTGTCCTAGGACAATTTGTTCGCCTGCTAGATACCTAAAACAAACAAAAATTAGCATATCGAAGCACAAAAATGACATTTTTGCAGGTTTCCCGTGTGATAATCACACAAATTATTTATGAAAATGATAAAGAAATTTAATACTTACAATCTTATACAAGAAAGGTGGTTCTACGATGTAAGACTCAGGTGCAAAATCCCTAAAACAAGCAAAAATTAGTCTTTCGAACATAAAAATGCAATTTTGAAGAGTTAATTTGTGAGATAATCACAAAAGTTATTTAGGAAAATGATAAAGAAATTAAATACTTACAATCTGATGCAAGAATGGTCCTTCTACGATGTCAGACTCAGGTGCAAAATCCCTAAAACAAGCAAAAATTAGTCCTTCGAACATAAAAATGCACTTTTGGGGGACAATTTGTGAGATAATCACAAAAGTTATTTAGGAAAATGATAAAGAAATTAATTACTTACAATCTGATACTAGAATGGTCCTTCTACGATGTCAGACTCAGGTGCAAAATCCCTAAAACAAGCAAAAATTAGTCTTTCGAACATAAAAATGCAATTTTAAGGGTTAATTTGTGAGATAATCACAAAAGTTATTTAGGAAAATGATAAAGAAATTAAATACTTACAATCTGATGCAAGAATGGTCCTTCTACGATGTCAGACTCAGGTGCAAAATCCCTAAAACAAGCAAAAATTAGTCCTTCGAACATAAAAATGCACTTTTGGGGACAATTTGTGAGATAATCACAAAAGTTATTTAGGAAAATGATAAAGGAATTAATTACTTACAATCTGATACAAGAATGGTCCTTCTACGATGTCAGACTCAGGTGCAAAATCCCTAAAACAAGCAAAAATTAGTCTTTCGAACATAAAAATGCAATTTTAAGGGTTAATTTGTGAGATAATCACAAAAGTTATTTAGGAAAATGATAAAGAAATTAAATACTTACAATCTGATGCAAGAATGGTCCTTCTACGATGTCAGACTCAGGTGCAAAATCCCTAAAACAAGCAAAAATTAGTCTTTCGAACATAAAAATGCAATTTTCAGGGTTAATTTGTGAGATAATCACAAAAGTAATTTAGGAAAATGATAAAAAAATTAAATACTTACAATCTGATACAAGAATGGTGCTTCTACGACGTCAGACTCAGGTGCAAAATCCCTAAAACAAGCAAAAATTAGTCTTCCGAACATAAAAATGCAATTTGAAGGGTTAATTTGTGAGATAATCACAAAAGTTATTTAGGAAAATGATAAAGAAATTAAATACTTACAATCTGATGCAAGAATGGTGCTTCTACGATGTCAGACTCAGGTGCAAAATCTGAAAGATTTATACACCCAGTTTAATTTCAAGGTTCTTGATTTAAAAAAGTTTTTTACTAGATTTGACCTTGGAATTAAACTGGGTGTATAAATCATTCATTGGAAACAAAATTATAATTTTATTATAACAACTAAATATTTGACTAGAATGTGTGCTAACTCATGATTATAAACGTTTTATGTTATTTTTGATAAATATAAATAAAGATTATAGTTGTTTTAATAATTTTGCAACAATATTGAATATATGTAGTGCCTGGTGTAAAATCGAGGTGTATGTTGGGTTGCCTACATTGTAACTGCAAATACTTAATTTTCCACTCCTCCAGGTTTTTGATTTAAAAAACTTTTTTACTAGATTTGACCTTGGAATTAAACTGGGTGTATAAATCAGTCATTGGGAACAAAATTATAATTTTATCATAACAAGTAAATATTTGACTAGAATTTGTGCTAACTCATGATTTTAAACGTTTTATGTTATTTTTGATAAATATAAATAAAGATTATAGTTGTTTTAATAATTTTGCAACAATATTGAATATATGTAATACCAGGTATAAAGAGCTGTATGTTGGGTTGCCTATATCATAACAGCAAATTCTTAATTTCTCACTCCTCCCTTAACCGAAGCATTTTAATGGCTGCCGCGTCGTCTCAGGCTTGTATCGAATACCTTATAAATTCTAACTAAAAACTACCTGAAATCAACGATGGCCCAACGCTTCCCTGGGCCAGGCATATTTGCATTCAAATGCAAGAAAGCTGAGCAATTATTCAACCTTCTACAGCATAATATCCAAGTGAGAAACATGAGTGAAGAAGGTCTGGATGTGAATAGTTTGCTAAACATGCAACAAAGCAATCAGAACCAAAGAGAAGTCCAAAGAAGAAGCGCTGTCAACTCACCAGAAGGATATTTGAATCCTGTGAGTAATGGAACTGTAAGTCGGCCGCCATTGAGTCGCCCAGGGAGTATAACCAGCAATGGCCCAACAACTCCACCACCTAACGCTACAAATCCACAAATTCCACATCCGGAAACCAACAATAACAAAAGCAGCAGTGGGAATTCTGTAACAGTAAGGCAAAACTCATCTGAACATGCTTATCTCAACTCTGAAGTCATTAACAATACAGAGGTAGGTCATCAGTACATTAATCTACCAAATGGTGAACCTCACACGAATAGAAACGTTTATATGAATATTGATACCAGAATGGTCCTTCTACGATGTCAGACTCAGGTGCAAAATCCCTAAAACCATCAAAAATTAGTCCTTCGAACATAAAAATGCACTTTTCGGGATCAATTTGTACGATAATCACAAAAGTTAATTTAGAAAATGATAAAAGAATTAATTACTTACAATCTGATACTAGAATGGTCCTTCTACGATGTCAGACTCAGGTGCAAAATCCCTAAAACAAGCAAAAATTAGTCCTTCAAACATAAAAATGCAATTTTGGGGGTCAATTTGTACGATAATCATAAAAGTTATTTAAAAAAATGATAAAGGAATTAATTACTTACAATCTGATACCAAAATGGTCCTTCTACGATGTTAGACTCAGGTGCAAAATCCCTAAAACCATCAAAAATTAGTCCTTCGAACATAAAAATGCACTTTTGGGATCAATTTGTACGATAATCACAAAAGTTATTAAATGAAAAACCTTTCAGTGAGATGAAACTAAGGACAATTCTTTCCTTAGCAAATGGTTTATATGGAGCTCTCCTATTTTCCCAATTTAAATACCGTATGTTATGAAGAATTTTCCGAAGATTTAGAATCTTAAATCCAAAATAATTGGAATTGACAAAACCTAGACAAAAAAAGAATAGGGATGGTTAGGGCGGAATTCCGCTGTATTGCATCTTCAAGTACAACCCTTGCGCTTTTGTAAGCGAAGGAAAAACTAAACAATTTTGAGATCAGCGGGTACGCGACTATCTTATGTATTTGCAACATACGGAAGAACGCGATAAATCAAAACAACGTAAATACAAAGTAATGGAGGACGCAGAAATTAAAACGATAAATATAATTAAATTATAAACTTACCAATGCAAAACTCATGAACTCCAAGGCACAGCAAAAACTGTAAATAAAAAGAAAAAAACATAAGTTAAAACAAAAATATTTCATACGGTTGAGTAATATTATAATCACACAGCAGAGAAAAACAAACAATCTGTGCTGTTTGATTAAAAGTTACTTACACCAGCACGATGGGTCATCCTCATGATGAATATCAAATCAACATGGGGGCGATACACTTAACCGGCATTTATGGACTATATACGCGCAAACAGTAAATAACATTATTATAGTCGATTGATGAGCGAATATAATGCAAATTTAGAAAGTAAATGTCCGGACAAACAATACGAGTGGTGTAAAATACACGTGAACCAAACAGAGACCGGCACGAAACTGGCTGCAAACTGTGCAAGCAACAACGCGACAGTATCTGATAAGAAAGCAATAGATGCGCAAAGCCGACGGTGCGTCGATGGCACGCGTCATTGTGCGCGACTTGCAATAGACACGGTACCTGTGATAAGAACTAAACCAAAATTTGCTGCATGCGACAGCGCGACGAGAATCTTACGCGTAGCATCTCGCACGGCGAATGCAATAAGAAAGTTGTTTATGCACAAACGCTGATAATAGAGTTGTCTTCGAAACGAATACAATTATATTTTATGATTTTTAGTTCATGCTAGTACCATCTCTGATTAGAATCTACGATGCGACAGTTCACAGCAAAACTCTGAACCTTTGTAATAGATTGTAATACATGCGCAAAGCAGGCGACGCGACGATAGCACGCAACCTTGTGCACAAATTGCAATACACGCGGTACCTGCGAAATGAATTAAACTAAAATGTGCGACAGCGCAACGATAGACGAGAATATTACGCGTAGCATCTCGAAAATCGTGGAAATAAATTGCAAAATGGGCAAAAATTGAAAAATGTCACTTTTTAGTACTTTTAGTGGCGTTTTTTGACCTTATACTATAGGAAATATAATTATTTTATATTTCTATCTTATAGAGAATTTTCCAATCTTTCATAATCAGCAATTCGTTGGATGCTATCTCTTTTAGTTTAAGAGATATTAATTATCAAAAATCGTCGATAAAAAGTATCAAGCACCCCCCCTTGGCAATTTTTTCTTAAGAATTAAAATTTCATCTCTCATATTTCTGTTTTAACTATCCTATCTTATAGAGATTGGTCCGTAGATTAAGACGCTGCGATCAGATCTTAAATATCTCTTTTAGTTTACGAGATATTCGCGATTGAATAAAATGGGCAAAAATTGAAAAATGTCACTTTTTAGTACTTTTAGTGGCGTTTTTTTACCTTTTACTATAGGAAATATAATTATTTTATATTTCTATCTGATAGATAATTTTCCAATCTTTCATAATCAGCAATTCGTTGGATGCTATCTCTTTTAGTTTAAGAGATATTAATTATCAAAAATCGTCGATAAAAAGTATCAAGCACCCCCCCTTGACAATTTTTTCTTAAGAATTAAAATTTCATCTCTCAGATTTCCGTTTTAACTATCCTATCTTATAGAGAATAGTCCGTAGATTAAGACGCTGCGATCAGATCTTAAATATCTCTTTTAGTTTACGAGATATTCGCGATTGAATTAGGCAAAAATTGAAAAATGTCACTTTTAGTACTTTTAGTGGCGTTTTTGACCTTTTGCTATAAGAAATATAATTATTTTATATTTCTATCTGATAGAGAATTTTCCAATCTTTCATAATCAGCAATTCGTTGGATGCTATCTCTTTTAGTTTAAGAGGTATTAATTATCAAAAATCGTCGATAAAAAGTATCAAGCACCCACCCTTGACAATTTTTCTTAAGAATTATAATTTCATCTCTCAGATTCCCGTTTTAACTATCCTATCTTATAGAGAATAGTCCGTAGATTAAGACGCTGCGATCAGATCTTAAATATCTCTTTTAGTTTACGAGATATTCGCGATTGAATAAAATGGGCAAAAATTGAAAAATGTCACTTTTTAGTACTTTTAGTGGCGTTTTTTGACCTTTTACTATAAGAAATATAATTATTTTATATTTCTATCTGATAGGGATTTTCCAATCTTTCATAATCAGCAATTCGTTGGATGCTATCTCTTTTAGTTTAAGAGGTATTAATTATCAAAAATCGTCGATAAAAGTATCAAGCACCCCCTTGACAATTTTTCTTAAGAATTAAAATTTCATCTCTCAGATTTCGGTTTAACTATCCTATCTTATAGAGAATAGTCCGTAGATTAAGACGCTGCAATCAGATCTTAAATATCTCTTTTAGTTTACGAGATATTCGCGATTGAATAAAATAGGCAAAAATTGAAAAATGTCACTTTTAGTAGTTTTAGTGGCGTTTTTGACCTTTTGCTATAAGAAATATAATTATTTTATATTTCTATCTGATAGGGATTTTCCAATCTTTCATAATCAGCAATTCGTTGGATGCTATCTCTTTTAGTTTAAGAGATATTAATTATCAAAAATTGTCGATAAAAGTATCAAGCACCCCTTGGCAATTTTTCTTAAGAATGAAAATTTCATCTCTCAGATTTCCGTTTTAACTATCCTATCTTATAGAGAATAGTCCGTAGATTAAGACGCTGCGATCAGATCTTAAATATCTCTTTTAGTTTACGAGATATTCGCAATTCAATGGGCGAATGAGACTCAGTTATACATTCATCCACGTACGGTGCCCTGAACACGAGTCACTTCTACCACTGCCCTTGTACGGTGCCCTGAATACGAGTCACTTTTACCGCTGCTCACTTTTAAACTAAAATCGCAAGCGACAAACGCAACAAAGAATATGAAAATTTGGAAAATTTTCTACAAGGTAATAATTAAAAATAATTTTATTCCGTAAGATATATGCGATCAAAACTAAACAACACTATGCTACATGCAATATGACCAGATTGCAACGGAATACAAAAAACCTTGTTTATACACAAACGTTGATAAAGATCCCATCTATCTAAGAGTTATATAGTAAATAAAAACCAACAAATTTCCAAAATTCTCCTAAAAATGAAAATGAAAAACCATTCAGTGAGATAAAACAAGAATTCTCGACCTCTCCTATTTTCCCAATTTGAATACCTTATTTTATGAAGAATTTTCCGAAGATTTAGAAGAGTCGCGAGCCCCGAACACGAGTCACTTCTATCGCTGCCCTCTTTTAAACTGAAATCGTAAGCAACCAACGCAACGAAGAATATGAAAGTTTAGAAAATTCTCTACCAGGTAATAAGTAAAAATAAATTTATTCCGTGGGGTACTCGTATATGCGATCGAAACTAAACAAGAATATGCTACATGCGATATAAGCAGATTGCAACGCGATACAAAAAACCTTGTTTATACAGAAACGTTGATAAATATCCCATCCATCTATGAATTATACAGTAAATAAAAGTGACTTACACCAGCAGGATGTATATATATCAAATCAACATGGGGGCGATACACTTAACCGGCATTTATGGACTATATACGCGCAAACAGTAAATATCATAACTATAGTCGATGATCGAATATAATGCAAATTTGGAAAGTAAATGTTCGGACAAACAATACAAGTCGCGTAAAATACGTCCGGATTAACCAGAGACCGGTACGAAACTGGCTGCAAATTGTGCAAGCAAGAACGCGACAGTTTATGACAAGAAAGCAATAGATACGCACAGCCGGCGCTGCGTTGATGGCACGCGACCTTGTTCGCACCTTGCAATAGACACGGTACCTATGATAAGAACTAAACTAAAATGTGCTGCATGCGACAGTGCGACGAGAATCTTACGCGTAGCATCTCGCACGGCGAATTCGATAAGAAAGTTGTTTATACACAAACGCTGATAATAGATTTGTCTTCAAAACGAATGCAATTCTATATTATGCATTCTATTGTGAATTTGGCGCGCATATTTTAGTAATAAGATTAATTTAATTATAAACTTACCAGCGTATTACGGACATTACACCGGACATTAAAAATAAGGGCTGAAACAAAATATATATATGAGTCAAATCATTTCACACGACGATATCAAGTTTTGGTGGAAAAAGATATGTTGAGTGTTCAGAGATTAAGAGTTTTCTTTCTAATTGCGACCCTAAGTAAAAACTAACAAACGTTTTGCAAATATATCGCACGAGATTAATAATTAGCAAAGCACATTACCTGTGTATCATTGGAAACTAACAACAACGACCCTCTTTATCAACTCAACTCGAGTAAAGTCGACAGACATACACACGGCGCCATCTATTACCGTTATGCAACATTACGCTTAACACACATACCTACCACTGACAGATTATGTAAAAACAGCTGTAACCTGAAAATCTACGACCACAAATCGAAAATCAAATAATTGCCGTGTGCAATCAATTAAAATGGCCTCAACTATTCGCATTGGTTTTGGGCGAATTTTGTGCGTATCGCCGAGCACTGCCACCGTGCACCACATTGGCGCACGATGCATTTCTAGTAAAGCCACTATGGCCCTTAACAAGAGGGAACCCAAGCCAGCTCCTTGGGACTATAACAAAAAGTCCTACAATTTTCTCCATTCTTTGTATGACAAAACAACGAAACGATTTGATGAGAACACTAAGGTATTGTATTAGACTAGAATAGCTGATGTTAAAACTCTATTCTATTAATTAACAGGTGATTGTTGTGGAAGGACCTTGTGCAGCTGGTAAAAGTGCTCTAGCTAAACAATTGGCCACTGACCTCAACATGAGCTACTATCCTGAAGCCAATCAGGATATGGTTTACATCAATGACTATGGTTATGACACAAGAAAGTTGGATCCACAGATCCCTGAGGATTGCAGGTCTTTTGATATCAACAATTTTTTGATAAATCCCAGGCATCGTCTTACTGCTTGCTTCCAGATTCTTCAATATTCTGTCAAGTATGGTTCAATAGATTTTCATAAACACTATATTTTTATATAATTAAATCTCATATTCTTATATTTTTTTAAAGATATTCCCAGTATATTGATGCTCTGGCTCACCTCTTGAGCACTGGTCAAGGAGTGGTTCTCGACCGTTCACCATACTCAGACTTTGTCTTTGTTGAAGCAATGTACAAAGCTGGGTATATGTCGCGCGGTGCGCGCTCAGCATACTATGACATTCGTAAAAATTCAATCGTTGAATTGTTGAGACCACACCTGGTGGTCTACTTGGATGTACCTGTACCCAAAGTGATGGAAAACATCAAAAAGAGGGCGCTTCCCTACGAATGCAACTCACCGGCGTTGACAAAAGAGTATTTGCAGTCGATGGAAGACACCTACAAGCAACAGTATCTGAGTGAAATCAGGTTTGTTCTATTTTTCTGTACGTTTGCCAGATTTTCTAATAGTATTTTCCTATACAGCCGGGACGCAGAATTGTTGGTGTACGATTGGTCCAATGGCGGTGACACCGATGTCGTCATCGAGGATATCGAACAAATCGACTTCGACCGATTTGATGAACAGGACACGCAGATGCGGGATTGGCGTTTACGCCGCGAGGAAGAGTGGTCGATGGTGCGCAACCAATATGCAGACAAAAAGGAATACTTGATGTGCCACTTGAATGTGCCGAGATTTGATGTCCCCGAACTAGTCACGGAAGCTGATGATATACTGGCTTACAGGAATGTACTTGCAGAGGTAAGATAAGGCGTCTTTACTGGTTTGTGTGGTTTGTTTAAGAGCAATTGATATATTTTTACAGACTCCCGGAATGCGGTACCTTTCGGGATTCGATGCAGCTATGGGCGATGAGAATATTCTTTTCAAGAGTCCAAAACATCGTGAAACTCTGCCGAAACGCGAACGTCGAACTGATTTCTCGGGTATTTAATTCAACAAATTTTTGTTAAAGCAATTATCAATGTAAATTTTAAACCTGTATCTAAGTTAGTTCAATAAAAAAAAACAAATAATTATTTAGATTTGTTACATTCCTACTTTGGAAATAGTAATTCTTGCACCATATTTTGCATGATAAAAACCTGTTACGTTACGCTACAATACACGTTGTGGTATTGTTATTATTATAAATAAATATAAACAAATTCGGACATAGAATGCATTGACATATTATCATGTCAAATTCTACTTTCAAATCACGAAAATATTAGAGATGAACGGGAAGTAATCAAAATCTTGCAACAAAATTAAATTTCATTGAAATTTTATTTTTCAAATATTTGAAATAAATCAAAATGCCCGCCCCGGTACTTCAGGAAAACGTGTACGGTGCTGAGACATGGTACCGAGAGCTTGGCTACTACATTACCAGCAGAAAAGAACAATATGAAAGAGGTGCATTTTCGAAAATAATTGATAGTCAACATGTTGTTATTACCTTGTAATTCTTGCAGCGTGTAAATTTTTTGATACCGCCGTGGAAAAAGCCCCGAAAGACAAACGCGCTCTCCTAGGCAGATCAATTGCACGCGCTAAAGCAGTGCAATATGAGGGTGCTCTTGCCGACATCAACAGAGCATTGGAGATAAGTGAAGAATGTTTGGTATCTCAAGCTCAGAAAAGCTTATATACATATCTAAATTGCAACTTCGAAGATGCTCTGGTTGCTAATCTCACATGTCTCCCAAAGAGAAAGAAGCCAGATAACTTTTCCATGGGTGTTATGCATGTAAGATCTTTATTTCTTATCATAACCTTATATGTCGGCCATTTTTATGGTGTTATAATTTGTTAATATAGTGCCATGAAGCAATCGAAAATTGTATTGGTGCAAGAGCAGGACGTCCACTTCGCGATCACTTCAAAATCATTCGGAAATTAGCTTGGAAGAAAGCCAAGGAAGTGAATCAACCTTACGTGTACAAACCGCGCCGAAAGAAGAAGCGTAAGAAGAAGATAACTGAAGATGGCAAACACGACGCACTTGTTCCACTACACAAACGCAAACGACCCGGTGCGGTTCTATCCGATCCAAATTTGAAAATCTACGACTCTCTGTTCAGTCACCAGGAAGCCGCAGACGATATTCCACCGGGTCCACCTTTCCCATATCGTCCATTACAAGAATACACATCCAATATTGAAAATTATATGGCTGCTAAGTACCTGGAATCAATGTACCTAGATAAAATTTTCCTCAAAGACCTTAAAGATAACAGCGCAGTAGGAAATCCAAACGAAAGTAGCAGTAAGAAGATTTTACAGATTCTGAAACATGGATATAAAGCTTTATCGTACAAACAAGAACTGCTACGTGTGAGAAGACCTTTCTATTTTATCAAATTCCAAGAGATGACTTTATTGTCTCCAACTCTTCTTGCTAGACAAATGAAAGAAGACGCTAAAGTGCGCCTTAGAGTACAAGCGGATGCCAAAGCTTTACTTGCAAAGATAGAGTTGTACATAGAAAGAAAACAAACCAGAGTTGCCTTAGAAGCTGCAGAAAAATTAAAGGTGATGTGCGAAGTAAAGCACAAGAAATTCTTTCCAGATCGTGCGGAGTATCTTAAAAAGATTTACAAATTACTTGCAAGGGCGCATTTAGACTTAAAAAGACTAAATCCAAATGGTCTTGCAATTAATCAAGACAGAAGAATTTATAACATGCTAGGATATCCCATCGCGGCACAAGTATCCAAAGATTCTGTTTTGAAAGAATTCAAAGACGTATTTATTGACTGGAGGTACCAAATAATGAATTTCATTTGCCATTGGAAATTTAACTTGATGTAACTTATAACTTTTCAGAAAACAAATTGCTATTGCTGAAAAACGACTCCTCAAAGCAAGAGACGCTGAAGAACTGGCTTGGTTATACCATGATTTATCTAGATACCACGCAGAGATCAAACAATATGAATTAGGAAGAGTTTATGCACGAAAGTGTATTGCTGAAGCAAAAGAATGCGATGAAGTTAATTGGGTCATCAATGCAACTCTACTCATTGTGCGTATTAACATGCAACAGAGAAATAAAACTGATGCAAAGCAGGAGTTACAAGGAGCCATTCAAATTGCGTCAACTATGAATAATCCGACTTTATCTGAATATCTCAACCGGGTAAACATTACTTTAACCTATCAAACAACATAATGATTTTAAATTTTAAATTGTTTTACCTGGATTTGCACAGACGATGGAAATAGTTGAAGACTTCCACTTTGAAGATGCCAGCTCAAAGATACACGAGAAGCGCGAGAAACAAATCATCAGCGTGATGATGACCGCGGAACTAAAATCAGAGATCGGTCACATTTTCAGACTGATGTCGGTTATGCCAAGCTCACGACGCATGTCTGTTATGCCAGGTGTGCCATTCGCTAAATCAAAGAAATCGTCCAAAGGCAAATCATCTATCATGCCCGCCAGATCAAGAGATGAGGTCGGGACAGCTAAATCAATGATGACAGCGACTTCAACCAAACCGGCCGAACCCAACGGCGCCATGTTTCTGCAATTGATGCAATTCCATTTGGACTAATTTTTTAAAATAAATTGTGTTGTCTACTAAATCCATATTCTTATCAATCACACATTTTAAACGTCATGCATTCTTTAAATTGTTTTGTTATCGCTGTGCCTTCGATTCTCGCACAATTTACCAAAGTACTTAATATCTAAACATGGCGTTGAACACATTGACAACTTTAAAGTTCCTATTTTATGTATCTTTTATCGTGCAAGTTGCATCTCAAGAACTTGGTTCTGAACTAAACCAAATTCTGAAGTATCCCTACGAAAGTATATTTAATAACTCAACACAAAATCAAGAATGTGCTGACATTTTAGGCAATTTATCAGTATTTGAGCGGTTACCACAATGGGCAATGCAAAGTAAGAAATAAATGTAACAATTTTGTCTAAAGTATTGCAAGTAAATATTTTTTAGTGTTGGATTCAACTGGCAAAGTGCCATCTGGCCTCATGACTGGAAATATTATGAGTTTAGGTGATTACGATCAATGTATTACAATAAACGATGAAGAAACAGGTATTCGAGGAAAGTATTGTGTCACCACTTATAACTTTCAAGAAAATATTTCATCTTTACATGGCGTATGCCTGCCGGATGTTTGTAATTTTGACGAGTTTGTTTCTTTGGTTCCATTAGAAAAAAGTACTTTCGTAATCAATGACTACTTGTGTCAAACTGATGATGGTGTAATATTAGATAATGATGATATATTTTGCATGTAAGTCTTGATTTTAACTATATTCTTACATTAATTAACTTGTTTTATAGAACACTTATTGTCATTACAACACTTTTTATGTTATCTGCTACCTGTTATGACTTACACGTGAGAAAACAAGGAACCAATGGTATACAATTGAAAACTTTGTTTTTACAAACGTACATACTCTATTTTTAGCTCCTAATGGTGCCGTAGCATCGTTTTCAATTTACACAAATACCATTAACTTATTAAAAAAGAATCCTAACGACATATCATGTGTATATGGCCTTCGAGTGTTTAGCATGTTATGGATTATTTACGCAAATCGTGCCAATATTTCGATGAAGATTCCCGCCATAAATTCTTTTGATCTTTTAAACGTATGCAACTGATAATATTTCATCTAGCATAGCTTACATGACTATTTTTGTTTTAGCAAAAATTTAGTGATAGTTCGAATTACATTTATTCAGCGCACTTTGCAGTAGACACATTCTTTTACCTGTCTGGTTTTATGATGGCTTACAACACGTTGAAAAATGGCACACGTATGAAGATATTGAATATGCCACGATTTATCTTTCAAAGATTGCTACGGATATTTCCTACAATGGTTGTTTTATTTATAATTATTGTTACCATTTCTAGGAGAGTAGGATCCGGTCCAATTTATCAACTGGGTGTTCAACAGGCCAGACAATCTTGTCTTGATCATTGGTTGTCATATTTTTTCTTCTTTCAGAATTATTCAAACCCTGACAATATGGTAATGCAATACTTTTTTGAAAATGTCTTTCACTGTCTAATTTCTTTAAATTCTTTTAGTGTTTACCGCAAACATGGTATATAGCAGCAGTTATGCAAATGCACGTGTTAACTCCATTAATTCTGATCCCTTTGGGAAATTTTCAACATACAAAGAAAGCGTGGACCATTCACATCATGTTTATGTCTTTAGTTGTGTCGGCTATGTTTATTCCAATGATCGTTGCAATGAATGAAAATAATTCAAAGTAACTTTTGCACACCTTAGAAGAATTTGGAAGTTATGCTTTACTAATCGCATGATTTAATTTCAGTATTTATTCCACCCACTCACGTTTTGCCATATTTTTATTAGGGATCTATGCTGGATCGAAAGCAATCAATGTTGACAAGCACATGAAAAAAATAAATAAGGTAAATAAAATGCAAAACTAACTTTTCTCTAAACTATTTAAATTATAGATTATTTACTTTTTTATTTGGATTTTGATATTGATATTAATGGCGAGCATTGCTTATCCAGCAAGATACTTAATTCAAGAACCAAATTCGATGTTTGCTATAATGTTGGCTACTTTCGGTAGACCCCTGTGGGGTGTTTGTTTGACTTGGATCATTTTCAATTGTTTGGCAGAAAGATGTGGTATGCATTTAAAACTTTCTAATTGATTGTTCAAATATCTTCAATATTAATTAAATTATTCATTGACATTGTAGAAATGGTCAACAGATTTTTGTCACATCCAATCTTTAAATTTGTCAGCAATCTGTGTTTTTCCATGTTTGTTTTAAGTAATTTGGAAATCGGTTACCATGCTATTACTGCAAGGAATCCAATTTATATAGACCTCGTATATTTGGTAATTAATTGTTATTGATGATAGCTGATATCATTTATAATATTGTTATGTATTGTTTATGCGCAGGTACGCACATGGATCTCGGATGTGTTTCTAACCATGTTTTTCGCTTACTTATGGTCAATGCTGTTTGAACTTCCACTGATCAATTTATACAAAACTAGATATAGTAAGATATAAAATTGTCATCTTAGCAAATTATTGTCAATGTAACTTATGAATTATGTTCGCAACTTGCAGATAATCTTAAGAAGAGTGGGATCATAAGTTGCGCAATCACTGTGCAGAACGCCTAAACAATATTTAAATAAAAGTTTTAAACAAAAAAATCGTTGTGCTTTGCTTTCACTGGGTCACGACACTTTGAACCTTCCTTTTTCAAATGAGAACAAAAACATTTATATCAATATGTATAAATATATACATACACAAGAATATAATAAATCACTTGTGAAAATGCATACACCTCCGACTTTCAAACATCGATCAAAAACACCCTTTAATACATAATTTGCCTGTAAATAATAAAAGATATTAGTTTATTTACACCTGAAATGGCAGAGCCGAGATGTTTAATATTTGTAATCGTGCTGGTACGCACTTATATAACTATTCCTCCTCGTGGATGTTAAATAATTTCGCAACTTCGTTAAGGTCCTCATATTTACACTGATCTTTCAGCACTTGCCGCGCGATGCCCATGCGGTTAAACACATTCCAAAGCACAATGCCAACGATGATGTCATCCCTCAAGTAGAATATCACGCCCTTATTGTATTCCGGTGATGGTTGATCCTTGGCCTCCTTTGCGAGTTGTTCATGCTCTTGCTGCGCCTTCTTTTTAGCCTCCTCAGCACAACGCAGCTTTTCTTCGTATTCAGCTTTCAACTTGCGCTGCTTTTCCTCTTCCTCGGGAGGCAGGTAAGACATGCACGATTCAGGTACTTCTTGGATAGGAGGCACATCGGGAATCTCTTCCTTCGTTTCACTTACCTTGGCAAATACGCCAACTGTGGGCAGCGAAGAGTGCACCAAACCAATCGCCTCGTAACCAATATCTGGGCCCAAATCAGACCAGAACATGCTTTGATGATTATAGGGCTTCGAAGCGCCGGTCATGTTTTCTCCAGCCAAGCGCCCACTGATCACAGCGTTGTCGTGATGTTCAATACGTCGGCGGCCAAGCGACGGATCGTAGAAGCATGCAGAGTCACCGGCGACGTACACGTTTGATCTCGCCATCAATTCGGTATTAACCAAATAGCCGCCGAAGTCGTGGTCGACCTCCAGGCAGGACTTACTAGCTAAACCGGTCTCAGGCACAGCGCCAACGGCGACGATCACCAACTCGGAGGTAATACTCTTGCCGTTGCTCAGTTTGAGCGTGACGTTCTTGTCACTGCCAGCAGCGCCAACCACCTCGGTAGAGGGGTACACTTCAACGCCTTCGCGTCGCACCTTTTCTGTTGTCCAGGTGCTGAGGTATTCGGGGAGGACAGATCCCATGTGTCCTTTTTCTTTAAAAATTTGGTAAACCTTAAATTTTTCTAAAGAAACAAGAAAAACATTAATATTCATTAATACAAAGTTGTATTTCGTGTAAATATACTTTTTCGTCCTAAGGCACAAGCAAGTTCACTGCCAAGAAAACCTCCACCGATGATGGTAACAGAGTTGGCCTTTTCAAGCAGTTTCGAGAGGTATTGGAAATCGGCAACTGTGCGGTATGTCGTTGCGCGCATTTTGACACATTCATCACCCTTCTCGATGACATCCAAATTCTTTGGTTTTGAACCTAACGAAAAAATCCAGAAGATATTATATTTTCGGTTATTTTTTAATCAGTCAACTTACCAGTCGCAATTAATACTTTGTCATAGGCAATTTCGTATCCATCCTCCAAATATGCCTTTTTATTAGGAACATCTAAATGTGTGACGGTCCAACCGCGTGCAACTGCTACACCTCCGTTATCGGAAACGATCAAATCTTTGGTCTTCAAATAGAACTCATTTGGTTCATAATACAAACTAAAAATAAAAAAATAAATTATATTATATTCAATATTTAATGCAAGATTTGGAATATCGTACCTGCGAACAGCACCATTCCATTGCTTGAATTCCAAGTTGTCAGCGCCAGCACCATCAGCATACCACAACTCCTTGGATAGTGGTGGACGCATGTACGGGAAGTTTTCCTCGTCTGTGACAACCAGCACCTTTGCGCGTGGATCAGACGACTTAATCGCGCGGAATGCGGAGAAGGCAGCGGTACCACCGCCAATTAACAGATAGGGTACACTGTTAGGAATGTCATCCGAGCATTTCGGTTCCTTAACGGGAGGTTTCCTGGTTAGGCATGAGGTTTCCTTCTTCTTGTCCTTGAGCATCATCTTGCTTGGTATTGTGCACACATCTTTCTTATCGCGATTGAGCATATACCAAATGCCGGCAAGCGCGCCCAACAGCGCGAGCAAGCCCAGCAAGAGGTTTTTGTTAGGACCCTTGCCTTCTGGTTCATGAGGACAATCTGGTTTTGGACAGTCACTCATAAGGTTTGGGCGTGCACATTCTTGAAGATATGGTAATTGCTGAAAGTTCAAATATTATACTTAAAGATATAAGATAATTTTATTTCTTTGAATTTAAACCTTTTTATTGGAACCTTCCTTTGATACACATTCCTTGATTGGTTTCGGTTTGCACACCTTTTTCTTTTTCTCTTCACATTCATCATCATCATCATCGTGTTCCTTTTTTGAGTAGTATCTGATGCATGGTCGATTTAAATTGTGTACGCCTATGATAAATAAATATTGGAGGTTATATGAATATTGTTGTTGAATTCCGGCGAAAATCGCAAGCTGTAACTCACCCAGGCATTGTCGGGTATCAAGTTTCGGGATGACTGATGCGTTGATCCTCGGAACAATCTTATAAACACAGAAATTTCTACCGGTGCACCGAATCAAAGTGGAGACGACTTGTTGTCGACAAATGCTGAACATCTTCTTTAGTTGTTTTGGATGCGACGGCGGATCGTCGTTACGCAATTAAACCACCGCGATGCTGGCGAGCGTTTCCTTCACAGTGCAGAGAAGAATGCACAATTCGATGAGGATGAAAATGAAAACGTGCGCGTAAATGATACTAGCTCAGATCGGCGGTGAGGAGCTCATGCCGGTGCGCGTCGGGCACGTGTGCGCGTTGAATTCACTGACTGGCTCACACGCCAAATAGCAAACGGCAAAACGTAGTAAAATGATAACGAGAGTCGCGCGCCGATCTTGAGGTTTTTTTGCTGTTCGTTGGAGGTGAATGAAATTTTGAACAAATGTTTTTTTTTTCTGACAGATCAGCTCGCTAGCAACCACATCAGAAACAACGATAGTACACTGTTGCTTTGAAACTGACACTCTCACACATTGTTGTAAAGCTTATATCCCCTTTCTTTAGTAATAAATAAATATTTGAAAACATAACAAAATGGCCGAACAGCTTACCGGTCACCGCAAGCAGTTTGCATCGACGAAATCAAACAAATCAAGCGCGAGTCTGCGACAAATCGTATTCCACTGCTCCCATCCGCGAACAGAATCTGTAATCACGAGCGATGACAACAATTCTGACAATGATTAGTTTTTATCAAAGTGTCGCTTACCATGTCAAACAACTATGGCGGCCAAATCGTATGAGTCTGTGCCTTTGTGCGTTCAGGATCAGACGACAAATCTCTTCTGTATCGCTAGGAAGCGACGTAAAGCTTAGTCGAATGATACGGTTTCTATTTTCAAGTTAAATTTAGTTACTTAGCCAAAATACATGATGTACGAACGGTCCGAATGCTATAGGAGTTTTCACATTTGATAGATTTAAATTTCAAAGCCAACTTTAACATTCGCATTAATTTCAAACAAAATACATATGTCTCACATACATCGTCAATTTCAAAATGAAAAGTAACACAAAAATGCATTTTATTAAATCTACCTAAAAATATTGGTAAGTTTATACATTTTATTGATTATTTTGTTTAAAGTTTATAAAAATACATAATAAAATGCCACAACTGAAGTATAACACCCATGATTATTTGATTATATAACATTCATCATTGGATAATATCAAATATTGTGCATAAATATCATGCCTTATGAGATTAGGATTATAATCCATTAAAAAGTATTCAAGATGCTTATTGAAGAATAAAAAGTAAACTTAAAGACAACCCCAATCACTTCTTCAAAACCACAATCAATTTATGAATTCTTTCTATTACAAAATGAAAATATTGCTAGTAATTATTCCAATTAATGATAATCTGAGCCGTTTACCACTAAATTTCTGCCATGCCTCTATCAAACCACCATTCAATATCACTATCACATTTGCTAGGCTCGCATAGCTCAGATTGAGGCGTATAGCACCGACTTAAATATTGATTTCGATCCGTTATCACACATTCATCACTATAATCCATCATTTAGAACAGAAAAACAAAAATGAAATGAAAAAAATATTTAGTATAAAGGAAATGTTTGAAAGTTGTGATTAGATTGAACTGCTAGAATCTCCAGGAAAGTGCAAAAGTATGTCGCCATTGCAAGATGGCGTCGGCGATGCTCTGCTTGCTGAACTGAAGCTGGACGCTGAGCTGAAGTCCTCCGCATCACGATAAATGCATTCGGTGGTTGACTGCTCACCTAAAATACAAAAACACTCACATTACAATAACTTAATACACTTCTATGACAAAAATTACATTTACACCACAGGTTTACAGAATAATCTATGCCGATTTGCTTTTATAAACTTTTATTCTTCTTTTTTTTTTCTCACATTGTTATTCTTAAAATGTAATTTCTGCACTGTTTTTTTTTTAAATTGTTTTTATCTCGCTTACTCTGTACTAATTTCTCTTATTAAATGGTTAACAACTGTTTGCTTGTTTTTTGTTTGTGTGTCAATGTGTCCCAGTTAACTGTAATTAACAATCTAATGATATAAGTCATCTACTGACAAACCAATGTTACATCAACAACTACAATCCGAGCATACAATGTCGAATCATGCTTTACGTTATCTGTTTTTACATTTTCAAATTCATTGTATCTTTGAACGTAAATCAAATCAATTAAATAATAATAAATATGCCCAATAAAGTATTTACGCGGGCATGCATCATATGAGTTGTTGGAAGATTCATCGAACGTATATCCAAGGTTGCTTCTTAACTTTGTAAGTTTCTTAAGTTAATTATTATTTTCTGTATCACTCGTTTTACCTTGTTAATCGGCGTTATTACACAATTTATGTAGATTATCGATTATATCTGAACAATCATTTTGAATGGATACTACTACCGAATGCAATCTTGATCAGCAATTCTATGTACAATAAACAAAGAGCTATTCATTACGGTAGTGGTAGTGAATTCGCTTACTTCAAAGTTTCATAATATGATAATATAAGCAGCTATATAAGTTTTTCTTTTTCGACTTTTGCACGCTCCTGGAAATATTGTGTGTATTTAATTACTTCTTAAGTATGCATTTGACTACTTAAATTGAAAAGCAAGATTTGGTTTGATATGAAATTTAGTTGCAATTGTTGTATTCTTAAATTTTACGTTTGAATGATTGTCGGCTTCATTGAGATTAAAGCATTCTTTCCGACACACAATATTTCCCTGCACGTCGCTCAGCAACTTAAATACTAATTAATAAAATTTCTTATCTTACGTTTTCAAATAAATAAATAAGATCATTTCGAACACATTGTTTTTGGAATTTTTACATTTTGTCTCGATTTTTTTGTGAACATTTTCGTTTTTGTTTCATTTTTATGCAAAATAGAGCTTTGTTAAACTTACATGTTCACATGTCACATCTGCAACACTACTCAATCTCATCTTAATCGTCATATATAATAAAATAAAATAACATTCAATTGGCTATACGATTTCTGCACATGTCAAGCAATAAACATTACCATACGCAGAACGATTAAAATAAATTTCTTGGTTAATATATTAGCACTGAAACTTCATAAAATAAGTTCATTTAGTAGCAATTATTATTGAAGTTGGTCCAATTGATGTCCAATTCTTATCGAATTCTAACAAACACTCTGTCACCAATGTGTTATTTAAATAAAATGTGTGCAAACTTAAAACTTAATGATATCAATTGTTTTTTGGTACTTTTTCGTTTTCAAATTGTACATACGGTGAATTTAAACAAGCGTGCAACATTTTTTTGCAAATGCACCACATTCAGCGTGTTACATAACCGTACGCAATCAACACCTAACCTATATCGAACGCTACTTTAAACTTTGCGTGTTGCGCGCTACATAAATTCACTGTATGTGTTTACATACATATTACGCTTTCATTTTGATTTTGTTTTATCCTTTTTGTTGATTTTTTTTTGCAGTGCAATTAAATTAAAAATTATTTCATAGCATTATCGCCGTTTCTTTTTCGACTTTTTGCCTTTATTACTGGTGGCCTTAGGTTTGACCTCCACCTGTTGTGTGGCGTCTTCTTCGGTGTCCATAATCACCGGCGGTACTTTGCTGGAGTCGTCACTTTCGGTTGTCTCCGTTTGACTGCTGGAGTTCTCGTCGGAGGTCTTATCAACTTTCAGCAAATTATCGCCATCTTCAACCGGAACATCTGTTGTTTCAGAGTAGTCTTTTTCCGGTTTGTCACTCTTATCATCTTTAAGCGCTTTAGAATAGTCCATAGTTGGAAGAGTAAAAGTGAACTCTTCCAACGGTGGCAACTCAGGTAGTGAGACAGGTACATCTTCCACTTCAACTTTAGCAGTGGACGCAATAGAACTCCACGTTCGCGGCATTGGCGTGATTTCCGGTGTGGATTCTCTCGTTCTATGCTCTTCTTTTTCCGATTTTGCGGAAGATGAAGAGTTACCAATGCGTACGCCAAGTTTTGCTTTTGGTTTACGCGGCTTTTTCGTCAATTGTTTCTCATCGATCGTAGCGGCCTCCTCAGAGGATGAGATTACTTCCTTTTCTTTTTCTATCCTCTCTCTTTCCAGTTTTATCAAATCACTGTTCGGTGCAGGCGGAGGAACCAGATCGGAATCAAACACGTCAATCATAGTGCTCATTGGTTCCTTTAAATCATACTCAATGTCAAACTCGTTTGCAAAAGACGATTCCTCTTTAATAATCTCAATATCCTGGCATGCTTCGCTTGCGTCAAAAAATGAATCATGTAGGAGTTCGACTGTTGCTTCCTTACTGTCGAAATGTACCTCATGAACTTCAAACTCCTGGCTTGCAGGCGTCGCAAGCATAAGTGTTTCGAAAGACACCGCGTCCACTTCCATATCAATAGCATCAATTGACTTGGGATCACCTAAACTAATAGGTTCCTCCATGTTGGGCGTTGGCAAGTCGACAAGTTTCTTCTTCGCCTCTTTTTTCTGCTTCTTGCTGGCTGTGGACTTACCGGTGGTTGGCTCGCCGACAGGAGATTCCTTGACAAGCTCTAAAACATTTGGTGACTCAAAATTCTCTTTCTGGCTGACGCGATCGGCGAGTTTAGTCGTTTTATTCTTATTGATAGTGGCGTTCGTCTTATCACGCTTGCAATTCTTGATCGTCGATTCCGGCGCTTCCTCTTTCTTCGCGAGTGGCGCGCATTTGTTATGATGCAGCACGTTGGTGGCGATCTTCGTACGCACGTTCTTCGGCTCGGCGAACACGACCGCCTTGGACGCGACCACCGGTCGAAAGAGCGCTTCGTCGCAATTCTCGTGGATTACCTCGTCCTTGTGCGCTGCCGCGTCCGCCACCTCCGAATCGTCGTCGGAGTGCACCGTCACCACCATGCCGAGCGGATTCACAACCTTCGCCACGCCCGCGCCACCCGCGCCGCTGCCGCCCCCGCCGTGGCATTGCGCTTTCATCGACACGATCACGCAGCGTCCACCTGAACAGAAAAAGCCAATGGCAGGTATTACCGACTTGCGTCTCTCAGCGTTATTGCGCTCAAACTCAATTCGCCAAATCAAAATCTAATTTCGATTCGAACAAACATAGCAACGACAGAAACGAGAGGTGCACACAGATTCTTCCACTGTCTGGGGCGGCAGGCACACAATATACATTTCATTCGATTAAGTTGAATTAATGAGCGAGTAAGTTAATTAATTGAAAAACGGAAAAAGCTGCTTCGGTTTAGAGAAAATACCAATCACACGCATTCGTTATGTAAGGTTCAGGTGTTGTAGTCGCCTGCCGTTGGCTAAATCTGATCTTCGTGTACCAAACTTAATTGTATAGTCAAGCGAATAAACAATAAGACGTACTTAGTGCCAAATAAATAAAACCCAAGTATTTACAAATATTTCACTTTTAAGGGTAATAACACCTTATTTCAGTGCAATTATTAAATTAAATTCTTTTATGTTATGTTACGCACTTCAATGAAATATTTATAAGTTTGTAAAAACGCAGAGTAAGAATAAAGCAAATTTATTTTGCACCATAACCCAAGTATAAATAAAATTAAACTAGACTAGAATTATGTACATACTAACCGTGGAAATCAACACGACCTACCTGAGTCTCTTACGCCGGGAGATTCCAACATAGCGTCTGCTAAATCTTCGCGTAATTGCAACTCGCCGGTCCAGCTACCTCCAAACTCCTCAAAGTTCTTCTGCAGAGTGTCTAGGAGCTTCGGGGATGGCTCGCAACTACTCACCGAACCTGCCTCGATGAGTATCGGATACGCCGCGCTGATCGGCATGTTGACTGGCTTCGAGCGACCGATTTCTACTACTTGTGAATCCATTATGTTCAATGAAGTGCTAAAAGAAGTGTAACTATGGCCGCCATTTTAGTTTTATTACATATATACTTACCCTGATGCTGAATTATTGTACGTTTTGAAAGTAAATTGTGGGCCCATCCACAATCTACGATGCGGTCCAGCGTGAGTAACAATCTCAACCTGTGACAACCATTTGTCATCTGTGTGATCAGGTTTGCTTCTCTTGCATATTTCTGGTGGGCAAATCAGCGACAAACTGCCTGTAGACAATGGTGGTTGTACGTCCTTGGATGACGGCGACCTTTGTAAAACCCACTGCGCCTTCGCAGTTACGATTAATTCAATTAGTGTATCATCGCAGATTTTCTCCTTCGGAACAGAGGCAGAGCTCTTCGGCTCAAGATCATACTGAATCAACGAACCATGCAGTGACATTATAAATAAACTCTCAACAGGTTTCACCTGTGGTTTCATAACAGGCTCCCTTGCTTGTGTGGGTGATTCAATCCATGCCCTAGCCGCAGCAAAACAAGCAGTCACTCTCAGCGCAACCTGAGAGTTTTCATCTGAAGAAGACCCAGATCGCTGTCGACCCATAGGTGGACGCGCCTGGGTAACGCTGTTTTGGATAAACAGCGGTTGGCGAATCTGCGCGAGTGGCTGCACCACAGTTGGATGTGGATATGGCGGCAGGCGCGGGTTGTGATATGGTAAGTTAGAATTGGTGGGTGTTTCTAGGGCCGCCGATACGGGACTATTCGAACGCCCATCGACCGTGAGGCCAGCGGAGCGATGAAAACGCGACATCTTGTTAACGACATGCGGAGTGGCGTGTGTGCGTACACCCACGTTACCGCCGTAAGGTGTGATAGGGAAGACGTGCGTTGTGCCGCGCAGAGTTGAAACCGTAGCCCAGCGAGAATCCGGACTGAAGCTCATGTCTTGCACGCGCGCTGTTGTATCGCCGCGGTGAAGGATATAAAGATGGTGGACTGCAGCAAGGGCTGGACCAGCCGGATGTGGTTGGATGCGGAAGAGGTGGAAGTCATAACCTCGTTTGTCAGCTGTCAGTAGAAGAAGTCCGCTGGGGTCGAATTTCAGACAAACAATGGCTTCCTTGTGGGCTGTAAAGTGTGCTATCACAGAGTCGACAGACTGGGTTGATTCATCGCATTGCGGTTTCTATTTACACACAAAAATGAAATTATATTTCAGATTAATGTATGCAACCAAATAAATGTCTTACCTCAATATCCAAAATGGTAACGACGCCCTTCTGTTGAACATCACCAGGTGTAGTTTGCCCAACTAAACCAGGTTTTTGTTGTTGTACTCCTGTCAAACTGCTAGCTACAGCATCGCTCAATTCACGCAATCCTCTTCCTAATGATTTCGCTGCATGCAGAACCGTAGCGGTATAACTCTGCACTCCCTCGCCATCATTGCCACCACTGCTTCTTCTTGACTGAATTAACTTATTTTCAGCATATGCCAACCATCTTGTGCCAAGGGCAACTGGATTCTGGTAAATTCCGGGACTCAGATAACAAGTTGTTACCGTAGCACGGTCTTCCAATGTGAACGCATCAAAAATAGCAATACGTTCAGAAAAAGTCACCACAACCGAGCGTTTGTTTGCAACCACATCCAAAATAGGATTTTTAAATTTTATTAACTTCACCTAAGATAAAACCAAAATCATATTGTGAAATATTACACAAATAAAAATAAATTACGCTTACCTGTTCACTATTTTTGAGTGAAATATAAGACAACGAACAAAAATCATTACCAGGCGCAACATTGTCACACAACGCAATCAGCGGTCGTTTTGTCGCATAGGTATCAACTGCTTTGACGCCAATCTTCTCCGGATTCGGAAGAACAGTCAACACCTTCACAGAACCATGCCGCCAAGATAAAATCTCCTTGGCCTCTCCAGTGGCAGGCACAGCCCAGATTTGAATACCTGTTGTATATCCCAAAATCAAGATGACAGGCGGAGGTAGCACCTTGTCGAAATCACTGACATTGTTCAATTCAACATGAGCGAGCTGCTCGAATCTAGCCCACTGGATTTGATCCTTATTGTCAGCTGGTAATGTATACGCAGCTGGGACGTAATCGCTGATAAATCCAGCGACGCCGTCCAAGATCGTCGGATCTGTGACGTGCTGTGGCAGGACAACATTGCCAGAGTTCGCTTTTGTCCGAATCGGACTTTCGGCGGCCATCCTTATACAAATCAATTTTACAATGTCTGCTGCTATTTAGCCCATTTATCTGCAATTTACAGGCCATAAGATAGAAAATGTACGAATATGAGGCGTGTCATTAATTAGTAACACCTATTTTTATAAGTTGCACTGAGAATAAAAAAAAACAGCTGGCGTTTGTTTAGTAAACAACTGCGTGCATGTACGTACATATGTGTGAGTCAATGGATTGCGTATGAATTGTGTGTGTGTGAGAGCAGAACGGATAGAAAACAAAGGAGCGCGCACGTATTGCGCAATTGGACGCGATGAGGCGCAATTAAACAACTCGCTTACATTTTTCGATGCACGACAGTCGCCATTACGCGTTCAAGCGCATATACAAACAAGAAATAAGCAACGATAGACAAGCGACAGGGGTGTGGAAGAAAAATAAAACAAAAGAGTGCAGCGCGCAGCAAGGTGAAGGACAAAGGCCGATTCTAGCGCCTGACAACAAAGCTGCGCCAGCCGAGCGGGCGATGCAATTCGTCGATCGCTCGCTCAGGCTCACACAACAAATTGCAGCAAGAGATGTTATGCTATTTACGCACTTACTCAGTTCGCCTCGCTTAAATATAGCATGTTTATTTTCGAACTGCGTCGCGTTTTTTTCTTCGCGCACTTCGCACTCTCACACACTGACGAGTTTCAGTCGTACAATGACGTCATTTGTGCTTCAGCGATTTGTTTCAGCACTCATGGAATATGGAATCCACAATTGCCGATGTTGTGGGTGGCGCGGTGGCCTCTTGCTTCGTTACGATCGTATGTATTCAATTGTTTTTCCTGTTCGATCGCGCACGAACCGTCGCCGCGCGCTCACTGCGTTGTTTACAACGCGCTCTCGACGGGCTTGTGACGAATCAATAAGTAAACAGCGCGCAGCGATTCCGCTCGTCGGGAGACTGCGAGAGCTGCGAGGTGCACGGCGCACTGCTGTTCGACTGGCTCGACTGTCACAACACAAATCAGCTGATGCCGCGCGACCTTCCGAGCGCTTCGTGCGCTCGCTTCGGAAATCAGACGAAGAACAGTCCAGCGGCGCAACTGCATATATAAAACTTGAACGTGTCGCAATGTACGACCGTACTATGAGGGTGCACCTTAATCCGTGCAACCGGTAAAATGAGAAAGAAGCCCGTGTGTACTCGAAGCGATCATTGCGTACACTTTGTGCCAATTAGAAGAGTTTAGTTTGTTCGATGCGCGATGACATTGATAAATTAAGCGCGTTTAAAAACCAAACGCGGCGAAAGCATTTATTTACTTGGGATGTGAACGTAGGCAACCAAGTATGTTGGATAAATTCAGTTTGTTGCAATTATTCAAATATATTCCAATATTATATGAAATGTTTGACCATTTCGGATACTTATTACGTATGCGATGGAAAGAAGTGAGTCAATATTATGATAATATATCGAGAGGAGAAAAAAAAACTGTACACATGACAGATTCCAGAAAGAATCTTTAGGCGGATCTGGTATTTGAACCAGGGACGATCCAAACTTAAAAAATTATCTTAAGGTGTTTAGATATGCGTCTAAACGTAGAAGTACGGCTTGCTGCGTCCGTGAATATTAAGGAATCAAGATATGATGAAAATCTAAAGGAAAACCACCTGTAGGATGAGCGCGTTCCACGGAAGAATTGGTATTGGCAGGAGAAGTTGTCGACGATCAGACATCTTTCCGGCCAGCGGCGCAAGACGAGCTCATTACCAACCGATTGGCAGACCAGGTGAAATTTCGACGTCAATGACGAACTGACCTGCCAGCTACTAAAGAAAAATTATTCGGTGGGCAGTGGATTCACAACGAAAAAGTATATTATATTGGGCTTGTATTCTTCTCGAGTCAAGACCTCCCACCTTCTATGAATGATCTTCAAACTATGCTTGTTTTATGCGGGATTATGTTACTCTATTCAAGATCTCTTCCTGAAGCAATGCAAGAAGGCCCCTGCTAGAAATATGATGCGCCTGCCAGCAGAATTTAACTTTTTCAACTGTTGATTTGTTAGTATAGCAGCGCAATGTTTATTATTTTTATATTAAAAGAAGTCATATTTAATGCCTGCAAAAATAATGCATTACAGTTGGAATAAGTTCGGCAGACAATAGCCCCTGTCTGCGACTGAGCGCTCAAAAAGACTTGACGCCTTGATTAGAGTAGACCTAATATATATTAGTATCAGGGTATACATTTATATATAAATATATCTTGTGGATCACAAGTGACCTGAGGATACTCAATTTTACTCAATTTTACCATGATTGCCAAGAATCACGGAAATTAAATTATTTAAAATTGTTACAATAAGAATAAGCGGAATTGTTTGCGAAGTCGGGGGCAACTGCATGCGATTAAATCGTAGTATGAATTAAGATGAGACGAAGTGGCAATGAAACATCCACTCCATGTCAGCACATTTGACCTAGGACACCCAGCAGGACAACCACGTGGGATGGTATAATTTGAGAACCTTGTATTTCGCCAGCTTCGAAAATTTAAGGACATCTCTGTTCTTTAGCACAGCAGTTTTAATTGATATGAATTGTAGTGGTTTTATTGCGTTTTTTAACTGCAAAACTGTATTTTCAGTAATAAAAGTTTGCATTAGTAAACACATACAAAATTAACTTGAAAATGGATAAACACATTTCAGTTTTAGTAGCCATTTAGTAGCCACAAAAAAAAAGAATACATTGATATGGTAATAGTTATCACCTTCGCCCAAATTTCGCCCTATCAGCTGGCTGTTTTCTATAAATACGACCAGCAACTTGAGAATATATTTATTTAAATTATTGCACCTTTGTCACCAAGTAGATAAACATAAAATACCACTTTAAGAATGGAACGTTGGATTGGTAAAGTTGCTATTGTGACCGGTGCCAGTTCTGGCATTGGGGAAGTAATTGCTGAAGCTTTGGTTAAACTTGGAATGCAGGTGAGTTAACATTTACCACCTTGGGCGGAAGATATTGCTTTTTGGCACGAACCTAGTAATCCGCCGGTAGATATATGAGATTGGGATGTATAGAATAATATTATAGTTTTCTCGACTATCTATACCTATAGCAAGATGAGAAGAGGAGTTAATATTGACAACTTTTTTGTTTCGTGTGTCGGATTTACAGCTTGTAAAAACAAGGAGGTTTCCGTTTGATATAAGGAACAATTTATTCCTTGTATCTTTTATATTCACATCCACATAATAGTGACGTTTGGAAGAATAGAAACCAATGAGAAAGAAGACATACATATTTGTTCTTCTTCCCTTGGAGGAAAAATACTCCGGACTACCGCGAGACGAGCGGTAATGTGAAGCCGTGTTACGTTTTGCAATGGTCCACAAAAATGATAGTTTCGTTTACTTGCAATGATTTCCCCTGGAGACAATTCAATTGAAGCGCGAAGTGCGGCAAAACTCGCTTGATGAAGTAATATTGAGGGCTCACAAAATGTTTTATATTGCCTGTAGCCCAGGAAGACATGCTCGAAAATTGTGCAAACGTTTTTTATCATTTATCAAAAGTTATAATAGGAATGAAAAAATAATAATCGTTCCCGTTTGGCACCTGTTTCACAGTTGCCTGTGTGGCAGGACCCGGAGAGTCTTTATCGATCTGCATTGTATTGCTGGGGTGGTTATTAATTAATGTACACTTAGAAGATGAAAGGGTTGAGCGTCCGTCGAAAAGACGCCGTTGTCAAAAAAAGACAATAAGCCCTTCTGACAGCAGCACTCGAAGAACTAGAATTAATTCGTGATATTTTATAATGGGTTGTTGTATGTCAGTTGGTACGAACTCATTCGCTCGACATTCAAGGACCTAATGTGATTAATACAACACATCACAGGGTACCCGGTTGTTTGGCATAACAGAATTTATCATATTCAATAATGAGTCGGGGGGAATATGCAATGCTTGTTTTTTAAGCGGTTATTGTTTATAGATGGGTTGCACAGGAAGAAGAAGAAAAATTTTCTCGGGGATCGTGTCTAGTGTGCAATTATTGCAGGATTTTTCCGAAATTTTACATTTTGGTAAAAGATAATTATATTATAAATAAAAAGCATATATTTTCACGCTGCCGATATTTGAACTTGTAGCTGTAGCAAGCTATGAAGATGCAAAGGTTATTACATAGCACTCAAGACGCATTCAAAATGTAAATTCGTTTAGTTCAGGACAGCATCACTGCCACCAAATTTAAAGCATGGGGTTTCTGTTAACCGCAAAAATCACTTTTGCATCTAATTTGGCAGTGTACAGGTGATTATTGGAGTATTATTTAAGAGAGAGTTATTTCCACAAAAAATTTTTACCACGAAAACATATGTATTAAAAATATGTATTGCGCTACGCAGTAAAGCTACATTTAAAGCAGTTAATTTTCGAAGTGGACATGATGGAATTTTGCATAGCTTAGACGCAAAGTACCGTTAACAAAAAGAATAAATATTTTGGATTTCGGCACACACAAAAAAAAATCAATAATCGTAGCAGATTGCCCCAAATTTTCAGTAATGCCCCCTTCCAAAAAAATTATTACTCCGTGCAAAAGTACAAGAAATATAAAGTAAAATGTGCAGGTTGTTGGATTAGCAAGACGAGAAGACGTCGTAGAAGCCAATGCCAAGCGTCTTGCTGCTCTCGCCAAAAATGGTGGAAAACTGCACGGAGTCAAATGTGATATGACGAGCGAATCCGACATTCTGCAAGCGTTCGCCTGGACGATCAAAAACGTAGGTCCTGTTCATGTCCTCGTGAACAACGCCGGCGTGTTGCGCGGAAATAACTTGATTGATGGTGACACGAACAAGTGGCGGCAAATGATTGATACAAATTTTCTTGGATTGTGCATCGCGACGCGTGAAGCGTGCAAGATTATGATGGCGAATGACATTCCTGGGCACATTATTCACATCAACAGCATCACCGGTCATTACCATCTACATTGCCCATCTGTGGGTATTTACGGTGCTACCAAACACGCAGTGACCAACGTGACCGACATTTTGAGACAAGAACTCGCCGGCAACCATTCGCAAATTAAAGTTACTGTAAGTGATTTGCACATTTATCTGCAATCTAATGAATATGTGCGTATGTTACAGAGTATTAGTCCGGGAGCAGTCAAGACCGCCATAATAAAAGACGAGAGCAATTCTTCACCGCAGTTATTAGCAGTGCTTAAAGATGGGCCACTTTTAGAGAGTGAAGATATTCTGAATGCAGTTTTGTATGTTTTGGGCACTCCTCCAAGAGTTCATATAAACGAAATCACCCTCAGAGCTACCGGCTCACCGTGCTGAATGAAATGCTAAGAAACAAAATATCATTTCATGTACAACACTGTATTTAGTGAATGTTTTAATAAAAAATTTATAACAATAACCAAAAATTCATTAGACGAGAGCCGAACTATCGCCCAATACTGGCGCAGGTAGTGGATTGTTGGCAACTTTAGTCAACAACAGCAGCGTAAATAAAAATAGTGTACCTGGGAAACAGACAACCGTAGCTCCCAAAAATATAATAAAGATCCCCCTGGCATGGTGCCAATAAATATTTCCAAATTACCATGTCGCCCACTGAGATTACCAAACATTTGGTAAGGTAAAGACAACCTGCGGTCTTAGCAATGAAATGGAATATTCGTAACGAAACAGCAATGGATGTCGCACAAAGATCCACTTTCAATCAATGTGTAAATAGATGATGTATGTCTCGTTATGCCTGCAAGCGAAATTCGCAGGCGGCCGAAAGAATTAATTATCAACACGCTAAGACGCGATACAAAACATAAACCATACCAAATACAGTTTTGATGCGGGCGCGCTACTGCTAAAAATATTTAAAAATAGCTTCTTGTGAAGTTTCATATCGTAGATGAGCATCATGTGCATATAAAGGCGGTCCGATAGGCGCCGGCCGGACGCTTTGCACTCTTTATCACCGATAGAAACCATCAGTGACGCAACTTGTCATTTGGGAAGGTTACGGCAAATTACATAAGTTACCAAAAAACCGGAAATAGTAAAGGCACTATATTATATTATATTTTATATATTTATTTAAGTTGGACAAGGCCACCAAAGAAAATTTTATAAGAATTTTGTTAAGGAAGAAATACGCCATCGTCATAATCAGCAAGGATAACTACGACACACCAATATGCGTCACGCACAGTTGAATAAAAAAGACAAGATGGGCGCCCAGCTGTTATATTTTCAGCTTTTCTATGATTACAAGGGCTATACACAATCACCGCAAGAATTGGCCCACACCCACTCAATATTTCGGTTAAGTGGTGCCCCGCTTCCAGTATACTGCTATTTTATTGGACCATATGCCTAATATGCTAACATACAGGGCTGTATTGTAACCTTTAGAAGACACATGGTGGCGATAATTAAAAGGACATCAAGGTATGCCCAGTTGGACATTGTCCTTCAACCTCAGCTGCACTGAGACAAACATACAGTAGTTTACCGAAATATAAGATACATGAAGTAATTCAGAAAAGTAGTTTACATACTTATACTGCAGACACAGCAGGAACAAGAACAGATTACCAGCACCGAATACCCGGCATTGAGACGAAGCGCATAGTCAGAAATCCATACATTGGAAAACTAAGTTAGGTTAGCATAGGTTAGGTTAGTTCTTGGATGACCAAGAAAAGAGTACCTCTCCATTGAGAGCATACATCTGAGACTAGAAGAAACGAGCACCACGTCATCGCCTACATGGAAGATAATTAAAAATGGTACTTCCACGATTCCACTTATATAATCAAACCCCTCGTCATGTTAGCGAGTCCAATAAACTGTGCGCGGATCCTTGGGTAGCGAAGGCAAAATAACCTTCAAATTAGAATACCCAAACGCATCAACAAACGATGTGATGAATGGTTGTCTGTTATATTGGTTGCTCTTACAACTCAGTTGCACCAAAGCACTGATACATAAGGCAAAAGTAAAAGTCCAGGATCAAGACGCAGATTTCAAGAGCAAACATGCATGATTTCAAACGGTAAAAGTACTAACAGACTGTCCAGAAGATCTGAGGAGGTACCGCGCAAGGGTATTGATCAGGATGATCACTGCACGATATCTCAGGCATATTATAAGGAGCAGGACTACTATGAGATGTCTTCTGCCGCCTTTTTTATCTTATAATAACTGGGTTTGCAAAAATTATAGAAATGGAGCCACATTTGAAATAATATATAATAATGCAAGTGGTGCATTGGATTGTGATCGAGCATCTACCCCAAATGCTATAGAGAAAAAATATTGACAAGATATGCGAAAAGTCGAAGTAGACAATTGATATTGAATAATTAGCCATTGGCTGAGTCGCTCTCATGTGCACAAGCCAAGAACACTCAAACCTGTTGACAGCAACAACCCAACGGACGTTCGATAAAGGACCAGGCAACTGTGCGGCAAGGGAAACGATACGACGCAGTTCTTTGTGGAATATGAAGGGACAAACATAAGATTAGGCCCGTATTCACCATTGTGGAAATAACAAACGAACGACGACAATGCAAGAAATCAACCGTGACCAGTTGAGCCTGAGAACAACGACAAGACTTTTTCAAGCCCGGCAACGAAGGAGAAAACCGTATAAAAATTGATGGTTGCACTTCGATCTTCTCTCACTTTAATATATGACTTAATGGTAGTTTTGGCGTTGATCAAGGAATATGAACCAGTTTCACTTAATTTGATTTGAAGTGGTCAGAGTGACTAATATATATTTGTTCCAATATGTCAGATGATTTGAAGAAAGGCGATGCTATCGCAACGAAGAATGAATGCGAACTGAGATTCAACCTGGATGCGATTCAACTAGTAAACAACGTTCTAAAACAAATTACTTCTATCATGACCTCTTTGATTGGCAGGGGAGAATTGATTGCCACGGCAACAAACAGAAACAAAAACAAAACAAAAGCGAAAGGTAGCTAGATTCGTATGAACTGCTGAAACTAGACGAATATTAACACGGCTACCCCAGTGTGTTAGACGGAAATATGACTCGGAAAGACGAAGACACACGATATGTTTTTTGCGTGTCATCGCGTTACAGCAAGGGGGAGACAAACAATGGCAGAAACAAAAGACAACCTGAATTTTATAAACTCCTGTAGCAAGTTTAAATAAGAGTAGCCACTCTCTTTTAACACATACGATTATATGAGGATGAGATCTCGTGAGATTTTCACGTCCGCTGATAACGACTGTTGCTATGCACTTTCGCCAATGGAGAACGCGTCCCCTTCGGATACCACACAACAAGTGAAGGGGTTTCCTCATAATACAATTTTATTCGCAGTTGTTAGTGACGTCACAAGATACTGGCGATGACTAAAATCACTACTAAAATACAATTGATTTTTTTGTAAAGAAATCGTAAATAAAAAACTTCAAACGTGACTAACTTTGTTATTTGCTGTGCTACAATGACAATTGAATCGTCTTTGTCCAGAGCCTTAAATAACAAATAAACTTTGGAAATTAGGAGCCGCTGAAGTTTTGAAAGCAACCAACAAAATAAGGAAAACGGCTCGGAAAAATAACCAAAAAATTACGAAATTGTAACAAGTAATATGTAAAATGGAGACCAGAAAATACCAACACCCGAACCCAAGAGAAGAAGAGAGTGGAACTTAAAAAACTGCGGCCGACCAGCCACGCCACTCGGTCACGACTGAGCACAGCAGCACGATGCTCCCTGCGCGCTGCCTTTTCGGCCTGCAGCTTGCCCGCACAGAGTGGTGGGGGATAGTACGACGCAGGGTGGTTGGTTGCATGCAAAGACGCGTGGTGCATATTCCTGCACAAACTAGTTACGAAAAAATAAATAATGTAGCACACCCAAATCATTTCTTACCACTTCATTAAAATGTTTCAAATAATTTTACTCATACATATTTGATTATTGGTCCATTGTATAAAGCACTAACAAGCAAATAAAAACATTCAGTTCACTGTGTATGTATATGTACAAATTCGTAAATTCCATAATAAATATAATGTACAAGTTGTATCATTGAAAAATATTAAGTATGTATGTAGTAAGAGAGCCTGCATCGCAAGCGCGGACTTATTCACAGCTAAAAATGTCATATCATCTTCGTTTGGCGTTCGCTTGCATATGCGCATTCGCTGCATCGATAGACCGATTCAGAATTGTATTTGTTATCGCAATCACCGGAGAAAACAAGCTAAGAGGAAAATTACTGCAAGAAAAAAGACAAAAACAAATTAACCTGATACACTTTCACAATGTTACTTAATTACTTACACCGTGTGGGTTACAGGCGACGCTTCGTTACCGCTCACGATGAACAATGGGAACAAAATAGAAAATATGCACCCACTGCAACAAAAACAATCAATTAAATATCACACAACATGTAGTTATTAATTTCCACCTACTTAATTATCCAAGAATCCGAAACTTGCGTTAATATCGTCATAGGTAGCCCAAAACCAATAAAGTACGGCCAATTTGTTTCGATAAATGTCAATCGTCGATGCAACTCCCATCGCATATTGTACCACTTATACTCAAATGTATATAGCGAATAAAGCATGCATAGGTGAATACAGGAAAAAATGCGACCGATGAGGAAAATCGGTATGTAATCGATGAGCATTGCCTGGACGAGAAACAGCGTTTGCACCACAATGCTGAAGATTGAGTCGGCGATTCGTTTGCTTAGGCCCTCGGCGATCTGCGGCCTGCCTCGGCTATAACGGTAAGCATTATCAGCTATATCCTACAAATCAACAACAAATCAATAAAAAACACATGACGCCATCGAAACGCATTCCATAAAAATTGGATTTTGACCTTTGAACTTGAAATTGAATAGATTTCAATACTACTTACTTGAAACCACAAACAATTAACACATTTGCTTAATAAAAATAAAGGCATCACCCAGATGGCTTGGAATATACACACTAAAAATGGCCGCGTCCATGACCAGATCGTTCCGCTCGTACTCGTATTCTCTCCAAAGATCATTTGCAGTACAAAATTGAGAAATGGCAAGATTCCATAATCAAAAAGCATTATGCTTGCCAGAAATATTCCACCATTTAACACACTACATTGTATAGTTCTCTTCAATACTTTAGATTCTCTACAGGAAAAGATTGTGTCAATCAAAAAGAAAACTGTAGTTTTTATGTTTAAGATGCATACTCATGAGCTTTCAATGTCCTCACTGGTGTAGCTTCTTTAGTAAGATCTGATTCCCTTCTTCTGATTGTGCTGCTTTGCCTGGATGGAGAAAGTCTTTGCCTTGTGCGATTATCTAATTCTTTATCCATATATATTAAAGTGCCTATTCCTCTGATACTGTCATAGGCACCATTTAACATTGCCAGTAAAATATTCTAAAACAAGAAATTAAGTATCAATAACAATAAATAAGTACTCAAAAGATGATTTATTCATACCTTTATGTCCATTTTAGGATGATGCTGCTAAAAACTGAACTCAAAGTTGACTCAGACTTAACTAGTCTAAATAAATTGTTCAATTTTGCTGAATCAGTTTAGCTTGTACAATCTAATGATAATGAATTTATCAATCTTCCAGATAATTATATTTTAACTGTCTGCTTATTAACCTAGACTGTGTTTATTAGTTGCCAGCATGATAAATCAATTTGGTTTTCAAATTATCTAATTCATAATTTAAACCTCAATATAATGTATGTTACCGAACTGATAAGCGGTGCGTTAGCACTTTGCCCAACACGAACACTAGCACGATGACGAAGGCCTACTCAAGCTTTATGTCATAGCGAACTCGCGCATTATAAAAATACTTAAAACTGATATTATTCGAAAACGTAACACAAAGCATCGCACGACCGCTGAGGAGCGACAAGTGCAGACGATTCAGCCAGGGACCCTGGCATAGGTTTATGTCGTGTTAAATTTACACGCAAGGCACGAAGTGTACAGTTAACATCAGCTGTTACAAAATATTGCTAAAGCCTAGTACACACTTCGTTTATTATGTATCAGATATGACACTTACAAATTTATATTTATAGATTATCAGTGTTTTATTGTGCGTATTAGACTAAAATATATTTTTTTATATATTGAATGTCTTCAATAGTTATAACAAAATAAGAAAATAACTAAATTTAAATGACAAATATTGAAAAGAAATGGTTATGTGAGCGTCAATATGATTGAACAAACTGTGAAGCGCAGTATTTAAAAGGAAACTAGCGCCAGCGCATTTGCTGGCAAGTGAGTATTACCTGAACTACACACTTGGCATGAGTAACGCAAGCTACATTCATTGTTCATATGTTGTTTGTCAATACACTCTGAATAAAATAAATAAAATCACTGATAAATTGATGCGTTGATGAGATTTGCGTCCTGCATGCAATACGATACTTAAACGTCACTTGTTCTTCAACTTTTCGTCTTATATTAATCGAAGGTATTTCCATTTTCTTGCAAAACAAAATTTGTTATCATGTCTTGCACTTGTTTTCACTTTGTACAACGTAATAACTGTCTTTGGTAATTCTAGATGCCTATATTGTACAGCGTAATATCGAGAAGGAATACGATCTTGACAAAGTATGCAACATGTGCTGGCAATTTTGCTGAGGTGACAGAGCAAATCATTGACAAAATTCCACCTCACAATGACAAACTCACCTACTCGCATGGCAATTACTTGTTTCACTACATTTGTGACAGTCAGATTATCTACTTGTGCATTACAGATGATGTAAGTATTTGGACACTTTGGTATTGAATCAATAAGAATAAAACATTAAACTTTGTTCTGTTTTAATCATAGGAATTTGAAAGATCCAGGGCATTTCTTTTTCTTAACGAAATCAAACGGCGATTTGTCATTGCCTACGGCAATAACGTTGAGCACGCATTACCGTATGCGATGAACACGGATTTCTCTCGGGTGCTTGCAAATGAAATGAAACACTATTCAGAATCACATGATGTTGATACTATTTCCAAGGTGCATGGAGAGTTGGATGAACTTAAAGATATTATGGTTAAAAATATTGGTAATATTTTAATTCATGTCTTGATTAAACTTAATTTAATTGATTTTTACTTTCTTTAGATAATGTTGCAATGAGAGGTGAAAGACTTGAGTTGCTGGTAAATAAAACAGAAAATCTGAGCAACAATGTAAGCATTTTTAATTTAATTTTTAAATAACACAACTAATTGCTAATTTTTAGGCTGTTACATTCAACAAGACGAGCCGAAACCTTGCGCGCTCAATGTTCTGGAAGAATATAAAAATGTACGTGATAATCGGCGGCGTAATTGCTATAATCGCGTATATCATCGTGTCCATGGCCTGCGGCGGGCTGGCATGGCAGAATTGTGTGGGGAAATAAGCAAAACACAGACGTACGCATGATGACAAACATAAATAAGCGTAAATAACGCAAGTACATAATGATACAGATATATCCACAAATACATACTTTTGTTTAGCCGTATTACCGTATTTGTTACATAAATAGTGTCTTAACTTTAAGGTGATATTAATTCTTGGTAAAGTGCAGGTTTATCACTTTTAACTTTTAAAATTAAAATTAACTGGCGATGTATGCAGAATAATTCGATTCATTTCAAATGTGATTATTATATTTTAAATTATCAGTGCATGAAAAAGTGAATATTATTATTATTATATATAAGATAAGTAGGTAGATGTGCAGATACATTCATGTAAATATTTTAATAGGAAACCATTATAAATATCTTACTTATTGAGAATGAAATATGTATCATATAATAATGTATGAAAACAGAAATAACCATTAAGTTTATTGATAGAAGTTATGTGTTGAAGAGTTGAGGTAAGATGTATTTTATCACTACAACACGTTTAGTTCTTTTAATATTTTAACTTGTGTATGCAATAAATGTATTTATATCAATTTATAGTAAGTTTAATTTATGGTAATACTCAAATTAAGAAAAATGTCAGCAGGATTGCTTACGATTACGTAAATCTTGAAAATAATCATGCTTTACTTTAAATTTTAGGCAGAAATATGAAAAGATTATTGTTGCTAAGGTATAAAACTATAATATTAAAAAAAGGATAAAACTCCTTATATCCTTAAAAAGGATAATCCTGCAAAAAGTCCTCCCCGGCGGGGAATCGAACCCCGGTCTCCCGCGTGACAGGCGGGGATACTGACCACTATACTACCGAGGACCTGCAGGAGATGGAAAAATTTGGAGTCTTCAGCAGGAAACCAAGTTAAACTACTGTTAAATTATATTATCTATAGAATATTAATTGTATATTTTTATACACAATTTACTAATCAATTTAGCAAACATTTCTAAATGTTCATGCAATTCATGTTCTAAGACATTTGTTTTCACGTGTTTTAATATAATAAACTACTGGCATGCTTGTAACTGTTAGGAAAAGTCAAAATTTAATTATTATTTAATAAAAACAAAGATGAAACAAAAGGACCTCCCCGGCAGGGAATCGAACCCTGGTCTCCCGCGTGACAGGCGGGGATACTGACCACTATACTACCGAGGACTTGCTTATTCCTGCATTTTTATAATTCCTGCAGGAAACCGCAAATTGTTCTATTAATATATTCTATAGTAAGATGTCCTTTTGATCTTTTGTCCTTGTTTTGTTTGTTTTTCATGCCTGTTGCTCATGACAAGCACTAAAAAGCAAACTTTTAACAAATTCAACGATTTCTGCTATATCTAACTATTTTTTACCCTAAAAATTGGTAGAAATACCAAAATTTAATCTAACAATATTAAATAACATCCTGGCTATTCCCTTGTCCCTAAAATCCTATATTCACCAAAATAACTGCAAATCACCAAAACCAAATTTATGAGTTTCCAAAGCCCTGCTGTTCCTACTATTGCTACTCACATCTGGCCCTGCTCTGCTGCTTCTGCCCTTTCTGCCCCTGCTGTGAATTGAATGGGAAGTTGCATCGTGCAGTTGCGCGCGTCGCTAAACGGACCCTTTTGTACTCCTGCAAGCAAGACTCAACTTACTATCCACTCGTCATTCAGCTGCTTTTCCACTGCGGCGGTTTACTGCGGCCGCAGCAGGTATTCATTGAGCGTGCGATCAGCGCGAAATGCCTGGACACGAACCGCGGCTTGTCGCGACTTCTTGCGCAGCTAGTTGTCCGCGATGTCGCGCACGGTCGAGGCGGGTGCACCGCATAATAATCGGCGTTAATCTACAATCAAAAAGTGTAAAATCAATCTAAAACCACCAGAAATATTGGTATAAAGTTCCTTCACATATTAAGTGAGTTTATCAACGCAAGTTCATTCAGAATTCACGCACATATTTCAATTTACGATAAATTCAAGCACTCACGCAAGGGGTGAACCACCTCAAAGGGAAACGTCTGTGTTTTTGTTTTGATTCAAATCGGCCAAACCCCCTTGCTCGTACTACGTCCTTTGTATTCTTTATCTTTACACATTCATCATGAAAATTACCTTACAAAGGATGTAATTAATTGCAGTGGCATTTAATTTATTTTAGAATTATCAAATAGAATTCTTTACACAATGGAGGACAGTTCACCGGATTTGAGCTTAAAGCTCCGCCGTGGTTCAAGTGATTCGCGTGACAGCTTCTACATGGATTTCGATAAAGGAATTGATTCTGATATTGATGATATGGCGACGACGTCGGCGGCGGATCTTGCAGACGTCGCTGATACCCGTACACTTACAACAGAAACAAGTGTAACATTTGGTGCACATCGAGATGAAGCTATTAGGTGCGTGAGTTTTAATTTGATTAAATGCACGCTGCATTCAGAGCCTATTTAGTACAAAACAGTGTTAGAATTTATGAAATGTATTAATCTGACGGTCCTCAGTCCCCTTCGCAACTTACACTGTATATTTTTGCTTCAATGATGCCACAAGTCCAGCGTGTAATAAACGCACCGCGTTGATTTATTCTGAATGAGATAATGACTGCATTACCCTATTGTTTATTGCATTAAACTACCAGTAAAGTATATTCTCTATGAATAAAACAGTCTTTCAAGATGTGTGATAGTGATAAGGAGTCTGATCAAAGCGATTCCAACACTAGGTACATCCGAATTTGTATAATAAAATACAAATTGACGCGGTTAGAGCTGCTGTACTGTAAATTCGGGAATTAATAAATCTATTCACGTTTTCGATACTTCCGTTTCAGTTGGCCAAGCATTCCACAGCAGAATGTGAGCGGTGGGACGACGCGAAGCAGTCAATTAGGCACTCGGGATCCATTGTTACCATCGCCGAGTAATCCGAGTGCTTTGATTGTGTCCCCTGAATCACTCAGTCATCAATCCACACCAAGCAGACCTGCGAAGTCACCTGGACATGTACAAATTCAAATTACACCACCTAGGTATACTTATCATCCCTATTAACTTATAAATTGTTTTATATTATAAATTTTTGTGTAGAGAGATTCATCCAGGCCCAATGGCGTTGGCTCCGATGGGATATTATCCATCTCAACAGATTCCAATGGCACGGCGTTTATCTCGGGCTGAGAAACAAATTGAATGGCGGCAATTAGGAGCGTACGTGTTAAAACCTAACCAAACTTATACGTTTAACGTAAAATGTTTTCATTTTAGTGATGCGCTTGCAACTACGTTGTCTGCGTTGTACGGGAAGCTTTTAGTCGTGATGGGTACTGCTTTTCCAATGGCGGAGGTCATTTCAACGTACATTCCGCCATCTTTTTATGAAATTTACTATCTGTATCTGTACATAGGGAGCATGTTATTCTTGTTCTATATGTATATTGTATTAGTGCGTGATAGACGTATAAGAAAACGAGAAGAACGCGAACGAAATAGTAAGACATGTTTGAAAGTATTCAGTGATGAATTTTTAAGTAACATGGGAATTTGTAGATCAATCATCTGGTTCCAATGACGAGACTGATACAACCGATACTACAAGTACCCAACCCTATAGACCAAGACGAGGGTCTCTGCAAATGCCACACAAACAAAATTATGGCAGTTTTTATTTACGAATGGGCGCTGTTGGTATGTTAAAGCTTCAATGAAATATTTTGGTTGATAATAAAACTATTTTTCCATTAGCTTTTGGGATTGGTAGTATGATCTACTCCGGTTTGGAATTTGGGCAGTATTTTGAGCAAGAACAGAATACAAAATGTCACAACATTTTCCTGGCGCTGACTCCCGCCACGAGGATGGCGTTTATCTTCATACAGATGTATTTTATATTCCTCAACAACGAGGTGAGTAGACATTTATTAGTATTTTTCATATTACGGCATATATTCTGCTGTCTGCTATGTAGACTGATTAGGATTCAAAATTTCTTCGAAAGTAGTCGTTCTTGTTCGTAAAACGCAACTAGCGCCAACCGGAACCTGCTAACTCTTGTAGGTTACCGGCAATGCCACAAACACGTGTGGCGGTAGTTCCCCGACAAGACCACTCAGTAAAGTTAGTGCCAACATCGCGTAAACGAACTTGAAATTTGAAACAAATATTAATTAAGTATTAAACCAAGTGAAACAGTTTCTGACCATGGTTCGAAAAGAACGAGAACGTAATCTGTGCAATATCGACAGTAATTTTAAACGCACACTGAAAGATGAGGGTTAAATTAAATTTAAAATTAAAGTGAATTTAAATTATCGAAATCTAAACCAATCTCTAAATAACGACTCGATCGACGACTATGGAAGTGATTCTAACTAAACCAATATTAAAAGCAATAATGCTACAAACATATTAAACACAATTTGTTGAATTAAAAAAGTGATTTTCAATATCCTCGTGATGCTAGGCCTTTCTAGGCTTGGTTTTTTACATTTCATCTTTTTTGAACGATGTTTCTCCACGTTTTGAGTTTTCTTCTTTGAATATTGCATATAACTGTAATATCGACATCGTTTTCGTATCTCCACGCTGCTCATGTATTCATATACATTTCTTAATTCTTTTTCTTTGCGGCGCTCAGTTGGACGAGATATTTCTTGAATGATCGTGTTCCTTTGTTAACACAACTTCTCCGAACGACCTGTATAATAATTAACGATCAATATTCTACATAAAATAATTGATCAATATTTCATACATATACTACATCTATATACATAATTACATTTTATTTATTTAAATTTGTACGTGATTGAATTACACTTCGTTTCGAGTATACATGTTTAGTAACTCAGACGATGCCCCCGAGGCGAATATTATGACCTCCACCGAGTTTTTCGCGTATTTGGTCCTCTTTATCTGTTCCTGCATACGCAGGTTTCAAAATTGTACGGTGCTCATCGGTTCTGCAACTCGTTATAAACAGATGGTTCAAACCGTGGCACACCTCATTATCTTAAACTTAATCACTTAAGTGGTGATGAGGTGCTGAGCTACATCCAATAAGCACGAGCTCGCCGCAGGTGCGGCTCGGTTAACGTTCAAACTGTAACTGGTAGTATATTCATTTATTTAGAAATAGAACGGTGCGTCGAAACGACGACCGCTCCTCCAGTTTACAAAAAAAAACATACATAAAATATCTTCAGTCAAAAAAATAACATTAAATAATATCATTACAATAAAATATAAATATATAAATAACAGCATATTACAGCGTCAGTTATTAGGTAAATATTGCACACGCGTCTTTATTTGCTTTGTTCTATTGGTGTTTATGGGTTCTCTAGATGTCGAGCGAGAAATGATGTCGATTGCGTGCATACGCTGTAGGCGCTCTTACGTATGATTGCCTTGATGTTGTTATCGGTCAGGCCTATTTGTTTCAGCGTTTCTCTGAAGTGCTGGTGTTCTTCAGTGCGCACGACTTCTCCAAAGCAGCCTATTGTGAAAATCGCTAAGTTCACATTGCATCTGTGCCTTAGTCTCATTTCGTCCAATAGGTTGCTGTCTCTTGCGACGCTGTCGAAGTTGTTGTTGCCTATCACCTCCACCGAGTTTTTTGCGTATTTCGTCCTCTTTATTTGTTCCTGCATGCGCAGGTTTCTGAGGTGCGGTACCGACACTTCTATTAGGTGTATTTTCTTACCGAGTTTTTCTCCACCTCGATCATAATGTCAGGTTTGTTATGGTGGAGTTTCTTCTCGGTAAGAATAGCTTGGCCGGCTCTGATGGTGTACTTGGTGCCGTCGGTGCTGAACTCTGTGTTTGCGGTGGCCTTGCCGAATTGCAGGTTCTTTGTCGTCTCACTCGGTGCGCCCAGGTGTTGACTGTCTACTGCAGGCGCTAACGACGTGGTACGCGGATTCAATGCTGTTACATCCTTTCCGGCATTGATTGTTCCCCTCATCGTGGCTACGGAGTCCTTGAATTTGTTCTTCAGCTGCGGCATTTAGAAACGATAATTTTTCCGTGTTCAGCCTTGTGTCGCATAATGCTGGGAACTCAATTCTTTCCTGGAACTCCATAACTTTCTGAGGGTACTTAGCCAGCTTCGCCCAGTCGCTTTGCCTCCTCTCTTGGTCTTTGTCTTTAATTATTTCTTGCACACATACTCATAGTCCCCGATTGGAGTGCGCCATCCCGCTTTGTGGAGTTTCTCGAACTTCGCTCTGGCCTCGCTTAGTTCGGGATTTTCCATCAAGTACGAGTACCTTCGGACGAACTGGATTTCGGTTTCGACTTCGATGGTGTTGAAGCCTAACCCTCCAGATTTTGTTGATAGATACATCCGTTGGTTTGATGTTGGTCTCGTCTTGATGTTGTTTGCCACGGCTAATTTGCGGAGCTTTCCGTCTAGGTCGCGGCACGCTTTCAGCGTGGATGTCATTCTCTCCTGGGGACGGATGTTACCCATGACGTATGTGGCGGCGGGGATAATAGTGTTGTTGCATATTCTCCTTTTTTGTGTTGTTGTTAGCTTGGAGCCGAGGAGAACGCTGGTTTTAGCGGCCAGTTTTTCTTCGAGGTGGTCGTAGTTGGCGATGTCTAGATCGGTCTGCTCTATGCCCAGGTATTCGTACGCCTTCCTCAGTTGCGGTACGAATTGGCCGTGGGAATTTGCTTCCCCGGGATTATGTGTAGCACACTTTTCCCGGTTGAGCGTCAGGCCGATCTCTGCGGCACCTTTAATCAGGTGTTCAGTTATTAGGCTTGCGTGCGTCGGCGATCTCGTGTGGCACTTGATGTCGTCGACGTACGCTATTACCTGCTGGGTGCCGCGTGTCACTTTTAAGATTTCCGGTGCTTTGGTTAGGTGGTCAATGAGCCCTGCGGTCAATAGGGTGAATATCAATGGACTCACGGAGTCCCCTTGATATACGCCGCGGTTGATCTTGATCGGTTTGGCTCTTTCATTGTCGTCTCTCCTCAGCTTGATGTTCCAGAGCCGTTTGGTATTCATGTATACCTTTTTCAAGTTGTCGTCAACTGGTAGCTTCTCTATTAGGGCATTGATTGCGGCGTGGTCCACCGTGTCGAATGCCTTCCTAAAGTCGTACCATGTTGAGACATGACTTGAACGGCTCATTTTTGAGGAGAGCACCTCTGCTTTATCGAGCAGGAAACCGTGCAGCGTCCCCCAGGTGCTCGGTCGTGCCAGCTGTTGTGGAGGCAGGCAGTTGCCTACTTGTTTTTGGATGGCCATTGTCAATACCTTGGTGGTGATTTTGTAGTCGGTGTTCAGGAGGGAGATGAGTCTGTAGTTGCTAGGATCTTCTGTTGGGCCTTTTTTGTGTATTAGTACACCTTGAGCTGACACGTCCTGGGGATTGAAGACGTAATTGCCTTTGATACAATCCAGAACGTGTTGCTTGATGTACTTTCGCGCTGCTGGGAATATTTTATATAGGATATTTGGGACCCTGTCTTCTCCTGGTGCCTTCCAGTTCGCGCTGTCGCGAATAGCGCGATCGATCAGGGTCCCGTATTCTATTGTGCTAATGGTCGGTACTGACTTGGCCACTTTGTCAAGCCATTTATTGAGGATAGGCCTCGGGGTTTCCTTGGATGGTGCAGGATGGTCCTGATAGAGCTTTTGGAAGAAAACTTCCGCCTTGCCCATATCTGGCTTCGCGAAGTTCTTCCGACCTACTTTCAATACTTTCATCGACGGCTCCTGTTCGCATCTCTGCCGCATTTGCATTATGCTATGCTTTTCGATCTGCTCCAGGAGATCACGTCTCAGTAATCGGATTCGGTCGTTAGTTGAGGTAATGTATTGAGATGGTGTCATCCTCAATTTCTTCATCATCGCAATTTCTTTATTTGGATGAAAGGCGGTGATGTTTTCGATTTACCGTGCAGCGTCCCTCGGTTTTGGTAGTTGTTCAGGTGGTAAGCAGTTGCCAACCTGTTCTTGAATATTTATTTATTTTTTGCTATTGGTATTTATGGGCTAGAGTGTAGGTCACGTTAAAAAGTTAACCATTTTGAAGTAAGTTCGGCAATTCTCTGGGAACACTGTGTGAAGAATCCTGAAGATGTTTCTTGTTATGAACAAGTAAATTTGCAATTATCTTAAGGCTATTCCATAGATAAAAGAAGTGGAACTGTTTTTCCGCATATTTGTTAACGTGTAATCACTGATTTCCATTTTTGGATTTAATATTTGTTGTGTTATCTTAAAACTATAAATAATACAATTGTAATTTTTGCATTATATTGATAATTTGCAAAAGCATATTTGAATCTTCTGAATAATTGCCTGAAATGGCAATTCTTTTAAAACTCTCACGTTAATAACAGGTGTTAGTTATAATTGCTTTCTTATTTTACTAAATTGTTTCTGTTTTCAGCAAATGCGAGTGTACAAACACAAAATCACTGCAAGATTTGGCCTGATGCACATGATCGGCACAAATCTTTCAGTATGGCTGCTCGTACTGGTACAAGAAACAAAGCACGAGATTCTAACATTCTACAATCCCGAAAACAACTCTCTTCGCATTTCGCATCGAATACCTTACCACAAACACAATGTACTGGGCCTGCCTGCCGTTCCTGTTGATCACCCAGCCGATGCCCATGATCATCATCACATTGTTCCTCGCGGTCTAAAAGGTCCACACCACCTATACGAATGCCGGCGTACCAACATCATCGGTTCGCTTGTACAGGATGCCTCGCCGTTTTTATTTCCCTGCACTATTGAATACAGCCTCATCTGTGCAGCCATTTTGTATGTGATGTGGCGTAGCATTTCAAAACTGCCAACGAGTGCGTCCGCGTTGAAACTCCAACCGGAACTGAATATCAAACGTACACCACATCACTACTCCGTTGATTGCTCAAGAGCGCATAAAGGACTTTTTGTTGGAATATTCTTTTTAGTCCTAACGATCATTTCATTGATTCTGTTCTTTGTGTTGATCTCTCGTTCTGAATTCGTCGGGCTCGCTGTCATCGAAGTCAACATCGCTGAACTAACGTTATATGGCCTCACCACATTAGCTACCTTGGCAGGGATGTGGCAAGTGCGTCAGTTGAAATATGATGGTTCGAGGAACCTGCAACTAGACAACATTCTACTAGTTGGGGCACAAACAGGCATGTATATATACAGCACCTTCACTATCATCGGAGGACAATTCACGATCGAGAAAAATACAGTATTGGTCTTGATCACTGCATTGGCGTCCCTGGTACAGACCACGTGCCAAACAATTTTTATTTTGGATGCATCACGTCGCAAATGCGCGACGCCAGAACAAATACGTAAGAAACCTGCCAGACAGATAGTCACTTTTTTATTGGTCACAAACCTAGCGATGTGGGCCATCAACACACTAGAGAAATCCAGGGCAGAATCACATCCGATTCAGTTGCACTTCTATGGTCTCTGGGCGTGGACCATTATCACACATGTATCAATGCCGCTCGCCATTTTCTATCGGTTTCATAGTACTGTGTGCCTATGCGAGATCTGGAAACGGGCCTACAAAATGAAACCGGTGTACATGTGAAAACGACTTCATTTGGATCGACGAATAGATCCAAAACAATTGCGAATTGATAAATTTAACATATAGTTGAATATTATCAACACCATCTGAACAGCAAACTAGTTAGCAAGTACACTGAAATTATATCAAAGACTTAACTACCTCTTTAAAGGACACATATTCACTTTTTAAATTTGAAACCAAACAATTATTATAAATTAGTATTTAGTGTTGTACATAATCAAATTGCTCAAAACATGCTGGATTAGAAATTCGACTATATAGTTAAATCTAAAAGTTGTAGAAAATAGAAGATCTAATACAAAAATAATAAAGACCAATCCAAAATGGAGATTAAATATTTTTAGACAATGTTTCAGAACCAGCATGTTCAAAAATAGGAGACCAAAACCATTTAGAATATTTCCCATGTATAACATTTGTATCAATTTGTAATTTTTTTCTAGTTACCTATAAATATTTACACACATTATTCTTAATGACAAAGAAAACTTTTCTACTGGACTTACATGATATGACTATATATAAATGAGTGGTATGAATAAGTTAGTGTGCCAAAAAATGTATTTTACATATTAATAAGAGTTTAATGACATTGTATAAAATATTGTTCCTAAATCATTGAGTTGATAGAGCATATTATTTATTTGTTAAATGTTGCCATTTATTGCTGTTATTTTGTTAGGTGCGTAGATATTATTATGTTGTATTATGTGCGAAAATAATTCTATCCCTTTGTGTTTTATGTATTGTAATTTATTATTTATGACAGGATATTGTTTATTGTTGTTTTAGCCTGTAACGCGTTCATGTATAGCAAGCAATTAATGCGAATTATTTAATTCGTTCCCCGGAAATATTAAATGTTGTTATTTTAATGCCATATGAAAATTAAAGTAATAAACTATCTATAGAAAAATCAATTCGTTATTTTCATATCCCTATCATGCTGCATTATTTATTTATTTTGATTTTCAATTATGTTTTATACTTAGATTTTTCAAATACGTGTAATAATCTTGCAGTTATTAGACTTTCCAGATATTTGATTATTTCATTGGGGATTAGATACCATAAAATATTCCACAAATAATGCAGAAATTGAATAACAAATGATAACAAAGTTAGATTCAAAAGTTGCGGGGTGGAAATTTTACACTATTATGTGACAAATAGTAACTGTGCAAATACATAATACACGTTGTTTATTTGCCTATTTATTTGCCTACAAATGCAAATGAATATTGTGTCATTTTCGGTAAAACAAATAAATAGTTATTCAAAAGTTTCCATAAATATTGCGCGATAAGTGCATTAATGCATCCAACAAAAATAACAAATTTTTTTTTTGTAAAAGGCAATATTCTGTTTTACTGTTTAATTGATTATTAAATCATTTATTGAAATAAATGCAAATGATTTGTATTGTAGTTTAGTTATATTTAATTTTTTATGCTCAAACAACGTGAATATGACTTTGCGCACACAATTTCACTCAAACCTTTATAAATTCACTTGATTTATTAATCTACTGCAATTTAATACAAACAAATTAATTCTGCGGCAACAGATAACTTTTAAAACCTACTTTTCAAGTAACAGTAAAGATTACTCGCGTAAACAATAGCAAATGTATTTATTTTGTGAATAGATTGATTTCTTGTGGTATTAATAATAAATCACCTTTTCATTTATTCGTGTATGAGCGACTGGAGTAACTATAGCAATTGTATAATAGTTTTCTAATTGTCATATCTAGTCTATTAGCCTATTTATTAACTAAAACACATTAAACCAACGCAAAATTGCAGAAAACTTTCCATGCAATTGATACTCTACCTACAACTACAATTGAAACTTTTGGAAATTTTCCATTTCGGCGCATTTGCGGGTGGGTACAAAATCCCAAACTACCTGTTAACCCCTCAACCCCTCATACTACTGCGTGCGCAAAAATGTAATTCTATGTTTTTAATTTTCTTTCAGTAATTTTACATTAATTGAAACGTTTTAACATATTTATATTGTTACATTAAAGTAATATACTAGCACGCGTGAAACTTCCGCAAATAAATATGAATGAATGTTGAAACACTTTGGATGTCCGAGCATTCATTGATAACGTGCTCCCAAAGTGTTGGAAAGTTTCCGCTCTTCGAGAGTTCGCATATATAAGGGCCGTCGGCCGATGCGATAATCATCAGTTCCACACCAGAACTTGCCAGCAACACACATCGCAACTTGCAATTGCCATTTGAAATCTTCAAATTTTTAAATTTGCAAAATACATCATTCAACATGGTCAAGAATCTGTCTCAAGTTTCAAGAAACGAAATCAATCAGTTTTTGAATTCGTTCGACAACATTCTCTTCGATTGTGATGGTAAGTTATTAATTAATCTTATTATCAATTTAAATTTAACTTACCAATTTTTTTAAATCAATGTTTAGGCGTTATTTTGCTTGGCGAAAAAATCATTCCCGGTGTGAAAGAAGCCATTGAATACCTGCAAGCCAAAGACAAAGGTATGAAACTAATCACCAACAATTCCTTCCGCACCGAATCTGATTGGGACAGTGTCTTCGAAAACGTCGATCTTGACTTCCGGTCAGAGGACGTCGTCTTCCCAACCAAAGCCGTGGTGACTTATTTGCAACAACTGAAGTTCGACAAGAAAGTTTTCGTTGTTGGCCCACCACGTATGCGCAAACAATTCGAGGAGTCCGGTTTGGATGTCTACAAGTACAAACCGGTAAGTAAATTAATTCCTACCAATAACTCATATACTAATGTAAATTATCATCTCTTGTTTAGTGTGAACAACTCCGTGAACTGCATGACATTAAAGATCACGCATTGGACGATCCAGAAATCGGCGCTGTGGTCGTAGATTTAGATTTCAACTTGACCTACGCCAAATTAGTCAAAGCCGGTATTGTCCTCAAACGTCCCGATGTCCACTTTATTCTCTGCGCCTCCGACAAAACAGTTCCATTGGGTGATAATTTCAAAACGATTGGCTCTGGCTTCATCGGTGAAACGTTAGAGATGATTTCCGGTAGACGCCCAATTGTTCTAGGCAAGCCCAGCTCTTTGTACAACAATATTGTGCAGGACAAATTCAACCTGAACCCGGAGAGGACATTATTCGTTGGAGATTCGTAAGTGATAAGTTTAAAAATTGTAATAGTATCGATTAATAAATTGTTTTGTGTGTTTGTTACAGATTAATCACGGATATGTTATTCGCTACTCGTTGCGGATACCAAAAGTTGTTGGTATTGAGTGGTACCACCAGTTATCAGGACATGATGAACTGCCCCAAAGATTTCGCACCCAAATATTACCTGAATAGTTTGGCTGATCTTAAAACCTCCTTAAATTGAGCAGGAATGATACTTTAAGAATATTTATTTTGATTATGTGATGTTTTTAGTGTAATGTATTACTTGTGATCAATTTAATTAATAAAATATGTATTATTCTAAAGTATTTGCAATATTGTGTTAATTTTTTACGAAAATTTAGCCGTATGTTTAGTGGTATATAGCAAATAATTCAAAAACGTCATTGACGTACGAAATTATTGTAAAAACATATCAAAATGTGTATGAATACCTTTTTATATTGTCAATATCCATGCTGCATCGGGCAAGTGCGTTTTATAGTTGCAACATTTGCCTTACTGGCTGTTATGGTGGGATTCGCACAACATGCCTCAATGAGCATCGCCATCGTGGAAATGGTAGATAGCCAAATGAAGAATGCTTCATGCTTCGACTCGGCCTTCTTGCACGTGCCCAACATGGAGCTGAATATCTCAGGCGAAAGAATGAAATGGTCTGAAATTGAGCAAGGATTCAACCTCGCCGCTTTTTACATCGGCTATGTGATAACTACCATTCCAGCTGGAATCTTATGCGACAAGTACGGGGCCCGCTATGTTCTCTTATCCGCCACCTTATTATCATCGCTAGCAACTGTGCTGATTCCGATCGGAGCAAGCATGGCAAGATGGTGGGAGGTGTGTATTCTGAGGGTTGTCAAAGGCCTCGGTCAAGGTGCGATATTTCCCTGTGTGTCTTCGCTGATATCACGTTGGATACCGCCTTTGGAACGCTCCACGGTGGTAGCAGCAGTATTTGCTGCGAATTCTATAGGAATAGTTCTTGGATATACATGCACTGGATTGTTGATTTATTACTGGGGAAGTTGGCCAGTAGCTTTCTACTTCTGGGCAGGCGTTGGCTTGCTCTATTCCTTATTATACGGTGTCTATGTATTTTCCGATCCCCAAACACATCCTCAACTGCATAAATCTGAGTTTGATTATTTAGCGAAGACAATGGTGATGAAAAAAAGCATCGGAACTCCATACAAGTTGATTTTTCAAGATAGATGCGTTTATGGCCTCATTATCTGCCAAATGGGCCATGATTTATTGTTGTATACACTAATCAATAATTTTCCTAAATATTTAAATCAAGTTTTGGGTTTCAACATCATGGAAAACAGTTTAATGGGGCTACTCTTTCTGTTACTATGGGTGTCTGGATTCTTCGGCGGTATGTTAGCAGATTTCCTCATTACAAAGAAAAATATCAGCGTAACATTAATTAGAAGATTATATACGTCAACGTCCAACCTTGGTTCGTATCTTTTCGTCTGCTTTGCTGTGATAGCACGATGTCGAATGGAGTACGCGATCACCAGTTTTGCCGTAGCAATTTTTCTAAAAGGCTTTTTCTACACTGGCGGTTTTGCAAATATCATCGATATTAGCGTCCATCACACCGGTTTCATAATTTCACTTATAAATTTATTGGGCGCTACAATGGGTGTTACGTGTTCCACTATGATCGGCTTCCTTGCACAACATAATACTATCGAAGAATGGGAATTAATTGTGGCAGTGATGGGACTTTTCGAAGTAATGTCGATATTGCTCTATTTCGCTCTATCAACTGCAAGAAGACGTGACTGGGACTATGCAGAAGATGAAGAAATGGAACCCCGACCGTTGCAAAAAAGATGGTACAAACACCTATCTGATTCGGATCATGAACTGCGAATGGAAGAAGAGCGACGTGCCCATGAAGTCTTGAAAGAAAATGCGCGAACTGCACGAGCACAAATGAAAGAAGACATCCGCAACAGATGAAGGCAATCAATGTCCACACAAGTACTTGTAATAAATATATTAAAGCTGTGTAAATAATACTTATCTAAGGATTGCTGAATAAATATGTAAGTAATTCCGGCGGTGTCATCTCACGTTTGTATTTTTGAACAATGTCCTGAATTTTGAATCGACGACGAACATGCGGTGGCTGATAACTGTAAATCATATGTAATATATTTCTTTGTAATATATGAAATAGATAATACCTATCCGAATCCAAGCGACGACGACGAGACATATTCAATGTGGTTTGGCGTACGAGTGGTCCCAACGCTCGTCGACTGACAATCATGCCATCAATTAATGGAGACGCCAACCCAACCCTGCCGGTTGGTCCTTGCCCTCGGAACAAACCTGTGTTTGGATTTGTGCTGTCAACCAAGGGTGATGCCATTCCAACGCGCCCGCAAGGACCTTGCAAGTGCACACGGAACAAACCGGAAGTCATCAAATGCAAGTATATAACAAGCACATCCGATGGACGTGTGGGAGCCGTCTCTAAACCAGTGTGCATGCTATTTAACAAATCATCAATAGGGACTTTTAAATGATCCTCGTAACTTTCCAACCAAACAATCATTATTTTCGTGTTGGTAGGGGGATGTACACTAGATCTCTGTGTAAGACGTCTGACGGGCACCGATTGTTTATCCAAGTCTAATGATAATGTACGCTTCTCCCGACCGGATTGTTCAGATAAACTTCTCTCGTACCAAGCTATGATTAATATAATGAATTGAATAGATACAATCACCACAATTTGTTAAATTACTCACAAGATAAACTAGCTGATTGATACTGCGTTTCCGCATCAACAAACGGTTTCAGCATCGATGGCATAACAAATGCAATCTCGGAACAAGCATCCGCCCAATATAATACTTGTGATTGTCCATCATACACTCCGGTGGCTGGAACACTCTCAGCGTTCGAAATCACCCAACTAGTAGACACGTGTCCTGTCCATCCAGGATGCACGGCTACATTAACAACCCAACCCAATGATTTTAAAAACTCTGTAAAGTACGGCGACTGTGCATGCGCATTATCAACAAGAGCATTGGCCAAAATGTCTTGGACATTGGTCTGCTGTGATTTCACGTAAAATACGTGAACTGTATCACAGGTGCGTGGACTCATCGCATCCAAACTGGAGAGATCCTTACAGAATTCCGAGGAGCTGCTGTCAATCGCAATTAACGACGGACCATTTCCATCGGGCTATGATGAGTTTTTGAACAATAAATAATTAAATAAATCATTATCCATGATACTTGATACTTACATCGTTGTCTAGATTAAGCAAACCGAAATGTGAAAGAAATAATCTAGCGGTTTGAAATTCATGCACAACACTGGGTGGTGAACACTCCGACTGCTCCACTTGCGCCTCCATTTCAACTTCACAACCGGCTTGCTTACCAATCAACTGAGCAAGCTTATTGGTCTCGTCATTTGCTTTCTCGTTACCAGCGAAAACAGACTCCAAGGTAGGAATACTCTGATCTACCTTGCACTGCTGCACCCGATCCACACTATCCGGGAAATATTTCTGTCGGACAGTGTGTCTAACAGGTGCATCCTGCATCACCACTGGTCTACCCATAGTGGGTGCATGATATTTCGTTCCAGATTTATGACGGGGAAGATGTCTCAACTGCATAGTCCATGCGTGTCTGCCAAATGGTCCCCGAATTAGCACCGTCACCGTCGGTTGTGGATCCTGATCATTACCAAGCGGTTCCTCTAATAACGCGAGCATGACATTATCCGAAATAAAGTAACGGAATCGTTCAACCGCCTTTTCTTGATTTGTGCAACCGCTTGGCCATGAATTACAATGTTGTAACAGTAAAGCTTCATCAAGCAGACTGCTAATGGATTCAGGACCACACTCGCTAGGAAAGTAGCCGACTTGTTCCAGAATACAGGTAAGTAAATTTTCGGCGGCATCACGCACTCGCATTGAAACGGGTTTCAACTCTTTATCTTCCTTCATTTTGATTTTTTCGCCTGGTTTGCCTACAGATTTCGTGCCGGAGACGCCCAGCTCTGATACTTCAAGAACTCTGGTGAGACATTCTTTGTCATGTAGAAGATACGGATGCTCAAGTAACCAAACAAGGCAGCATTGGAATGCAGCGACGATTGTGGAATGCAAATCTTTGGAATGTGCTTGCGGGGGACGCGAACATTGTTGGACAATGTAATCGCAGATCCATTTTACAGCTCTAACACACGCATCTATAATAAAACAATGCTTTGATATCCTGAAGATTGCAGCCATGAGCCATGAGCTAGTAAAAGATTCAGAATAGTACAAACCTTTTATTTTACCATCAGAATCTTTAATGTGAATCCTTGCTAAACCCGACAGCAGCTCCAAAGCGGCTAGTGAAATATTAAGATCGGATTTCCATGATGAAATCAATCGATGACATACTAAATAAGTCGCTCTAACGAACAATCCGTGTGCGGAATCTAGAAATACGCACACTTTACACACTCAAATAGCACATCAGCCACTCTGTTAGTAAATCAAATCCCAAGCCGTGTTAATTGCACGAGAATAAATCAATGTTAAACAGTACAAAAGTGTTAAAACGTGTAAAATTCTGCATGAAACGTACCTGGCGTTTGGATATCGGATAGATCCGGACTTATAAATGAGTCTGAATACGAACTGCTTATGGTACTCGACGTGTCCGAAACTAAAGAAGCATCAAAATAAAAATAAAGCCAAATAGCGATAACAGTGCAAGATACCAACATACAAATTAAACAATTTCCATAAAATGGAGCAAATGATACCTAAAATGAAATGTACTACCCAGGAATATGTGATGTGCACTTGATCTTACCCGAACTTAAGAGATTCGTCGTCTGCTCCGATGACGGTTGGGTAACTTGCTCTACCTTCTCGTAAACAGACGCGTCTTGCACGCACAAAAACAAACCGCCTAACAGCATATGCGTATTTTGCGGATCATTCTCCACTTGTAGTGCGTTCATTACCAAATTCATCAAACGCGGTTTTAATTGGCCGAACGTGGTAGGCCTATCAGTAGATCCTAAAATTTACACACAATACAACTAAAATATATTCATAGTTTTAAATTTAAATTATACCAGTGCTTATTAATTCCTTGATGGTAATATTTTGAAAGTGTAGAGGTAACACCAACATAGAGAGAAGTAGATGTATTGAAGCCTTGCGCAATTCGTTCTTCGCCACATTTGTCGCAAATTTCATATTTTTATCCGGGAGGACAATCTCCAAAGCGTTAATATAGTCCGGAATAAGTATACGAACACCATCCAGATCCAGTCGGAACAAATCGGATGAATTCATAAGAATAGCAATGACCGTCTCACCACAATCCTTGTGTTGTGCTGCCACTTTGAGGCCTTGTTGTACGGCGAGATAAAAGCGTGCCAAATAAACCGGCAGTATTTCTTCGCCGGTTTTTTTCGAACACATAATACGGCATAGCGTGCCTAGTGCTTCCGCTCGACCACTCTCGTATTTGTCAATTGTAAGATTAGCCGGTATTTCTGGGTCGTTGATGGAACCCATTGAACTCACCGATGTTTTCTGTTCCATTACAATGGAGCTTGGTCGTTTGTCAGAGGTACTTTGTCCTAGAAAATTGAATTTTAATCGTGGAATTTACTTTTTTATAAGTAAATATTACTTTGGGTAAGTTCAGTGCCAATAAACGCGGCTTGGAATAACCATTCGCCAAATAAGTGAAGAATACTGTTGCATTTTGGACGATCGGGTGCTAATGGAATACGGTTTTCGCTTCCAATTGATGATAACGCTGGAATTAATAATTTTGTTGCCATTTTCTTGTCATTTTAAACCGCGGAAATGCAACTTACATGGTAAGCTGGATGTTGATGAAGGTCCACTGCTAGATACTGAACTTGGAATGCTGGCAGTTGCCCGACTGCTTGTCACCCCCATCAACGAAATCCTCGGCGCACCTATTTGTAAAAAGTTAATGAAGAATAACGACTTTACGATGATTTATTAAAACTAAAATGATGTACCACAACCATGTGCGGTTAGTGCATTATTCGTGATGTCTGTATGCAGATTAGCCAAGTTTTAGTTCGAAAGCGTGAACTGATAGTGTGATTAAAGTGTGCGCTAACCCTTAGAAGTGGAAGAAGGAGCGACGCTGAAACTTTTCGCAAGACGGCGTTGCGTAGGCGGCGTCGGCGATGGCGTAGCACCACCTTGAGCGCCACCGTCCTTCGCCTTATCCGGTCCGCCACCCATCACCATCGCCTCCCAGGAAATCGGCTGCGCAATACCTAAGAATGCGTCCACCTGTCCCGCAATGCCCTTCATCGCCTTCAAAAATATCAAAGGCAATGATTGCAGAGACGGATGTTGGCAGGGATCGGCAACGGATGGACCAGGACTACCCAATGCAAACTGCATGAACTTCTGCGTCTGACTGATGACATCTGGTTTGGTCAACTGAACCGGATTACCAATTGTGTTGAGAAAACGGTACCAACTCTGAGCAATGCAGTCATCCGTCATTCCCGACGGTATTAAATCATCTTCGCCGATTTTTAACTCTGGAAAAGTTGGTCCATACATAAACGACAACAGTTTTGAAGTAAGTGCTAGATTGACGCGATTCCATTGTTCGACGAGTGCGATTCTATGCCGCCAGTTCATGCAACTTTCACGCAGAGTTTTCCAGAGCGGCGGTGATGGAAAATTGTGCACGCAGGCAAGCAGCCATATTTCAAAGAGAACGCTGAGAATGCGCTCGCAGAGTTGGTCGGCGACGTCGTCTTTTACTGTCGGTGGAGCCAGCAATGTGTCATTAATAGCCAGCAGAAACAGCAAGAGAGATTCCCACGTGGAACGCTCGAGAACTTTGCTTTCCTGTGCGATCAACTGCAAGGTTCGAAGTACTCTGTGGCAGACCACTGCCTGGCGATTTATTATGTCAATACCTAACACAATTCAATAAGTATTTTAATATTTTATCATCATAAAGGCGGATTTTGGTTGTGTGATTGTAGGAGTTGTGATGTACCATGTGTAATTGCAACTGTTACATATTTTTTATAAGTTTGGTGAAAGAGAATAAAAACTTCGAAAATGTGAGCAAAGACAGAGCAAACAACATGCATTTTTAAACTACATATGATATAAAATACTTTAAACTGATATTATGCCCAAAAGCAAGAACTCCGCGGGGCAAAAACTACAAAATCATAAATTCTGCGTAAATTCGTACAAAATTACCGTTATGGTGATGAGCATGTCAAGATACAAGTCGGGTGAATGTTCATAACAAATTGTTAGATGCCATGCATGCAATTAGCATAAAATTTTGTGATTTTACACAGTTTTATTCGGCATCTTAGACTCGTTACCATGACAATTGGGCCAGTAGCATTTCTGAGCAATTTTAATCTGTTTATCCATAAGCAAAATGCCGTGTTCGGTACGCATAATAATTATTTCATATTGGTTTAATTTTTAATTTTGATTAGAATCAAAATCTCGCATGTTCGCAAGTTCAAGTGCGCTAGTAGTGCTCACAATAATCATTCCAAATAGTAATGAAACAGATGCAAAGTGTTATCAGTAAGTAATTAAGGTCTAATTGAAAATTAATTGAAGCCATACCCAAGTTATCCTGATAAATAAAAGCCCAGTCTTGCAAAAAGGAACAACAATCAGGTATTATACTCATTACAAGATTTGATCACAACAATCAACTTACCTTCACCCTTCCTAGGAATAAATAAATAATGAAAATGCTGAATGATTTTCCGCGCGTACACATTCGGATCGTCGACAACCGGCTTTGGCACGCAAACGCGCGGTTCCGCCGGTAGAAGTGCGCTCAGCCATTCACAGTAGATATTCGCGCAATCTTTTATTGCGTCGTGTTCGGTAAGCGGCAGCGATAGCCCGTAACAGATGACATCCATACACCATTGCACTTCATGGTCGGTGACTAGCAGGCTGGGCTCTGGCACCTGAGTGTGGCCCAGGTTGCTAGCAAGTTGTTTGACAATTTGACTTGTTACTTCCTTGCTTGGTGCAATGCCGAATTTCTCCAGCACACTGTGGCCGGCATCTCCAAAGTTCTGTACCTGTTGACTTAGTGATGTCCATTCAGAATACATGCCTTTGTTACCTGGAGTATCCTGTAAATAATAAATAACTGTATTTTGAAGCCGTTGTTCCGCACTTTTAGAGAGATGTATCAACTTACTTTCAGGTTAACTCGATTAAACAGACCCAAATTCATGGGTACAGATTTCTATAAATACTTGCACATTTAATCAATTCGACGTTATCAAATAATCGACAAATACTATGAGTGGTCGTTTAGTTTTACGTGTTTATTTGCACTTGCAACCGTGGCCTGTTTCCGTGTTGCACTTGTCAAAAACAGATGTTTTGTTTGTATTATGTGTATACGGTTGCCTACATTCAATGTACAACTTTGTCAAATTTAAAATTCAAAGATTATAAACTTATTCACGTAAACGTTTATGAATAATTTATATTTGTGTTTCTTGTCATATTATTTAGTGTTTCTTCTCGTTTTTGAGATTTAAAAGTACAGTACCCTTAAATAAACAATTAAATTGTTGACTAATTGAGCCCTTTTAGAACTAGTTTAACAATATGTACTACAATAATAATTCATTTTATTTTAATGCAGTATTAGTTTATATTACAATATAATCTTTAAGAAAATTTAAATACGAAAAACGGCGCTTTCTTAACTGCGACACATCCGGCTTCTAGAACAAAACCGTTTTTAACGGCTTTTTAGTGGATGAAAAGGTCGAAAAGCTCGCAGTTATAAAACGTGGTGCGTGGTGCGCGCCTGATATATAAGAAAAATTAAGTGAACAGTTACTAAAATGTATATAAAACAGGTGAGAGTTTTCTTTATTATGTTATATCGTTAAATTATCTTTTATCTCATACTCGTAGATAACACTGCAAGGTTTTGCTAGCTACAAAGAACGCACTACCATAACTTTAGACCATAAGCATAATGTAATTGTGGGTGCAAATGGGGCTGGTAAAAGTAATATTTTTAGAGCAGTTGAGTTTGTTCTTAGTGCTACAACTGGCAATGAAACTGAGAAGATCAAACACCATTCATTTGTTAATCAAAAAGAAACTGCTACCTTTGTGGAGATAGTACTTGATAACTCAGATGCAGTTTTACTTGTAAAGGTTTGTAATTTTATTTATTTCACTAATTTAATTCAAAGTTTGAATTAAAAAGAAAAGTTGAAACTTTGGTAGCACTTTCTCTACTATTTTGCGGTTGTTTTGTTCACAATCTGAATGCAAATATAAAAATTAATTTAAATTTTAATTTTTCTTTGTATTTTAATTTATTGCAACGTTGTATATTTATTAGGGTGATGGTAATGATGTTTACATTAAAAGATCTATCACTGATTCAAAGGACCAATATTCTCTGAATTCTAAAAATGTTACAAAAACTGAGATAATTCATTTATTTGAAAGTATGGGATTATCTAGAAAATATCCAAATTACATCATCAAGGAAGGACAAGTCAATAAAATTGCAACTGGATCAGATTCATATCGTTTGAAACTATTAGAAGAAGCTGCAGGAAGCAGACTTGTTGATGAACAATTATCATCTACCACAAAAGACATGCAGCAAACTGAAATGCACGTTGATGTTGTTGATGAATTTTTCCGTATGTTTCAAAATCGTGCTCAAAATCTAGAAATGTACACTGCAAGTTTGAGGGAATTGCAATTATTAAAGTCTGACCGTAATGGGATTTTACATCATATCAATCACTTTAACAAACAACAAAAAGAGAATAGAATTAAAGCGTTAGAACAAAAACGCATGCAGCTGGAGTGGTCTCAGGAAGGATTCTGTACAAAAATCGCAAAAGCTTCGTACAAAGCGCATGTTATCAAGATTGAATGTGAGGCTTTGGAAAGAGATTTAAATATGAAGAATTCCTCAAAAGATGCCTGCAAAGAAAACTTGCAACAACTGAGAACAAATAGCACCGATTTTAAACTGCGTAGAGATGAAATACAAAGAAAACTTATAGCAATTCAAAGTACTGCAGATGAAAAAGAGCGAATGATACAAGAATCAGAGAATCTACAAACAGAAATTAATAATATTGAAGCCGGTTTAGAGGATACACGACAACAAAACCTCGCATTGGCTAAAAATGAGGTTGAATTGAAAATTAAATTGGAAGGCATGGAGTACCAACGAACATTTCTACTTGAAAAGCGCAATAGAAAGGTGCAACATTCTACTAAAAACGAACGAGACACTGCTATTCAAGTGGAATTAGCGTATTACAAATTATATTTAAAATTGAAATTTTGCTAATCTTTATATTTTTTAGAGCTATTGATAAATTGATTGATGAATTGAAAGTTGTACAAGAAGAACTATTATCTGAACAGCGAACATTTGAAAATGATATAGAAAACATGCAAATGGAAATTAATAATATGCAGACAGAAAAAGAAGAGTTAGAGAAACGTCTGGAAGAGATCGACTTGTCGAATAAGGAATTGGCATCAACCGCAGAAATATTGTGCGGAGATATTTGGTAAATAATTAAATTCTTTTTGCGTGAGATTTGAAAAGTACCAATAGAAACACCAATCACATTGCTGGTTGCGCGTAACGTTATTGTGAATAGCAAATCAAACGTCAAATAGATTAGAGTGTAGTTTTACGGACGAATTACTATCTACATCGTTATCACAGCAACTTTGCGCGTATATTTTGCGTTGTTATTGGGAAAGAATCAACCAACGATGTGATTGGTAATATACTGCCACAAATGCTGCCACTGCAGGCTTTTAAATAACTTTTATAACATTTAATAAGAGCAGATTTCGGTGCAACATTAGTGACTCTCAAAATCTATTTTTTTTTTTTTGCTTCTTATTCACTAAAATATATAATTTTCAGTGATCTAACTGCGCAACTTTGCACTCTTCACACAGAACATGATATTTACGTAAAAGATTTGTCTGCATTACAAGACTCGCTTCCTTCATTAATCGACAGGAAGATTTTTGTTGGTGCAAAATCAATGAAAGAAATAATTGACTACTACACTGATTCGCCGGAAGCAGCTATAGCTGACTCTTTTCGCGTGGAGGATTATCTAGAACGAGTTGTGGATAATTTCCGGTGCGATACACGCTTTTATCGAGCGATCGAAGCGGCCATTGGCAATCGATTATATTGCCATATATTTGAACAGTCGTCAACGGTTGAAATCATCGCGCGAAAACTTGAAGAAGTGGGTTATTCCGGACGTATTCCCATGATTGCTTTAGACGATATTGAACTTCCTCAAAGGATCGACGATGAGGTAAATAAAACAGATTAATATATACTAAAATAACAAAATAAATTGCAGAATTTCACCATGTTAATTGATAATGTTAACTACGAGCCAAAATTCGAGACTGTAATGCAATTGATTTTCGGTAATATTGCTATTGTAAACGAAATATCCGAAGGAAGTTTTGATGAACTCCTCGGAACTGGTTTAAGTTTTGTTACTCGCGATGGATGTTACTTGAGTGCCAATGGTGGATTATACATACCCAATAATTCAAAAGATACTAGATCAAAAGTAGACATTTTCAAGCGTCAAGGTGAATATTTGAAAGCAGTTGCAGAAACTGAATCATCAATCAAACAAATTTACTCTGATCTTGCAAGTGCTGAAGAGGAGTTAGTAGCTATCGAAAAACAATTTGACTTGAAGAAGCACGGCCAATTACAGGCTAAGAATGAAATATTAACACAGAATATTTGTGCACTAAAACGAGATTTTCGAACTATTGCTGCCAATCAATTAGAAGTTGAAGATTCAATTGCCGTTTGCAGAGCAAATCTATTGACGTTGGAATTAATGAAAAAATCATTTGAAATCGAGTTGAAGGAAGAAATATCCACCGATTTGAGTGATGAGGAACAGCAGATGTTAACTGAATTAAATGAGCAAATCACAGAAGTGCAACTGGAGCGTTATGAGATTATCGGACAAATTGCTGACTTAGATATTAATTTGTCCAATGATCGTTGGGAACATTTTACTGGCAAACTGGAAAAGATTAAGTTGGATCTAGAAAACATATCGTACGAAGAAAGAAATCGAAGTGATTTCGAAGCAATGATTGAAGATTTAGAACACAAACAAAGCACAGTTCAAGATATGATTGACCAGATGCAGAGAGAGATTCAAACAAATATGGAGGAGGTTGCCAGGTTACAATTACTAGTGACACAAATGCAACCCGAGTATGAAAAGTGGATGCAAAATAAACTGGATTTGGAGGAGAAGTGGCAGCGGCATTCGTGGGACTTGAATTTAATTGCGGCGCAAATCGAAAAATTACATGAAGAGCCGAAGGTGAATGAACAAAGTGTAGAGGAACTCAATTCAACAGCATATCAGCATGCAATTGCAAAGTTTGATGGTTTGGAAATAAACGAAGTAAGTAATATTAGTAATTCTTATTATAGCTTAGTGAGCATTGCATTTTTAATACTTTTTAACATTGCAAAATTTTAGTTAAACGCTCAACTAAAACGAATTGATACCGTTATAAAGAATTTCCCACCTGTGAATTTTGAGGCCGCAAACCAACTAGGTAAAATAACAGAAGCAATTAAAGATTTTTCATCCACTGCCGATTCACTTCGAAGGGGAAATACTCAAATTGAGAACATAATTACCATCGTCAGAGACCAAAAACCGATAGTAATTCAACGTTCATTCGACAAAATGTCAAACCACTTCGCTACTACTTTTAAAAAATTGGTACCAACAGGCAGAGGTAGTTTAATCCTGATTAAACAAAATGGCGACGAAGACGAGCTTAGCCGTGACACTGAATCCTCCGATTCGCAGGGTGTGTATACTGGAATTTCCATTAAAGTTAGTTTTAATGAAGATGAAAACGACGTCGATATGATGCGGCTCTCCGGTGGGCAGAAGCATCTCGTCGCGGTAGCGTTTGTCTTATCATTGCAAGTTCTTGCACCAGCGCCATTTTATTTGTTAGATGAAATCGACCACGCCCTTGATGCGCAATATCGTGCGACATTAGCGGATGTAATTCATGAATTATCCGAACATGCGCAGTTTATCATGAGTTCTTTCTGGCCGGAACAAATGAAATATGCCAATGTATTCTTTGGCGTTAAAAGCGCACGTAAAGTAAGCAACGTGAAGCGTATAACGCGCGAAGAGGCCGAACAGTTTGTGAAACAGCACTAAGTCAATAAGTTTATGTTTAATTTTACTCGTTTGTTTCGATTAAGACTGATACAAGTACACTTTGGGTTTCGAATACAACAGATCAGTCTCGTTTTTTGTTTGTTTGTAAAAATCAGCGAAATAAAATCAACTAAAAGTAAGTTAATGTGCTCAACACTTAGTACCTATGATCAAATATTAAGTAACAGTATTTTATATCTGTAAGTTCATTCCTGCTGAGTGTAAATATTCACTAAAATTAAGTAAATTGCACTAAAATTCGCTAAGATAAACGATAAATAATAATATACGCTGAGTTGTTCAAGAGAACGTGGAAGACACTTTCAAATCAAACTCTCGGACATAAAATAGGATGTTAAAAGTGAGCGGTGTGAGAATATATTACTCCTTGGCCTTGCTCTTCTTGCCAAAGGCGAAGAGTTTTCGCTTCTTCTTCTTCACCTCGTCGTTATTGTCGATCACAGACGAGTCGGTGGAGTAGACGTCCTCCTCGACGGCCTGCTCCTTGATCTTCGGCGGCTTGCCGGAAAATTGCGAACTGATGCTGGGATTAGACAGCACCTTGCTCTTCGCTTCAAGGGTTGTATCGGAGAACGCCAGCTTGGGGCGAATTGTTGGCTCGCTCGGCGCCACCTCCTGCGAGTACGAGCGCGGCAGCACTCCCGTGTGCTGCGGCGGCTTGTTTATCACTATGTTATTATTGCTAATACTTCTTGTACTGGAAGGCTGAGATTGTTGTTTCAACGGTTTTTCTTCTACCCACACGCTTCTGCAATAATCATTTATTTAATTATTTTTAAATTTAAATTTATGTAAACTTACGGTTCGCCACCAATGATAAAATTGACATTGTGTCTGGACGATTCACTGATATCTTCTTCCTGCTTACTGGCCTCACTCTCGGAGGAATCCACTTCTTTCCATGTGGCTGATGATTGCAGAGAGTCAAACATACCTGAAACAACCAGTGTTAGACCTCTCATATTAAAATAGTGAACAAACCAAGCAAACAAAACCTACAAGATAAAGAAAAGAGCGAAGCTATTGTGCTGTTTATGGTTGTGCGTTTGTGTGTGTGTCGAAAACTTGTACGCGTTTCTCGTTATCTCGACTATTATTGCACCCACTTTGTAGAAAATTTAAACACATGCCGCGCGATTGTTTATTTTTAGGCTGGTTTGTTTAAGCACCTTACCTTTAATTCACAACAAAAAAAAAGAACACAACACACACGCTTCAAAACTGCAGCAAATTTGTAAATAGGTAAATAAATCAAAGCTACAACTTAACAAATATAAAATATTTAATACATGTTTCTACGTGTCGTCTACCATAAATCATCAAAAATACAAGCAAATCAACTACACAGTATGTAAATAAAATTGTCTTAAAAAGATTTATAACGAATGGAATAGTTGAGACTCTCAACAACTGTCACCATCACACTGTTTCAAGTTCGAACGTGTTACTTGTTAATGCCGCCATTTCAAAATGCATGTACGGGTGGGAATCCTTAATTAAGTTTAGAGGAAGCCAGCCAAACCGAGCTCGCTTTAAGTAGCTGGGGTCAGCAATGTCAAGTCTTCAATTATAACACAATGATTGCACAACAACGCTAGACTATTGTAATGTGAACACAATTGCGTGCAAATAATTGAAGACCCGCGACAATTATAATCTCTACGTGGTACTTTTAAGTACAGTTTATAAGTAAAAAATAAAAATATATCTTTATAAATAGTTAGAGTGGAAGAATATCGGTTATAGTACGGTCTCGTTGCGTGAGATTCCAAAATAAAAGTATTTAAATAAAAAAAATAAGGTACTAGATTATTGCAATGATGAAAACTGAGACTGAGAGAGAGAGCAGGAAGCTGAAAACTCACTCGAACTCCGAGTCATCATCAATCGGTAACTTCTTACCTGCACTGGGCGCATAAATCGAACTGCTCTCATCGTCCAGATCGTCCTGGCTGCTCATGCGTCCTAAAATCAAAACCGACACAATTCATACATCACTCCAATTACAACAGCCCCAGGTGAACAAGAAAACCAAAAAATAATTCATCAACACCATGTAGTAAACAGTTTGCAAACAAATGATTGATTGAAATATAGAGACTTGTGGAAACACCAAATCCCATTTAATAAATTAGTATTTTTCAACAGCCATAAATGTGTGTGTGGGTTTGTGTGTGTGTGTGATGTGTGTGATTTGTGGAACAAAAGCTTTGCCGGTGTCAATCGTGTCGGTGATAATAAGAAGAATACTTGCGCAAGAGTAATTTGGCTTGGACAATACCTCGCATACCGAACGCACGCCCGTTGTTGCGGTAGAGCGTGTTCTCGAGCGTGTGTAGCCCGTTGTTGTTGATGATCGGGAAGCCGCAGAGTTTCTCGATCTCCTGCCATCGATGGACGCGCTCTTGCAGCTCTTGCGTCACCTCCGTGAGAGAAGTGCGCGCCTCCACAATGGAGCGGTCCACCTCGTCGATTGACTTGCCATGCGTGGAGACAAACGCCCCAACAAGGCTAGAGCGCTTCTTGCGAAGTTTTTCGCACTGCAAACAATCATTCCATTATAGAAACAATATTAATTACTGATAAAACTTGTTTTTGAGTCTAATCTTACAGCCTCACGAGCCTGGATCAGTTGCTTTTCGGCACTGAGTTTCTTTTTCATGTAGGCCTTGTTTTCGATCTCGTACGTCAACTGCAGCCATTGTTGTAGGCCGTGTGGCGGACTCCAGCACCGGTCTTTCAATTCGCCCTCAGCCAGCGTCAGCTCATGTCTTAACATCTAAAACAACCAAAATTTAATGTTTTTAATGTGAATTGTATTAAATGTACTGACAGTCTTAGTCACTGCTACAAATGAAACTGGTTTCAGTTTACACGTGTACATTGAAGGTAAAATGTACAGTCGTTAGTGATTTTGTACTAATCTAAACTGATTTAACGCGTTCCAGTGAATGGAGATGAATAAACTTCGATGATACATTGAGTTAAGGGGATATATCCAGTTTTTGTTGAAAAATATGTGAAAATATATAAATTATCCAATGATTAAATTGTCAGAACCTAATAGCAATGATTAAAATTAGTTCTGCTCTAAACATTATTAATTGTAAACAAAAATCTGTTAATTTAAACATAATTTATCCCCTTAAGATTATTGGTCAGATGAATACTAATTTTTGAATAAACTCATTATTGTTCTGACTGTAAACAAAGTCAGCTAAACGTGAATTCGATGTGAATTTTGAAAAGGTTTTTCACCTTCAGTTATTTTACTGCATGATGTTCATTCATACCTCAATTTCGGCCTCCGCAGTCTTCTGCAATTGCTTAACCAGATTCTCCTTCTCGCTGACGACGGTCTCCTGCTCAATCTTCGCCTGCTCCAGCTCCTTTTGCACGGTGAGCAGGTTCTTCTCAGCACTCTGCAGGCCCTCCATATCACAATTCATACGAGACAGGTGTCGCCTAAATTTTTTATTCTGCTGGATGGCGTACCACATGCCAATTCCGCCGACAATAATTAAGGTCATCAGCGTGACGTCCTTCCAATGATGCCTGCCATCTGCGCGAGCATAACAATAGAAAATGTGACAATAACCGGCGGCGCGCACACGCGCAAAACGTACCTTTCGGCGGGCCGAACAGAACAACGTCCATCGCTTTGAGCGAAATTTTCTGCTTGTGGATGGGATCTTTGATACCAAGGACGCTCAAGTAATGCATGTTGTTCACCGCGAGCCTGCAGCACACGAAAAGTATGCATTAGCACGGCACTCGCGCGTGCTGCGGGTGCAATTATCGCCATTACATGTATGCAATGCACACACACAGCTGATGTGTGTTATTAATTTACCTGGGCAGCTGCGCGCCCGCGACTTTGCTCTTGATGAAGTTGTCGACGTACTGCGGCAACTCCACGTTCGTCGCCAGCCATTCGGTGGTCTGCTCGATGGTCCAGTTGTGGACTTCTGATCGCAGCCACGCTTCCCACAGCTCCTTTACTGATATGTGCATGTCATCGTTGTGATGGAAGGCTTTCTGGCGCTTCTCGTAGCCAGAGTCTAGTTTTAAATCTTCTCTTAAAAACTACAAACAACCAGAGTTGGAATAAAATTCAGTTCAGTCAAAGATAAAAACTATTGAGTAATAAGAATTTAAAGAATTTAAGTCGGTAAAATAGTTTCCTAAAAAGCGCCATTTTCTTTCAATTATTCTCATTGTTAGCATAACATTACTACAGCTAGACCAATGAGAAATTATGTTTTAGTTTCTCTGTTGAATTGCAAGATATGAATCACAAGAAAGTGAATCAAACATAAATTCTTGTACAATCAACACATCTATTCTTAATCATAACTTTCATACCAAAAATATTTATGTTTTGATCAAATTACAAACTAAAAAGTAATGAATAACTTACATCACCAGTTTCTGATAAGTCAATATTGCCATTAGCATCATCATCTAATTGCTGATGCAAAGCCCTGATGGCCTCCAAGCCCAATTTGTCATTGGCAGCCAAAGAAAGGCAACTGAAGTCATCATTATTGCAGGTTTCATGTAAATCTAAAACCAGCAAAAATTATCTCACCACTTTCTTCATTACACACACACTTACTTTCATTATTAACAGCCTTAGAAATAGTTTTACTAATCATTGTATAGGTATTCTCACTGCTGCTAGAATCTCTGCTCCGATACTGGTGCTCAGGGGGCACATTCTGAATAGGTTCCACACGTTCCGGCTGATCGTCACACAAGCCGTCGCACCAGTAGATTGCAAACACTAGCCAGAATAAAAAGCGACGAAAATGCATCCTTGCGACCACGAGCGTACGATGTATTTATTTATTTTTTGCGTGGATTATAATCAGCCCTGAAGCCCGACTATAACCTCAAATCGCACTTGAATCTGCTGCACTTGGCTTTCGATTTTGCCAATTTCATAATAACTGTTTTCGACGTTTTCGACTACTTGCGACGCACCGACGACATTTGTGGATGGCGCACGCTGCGGAGAGCGCAGCTTCGTCTTGTTCGTTAATCACCCAATCGGTTAGTTATTCTGTCGGCTGTGTGTAATGTGTAATGGTAATGATAGCTAAAAATTTACAGTTTACTCCTCAAGGTTAACGATTGTACATAATATCGGCCGCGGTGGTGGTGACGGCAGCGTGCCAGTGCGACGTTTTCGTACTGTCGTCAATTTTCACGATCGCAATTTGAGCGCAGTAGACGCAACAAGTTTCCATTAGAAAGTGGGATTATACACATTAGTAGATTGTAATTACTTATTACAATTATCCTTACTAATTTTACTATTGCCCATAAACTTGCAATGAATTACAACACAGATGATTAAATACGTAATGTTTTAATACTTTATTTTTTTAATTTGAAAATATATCCTGTAAATTTTGACGTCTAATATTCGTGTAGGCCTGTTTTACTTGTTACAATTTGAAATTGATCTGCACCGTACCGGTTGTAACTAGTTTCGAAGTTTCCTCTTAACTTAAATTTAGGTCACAAAATCGCCACAGTTGGAATTGACTCGCAATTTGAAAAAATGAGCTCGTGCGCGTATTTTGTGCTTTTCTTCATCTAAAAGTAAATTGCCCGCAAATCTAAATATAAATTGCGTCCGTAATACCGGTAATACGAGTATTAATAATTTCAGTTATAATTATTCTTTCAACGACGTATTATAACATCTTTAAAATGACCGCTCAGTCAAGTGTACTTACAAAGTGTGTAGGTTAAAAAACTTCTGCTTTTAGAGACACTATTACTCTACCAATTCATTTAATTCATTAACTATTATGGAAATTTGTTTGGAAATACAAAAGTTAGGTTAGTGTTCAGAGCAGCCGCAACCTCACAAACACCGCATCAAATTTTCATCAATTTTTCTTCATTTTCTCATGAATAATTCAAGTAAAAATGTGTTTTGTTTTTAGGAACAGGATTATTAATTGTACTGAACACAAATTAACACAAATTATAACTATAACTACTATAGTGACCTAGTGCGCAGACGCAGAATACCAAATGTTTGCTTACACCGTTCATAACTTTTTTTACTTACCATTATTTAAAGCCGTGCCTGCGAGCGGCGGTTAATTAAAGAGAACCACCCATAAACATCTACAAACACAACAAACTAACCGGGCAATGAGAGCAAGGCGACGAAAATATGAAACATCTGCACCGGTAAAGAATGTAAACCGCTCCGAGTGCGCGAAGCATGCAAGCGCATATTCGCTTGCGTATGTGTCGCTTGTCTCTCGTCGATTTTACGATCATTGTGCGCTCGCGGCCAACATTAGAGCCACACACTTGTTCGAACGCAAACAAATTAATCGTGTACACAATCAAATCAAATATTAGCTCAATTCGGCGAATTAATGTACACAAACTATTATCAAGTGCGTCTCTTCAACTTGTAAAAATCTCAATAGACATTTTACGTAATGTAAAATTTGGCGAAACATGTTATATAATTTCTATTACTATTTAGAAAAAAAAGTTACATAGATTTGTGAATTATTTTTATTTAATTTATCGTATGTAGTAAATATGTGTCAGAGTCCTGGAGTCGGCCTTACGCCTGCGCTAACATTAGTATCATTGGTATTGTCGGTCAGTCATCGGTCATCGTATTCTCATGTTTCAATTGTTAGAATATTTATCTATGTTTACTTAAACTTTTAATACTTAAGTATATTAATAAACAAGTTAGCAAATTCGACTATTGATTTAAGTAAACATATCAAGTTTTGTTTTACATTCATTTATAAAAGTTAAAAATTGAGGTTATAAATGTAGGAAAATGCTTAAAAACCATATTTAAAATCCAGGATGATCTAGGTTATGATTAACTTTACTTAATTTAAAAATCTGTAATGTTTTAATATTCTATGGTTACCATTCTGATTTATTAAAAAACTTATTGTTTACTCAGAAAGTATTCATGCAATGTTGTTCAAGTTTTGTGCACATAGTTTGTGCATGCATATTAACAATTGTTAAGATAATAACAATACAGTGGTATTAGTAACTACTAAATAAATAAATAAATAATAGGTAAAAAGACGTTGCTTAAAACGTGAAAATCAAAATTTGGACGCCATTTTGTCATAAAATATTCTACACATGTTTCTTAAATATAATAATCTAACTCAAAATAATAATTAATAAAAATATTTTGGTACTCAAAATTAAATTATAGCGCAAATTCTATAAAAATGAACACGATTATTACATAAGCATAAATCTGATGATATACCTTGTGTAATTGCCTATAAAATGATTAGTTTTCCAACGCGTTGTACACAAAAAAAAATCATATATAAATGATTACTGCGAAAGCAGTATGTATGCAATAGTAATGTGTGTTATGAGTGCGGCTCGAGTTTGCGATGCACTTGCAATTTGCAATGCCGCGGCATCGAATGAATGACCTTACGCTTATTAAAGGTCGCTCAATTCACAATGAAAATGTATGTAACACATGTCGAATTTTAATTCATTCAACAACAACACATAACCAATTTAAATATTGATCAAATTAATTTTATTTTAAATTGCACATACTCGTGTCAGTGCATAGTAAACACACAGTTGATGATGAATTCTTTGCGTTGGCTTATTGTGAAACACTCGTCTACTTCCTCATGCTCAGACCAAACGGTTTTGCGGTTTGAATCTTTTTCAATAGGATCTAAAACAGAAAAAAATCGTATAATTAATTACGTGGAAACATAAAACACACTAAACAAGTGATTAAGTCATAATGATTATGTAAATGTCTACATTTGTAGCTTCTCAGACAATAAAAACGAATAATAGCGGAATATTCAAAATGGCGGATGGGAATTAAACGAAAAAAGTATACAAAATGTTATCTTATAGTATTTACCATATTTTCTCGTTCAATCTGTTGTTGCATCTTTTTGCGATTAACTTGACTATTTGATACTTTAGTAAAATAACCCGGATCCATCCGGTATTGTGATGGTTTTCGGTTGTGACTTGCAATTCGACTCATCAAAATCGCATTCTTGCGTTCGATATCTCGCACTTCTGACGCGCTGAATGATTTATTCTTTCCCCTAGGTAGTCTTAGTCCCTCCGGAATTACACTTGTAGCAGATGAGGATGTTGTTGTCGCCGACGTGTAACTTTCATCCCTCCCATCGCTGTATTCGCTGCAACATTTCTTCTCGTCCGCCCGGCAAAGATCTTCAAAGCGTTCCAATTCCATCTTGGTGGCTTCATGTCGCAACTTTACTCGGCGAATTCTCTCCTCCAATGCATCAGGACTAATCGTAGTCATTTTATAATTCAAGAAATAAAAAAAATTGTTCAAAAGAGAAAAGTAAAACGCTAAAACATGCGAGACGTAAAATAAAACATGTGACACTTTGTACGTTTTGGGAAAAACTGCAACTGCAGTGATGGGAAACAAAGCGTCTAACAAGTTTGTTTGGTTGCCATAGTTACCAAACAACTTGTTTGGAGACACTGAGAATAATACAAACTAAGATACTATCGAATTAATCGAGCAATGTTACAAATTTATAAAAAGTCTTATCACATGTTGTCAGATCACATAAAATATAGTAATTGTTGTTAATCGATGTAGTTTTGTCACAGAAAACGTTCGGCATTTTCTTCGCCTAGCTTCCAGCTGTAATGCCATGTCTTGTCCTCTGGGTACTGGCAATCGTAGACGTTCTTTTCATTTTGGTCGATGACTAGCTTATCATAAACTGCATCACAGATAAAACATTGGAATGATGGAATGACATCGTAATAGTAGTTGGCTTGCCCTAGAGAACCTCCATGCTTGAATAAAGTCAGCAATCGTTCGTTGGTGATTTGATTTCGAAGTTTATGATTCATATAGCTATTGTACAGATTATCATCGTTGTTTACTTTTGTTATATAGGCAGCTAATGCTGCAATTGAATGAAAATCATCCATTAATATTGCGGATTTTTCATTTGGTAAATAATCCTGTGAAAGAAGAAAAGTCAGAAGTGCAATTTTATTTTTTTAATTAAAAAATGTATTACCTTTATCGTTGTTGCCCCTAAATAAATGGGAATAGCCCCGACAATCAAAGGCCTCCAAAATTTCTCAGTAATATAATCTTCACATTTGGCATTTTCAATTGCAATAATAAATTTATATCTAGAATTCAGTTCCAATAACTTTTCAGAGTAAAATTCAATTGTTCCAGTTTCAGACATCAATCTACAAACAAACAATTAATTAATCAATACTCAAATTACCAAATTAATGTTAAATACTTACTCTCTAGGCATTTGTTTATTATTCAAACATGCACCATATGAGTCTACCTTAAAATACTTCATTAATTCCTTCACATAATCATCCCTCTTAATAGGAGTATCACAAGCTGATTGAATATATAAAATAGGTGCATGCTCCCTGTACTTTATTAACTTATTCTTCACCTGAACATCAACAAAAAACTCAAGACTAGTCAGAGCTTCCAAGCTCTCAAGATACTGTAAAGTGATTGGGAATGTGCTGTGCCTGCTGAAAGTAGAAGTAATATTAAACATTTGCTGCAGTTTTAAACTTCTTAATGCTGGTTGGTTTTTAGGAGATTCTTCATGGAAGAGAGCCCAATATATATTTGGATTATGTTTGGGCATATTTTCTAGATCTAGGAGTGATCCATAGAAGATCACTGCTTCCAGATTGTTATGATTTAAATGTTCGAGATTGCCACTAACCACACATTTTCTACTTTTATTGCATGTGATTGTTTCTTGTTCCAGGACGAAATCAGTCCACCAGAGTAATATTGGATATTTTGATTCATCCTCAGTCAAGTAATAATACTTTAAACATTAAAAAGTATTAATTATAAATTTAGTATTTATAGTAAATTGGTCTACTCACCGAAAATGTTAAATACACTATGGATCCAATAACACAACATACGAAAAATGTAGCAGCCTTCATGTTAAAATTAGTTTATTTTAGTTTACGACGTCCGTAACTAGGTGTTTTGAGGTTAGAAAATTAAACTATTTATGGAGTTTGTAGAAAAATGCTCAACACGTGCACATACTGCGTATTTGATGTATTTGCTTTGCAAGGTTAAATATAAATGAACATGCAGGATGTGCAAAAGATCATTGAATCAGCAGGACACGTGCCGGATGAATTTATACAACGCATTTTGAAAGAAAAGTTAAATCTCAAAATGGCGGTTATTTAGTTTCAAACTTATTAAACTATATCTTGATAATGCTAATAAACACATTGTTTAAAATATTGTGGTGTTAAGTTTGGTGTAATTTATGCGTTTTACTAAGAAATTCTCCGTTTATTGTTGCGGTAGTTTTAAAATAGCGCGTTTTGTAAGATCAGGTATTGTTGCGCATGCGCAGCAAATCGGAAGTGTTGAATCTCTGTTGGCAGTGAATTGCGCCCGCAGTTGGGTTAAGTTCTCTCTTTCTTGTGTGCTCTTGAGCGGTGAGCAGTGAGCTGCGACTTTAGCAACCATTTTTGCATTGTCTGAGTCGTGCCAGAAGCAACGGCAACACCAACTAGCAACAGTAAGTGTTCTGCATGTATAATTAATCTCACCTACAACGTGCTCTTATTCAAATTATAAAAAAATCCACTTCAAAACGTGCTCGGTACAAATTAGCGCACATTTCGATTGAAACATGCTAACACGTGCGAAAGAAACATGCCCTGACAACGCGATTAACAACAGCCATCCATGCCCGTGTTGATTCGTTTGCGTTTTGTTTAATTTAAATAAAAAAAAATTCACTGACATTCGAAAACATTGCTACTCAAAATTGTTTGAATTTCGCTGCAAGAAACTGAACATCATCACAATGCGTATGTATGGCGGCTTCCTTTGTTTGCTGAAGAGTTCTGCTTTATTGTTACAGAAATGGCAGCGGAGAACGAACACGTCGGCGACTGCGGCGAAGATGTCGAAGAAGTTGAGGAGGAGGAAGCCGGCGAGGACCGCGCGCTCACTTTTCCGGATGTCCTGGCCGCGTTGCAGCAGCAGCGCCTTATGATGCTCTCACTGCCGCCAAAGGTAAAACGCCGCGTGCGTGCACTCAAAAAGCTTCAGCTGGAGCAAACCAACATCGAGGCGAAGTTTTTCGACGCCGTGCACGAGCTCGAATGCAAATACCATCAGTTGTATCTGCCGCTGTACGAAAAGCGGCAGACAATTATCAGCGGCGCGTACGAGCCGAATGAAGACGAATGTGATTACCATTCCGATGAGGACGAGGAGCTGGCAAAGGAGACCGAGGAGAAAGTCAAGATTGAAGACGCTCCTGCGATTGACGTGCCAAAGATGGATGAGAACGCAGCCGGTATTCCAGACTTTTGGTTGACCATCTTTAAGAACATTGCCCTCCTCGCCGAAATGGTCCAGACCTACGACGAGCCAATTCTAAAACATCTCAAAGACATCAAGACGAAATTTATTGAGAAACCTATGGTAAGTTGCACACAATCAACATAAACTGCAAGTTGTAATGTCAATGTCATTGATTTAGGGTTTCACGTTGGAATTTCACTTTGAGCCTAACGAATTCTTCACGAACACGGTGCTCACAAAAGAATACGACATGAAATGCGTGCCTGACCCAGAAGATCCATTCGGATTTGAAGGACCTGAGATTTACAAGTGCCGCGGCTGTCAAATCAACTGGAACAAGGGCAAGAATGTGACGCTGAAGTTGGTACGCAAGAAGCAGAAGCACAAGAGTCGTGGCCTCGTGCGCACCATCACGAAGACGATCCAAAACGATTCGTTCTTCAACTTCTTCAGCCCGCCAACCATTCCCGATGACATCAACGCCGACGACGTCGATGAGGAATTGCGAGAGCTGCTCACCACCGATTTTGAGATCGGGCATTACATGCGCGAACGCGTTGTGCCCAAGGCGGTGCTGTACTATACCGGTGAGGCCATCGACGATGAGGAGTACGATGATGAAGAAGATGATGATGAGGATGAGGAGGACAGCGAGGAGGAAGAGGATGATTCAGACGCGAAAGAAAATGCGAAAAACGTTAAGGATCAGAACTGCAAACAGCAGTAGCCGTGCGCTTCCGATGCGAATTCCCAATTAATGCTTCAATTTTTTTCTCTTTCTCTCCACACTATTTTCTACGCCAACATGAAATCCAATTCGGTAATCAACTGCCCGCGCTATAAACCGGTTTAAATTCGTGTACTGGGATAAAGCTGAAATTGTAACTTATGTAAACCAAATCGAAAAGTTGAAAATTTTTAGTCATGACTGGATCACATGTTATCGGAAAATATTAAAGATGTATATAATTTGTTATCGGCTGTCGGCAGCAATATCCGTCTGAAATTTGTAAAAATTGCATTGAAAATGAAAAATTGTTTGAATCAGAAATTTTAAAGCTGTGTTTTTTTTTTGTTTATCGATTTGTTTCATTTGTATGTAATGAATTTTGATGGTACAATAGAGCGAATTCATGTTTGTAAAAGCATGCATTATTTATCCCAAAAACTACAACAATTAAAATATATTGTGGTGAATAACATGTGGAGATGTTTTCGGCTGGAGGATTCTCGTTTATTTTTAATGAATGAATTAGTCACGGGTTTTGACATGGGTTATTCCTCATGTTTGGTAAACAGTCTCATTATAGTTTGCATTATTCACCTGGTAAAAATGCGTTCAGATGAAAAATAAGCACTTTGCTTCAGGGCTTACGAGTATTTCTATCATATTCTCATGAAAGCGACAAATACACGCTTGAATTGAATGTCGGAAGGCATCGGTTGAAACTGGGTCTCCCAATATGTTCAACGAAACAGTAATCAAGCCAAAATCAGTATCAATGATTGATTGACATTTTAGGACACATCAGAGGGTTAAAAAGTTAAAATTGCATACATAGGGGACGTTTTACGCATGATATTTTCAAATATTACGGAAAATACTCATTTTTTATTAATTCCAGGCAATAATTGGGGGATTAAAGCTTCTTTAATGTAATACTCGTAAATATACAAAGTTTCCTATGCCATGTTTTCATATTTTTATGAAAATGCCACGGAGTGAAGTGCTAGTAAATAAAATATTCAAAATTTAGTTTAAAATTAATTTGGTTTGCCAAAAAAGTACGTTAGCAATGTACAAATGGACCTGTATTGATGTATGCCTATATTTGTAAAGGAAAACATGTATTTAAACTTTACATCAAATTTCCCTATCAATTTCTAACAAAAAGATAAAATTTTACACTAGAATCTCATCTTTGATAATGCGATAAGCATGTAAATTCCGTTACATCCTGATTTGGATAATATCTAAAATGGCACTCAACCGAATTTAGATACCGTTAATTCGAGATATCTTAATAATCTTATCAGAAAACACTAATCGCAATATGGCATTCCATGTAGACATCCACATTCACAGTGAAAAACCATACGTTTTGTTTGGCGACTAAACTATTTATAACTTTGTTCACATTGTTCAGTTGAAACAAATTTTCTAAGCGCCTGAAAATGGCTGCTAACATAATTCTTCGCATGATCCACTGGGTTCGCGCACAAGTTCTATACCAAGCAGTGCTAACGTTCATCGGAGTGTCGATTGTGATTCCAACGGTGATCTACTTCATCGTTGTTGATTTGGCCGAGGAACCCACCGAGGAAATCAGTACGTGTGTCATTCAATACGACTATAGGGTACCATGTGGATTTGTCCCCGGTCGCGAAATGGGCAATCTTACGTCTTACGACTGTCGGAAAATGGGCTGCTGTTTTGATGATTTTACCAAAACATGCTTCCATTATTTCCCATCAAAATACGGATATCACAAAGTTGAAGATAAAGCATATTACACATCCAAACGGGTGCAGACGCCATTGGGAAATCCTATGTATGCAAATGTATCCATTGCTATAACCTCAAATGAAAACTACATTGAAGCATCTTTAAAAAGAATTCTAATCCCACAAAGGGCTAAATCTAGAAATATTAGAAACTTTCCTGATTTAACATACAGTTTATCAGAAACAGATCTTGCATTAAATATTTACAGAAGTAATTATCCTGATGTGAAAATTCTTGAAACTTCACGAGGACCTCTCATTGCTTCAGATGGATATTGGGAGTGGACTGTGCAGTTGACCAACAGAAACGGTACAATGTATGGCCTAGGAGGTTTAGAAATAATTGGAAATGTTACCAAAGTAATTCATAAAAATGAAATAGATCAAAGCAATATACCGTTCTTCATCGCACAACAAGAAACACCAAATGGCGTCGAGTACCATGCATTGCTAGTAGAACATCAAGGACTATTAGAAGTACAAGTACTTGAATCAAAGTTGATTATCTTCAGAGCTCTCAACGTAAGTGAAACAGGACTCACATTGAAATTCTTCCCTGGGCCAACATTAAAAGACATTCAAAAACAAACCGCGCTTAATAATCAACCAGAAACTATTCCAAGATGGCTGCTTGGAACACATATATGTCGAAACAATGTCACTGATTTAGGTACAATGTTACTAGAATTTGCAAATGAGCAGCAATTCAACACATTACAAGCTGATTCTGATTGTTTCAACGAGTTGTTGATGATTCTATTAATCGAAATGTACGACGATCAATTACCAGCAAGGAAAAGTCATACGAAAGATATGATTGCACAAAATCTCCGGACGAAATTTGTTTTACCTTTAACTCCACATATTCCTATTGGTGTAGATGCTACTGAAACAGAAGAAGCAAGAAATTATTCATTGTTCACCACTGCGTTTGAAATGGATGTTTTGTTAAAGAATGAAACCCAAATACAAGTTGGGGACTACAAAAACAGAAAGGTTGCATTTTTTGATCCACGGTCAGCAAATGCAGTGGATTACCTCAAGAAATTACTAGACGCAGTAGAAGAAACAATTATACCAGTGTCAAAAATCGATGGAGTGTTTCTATTGGATAATTGGCCTCAGGATGATTCATACAACTTCACAGCTGAAACCCAAGAACTTTTATATTACAATAATGAAATTGCAATGGCACTGAATAAAACACCGCCAATGTTAATGACAGATCAAGAGAATTACGTACGTAAACAAGTAGAAGTTGTTCGTGCAGCTATTAACAAAGATATACCAATTTTAAGTGCATCACATTATTATGAATATCGTAGTCCTCTACTCCCACAACACATAAATAAATCATGGGCGAATTTGAAGGAATCAACAACACGTGCATTATTCACTAATATTTTCATGCATCCGGTTGCTTTAAGTCCAGTTTGTGGTACGGATTCTTGGCTGACAGACACTGCCCATGAGAATGAACTTTGTGCAAGATGGTTTATCAATCAGGCGACGCTTCCTGGGCAACGAATGACTATGAATTGGTACACGCATGAAAATTTCACGTTTTCCTCACGGAATATCGTTGATAAAGCCCTGGAGTTGAAGCAGATGTTGAGTTATTATCAATACACACATCTGCGTGAAATTGGTCACACTGTTTCACCAATGTTTATGGATTTTCCGGATGATAATGTTACTTGGTCCCTGGATGATCAGTATATGCTTGGGAATTTATTGGTAGTGCCGATTTTCTTGCCACAGACTACAATGCGACGCTTTTACCTGCCGTCAAATATTTCCTGGTATGAATTTTGGGGTGGATTGAATTATAAAAGTGGATGGACGAATATGAGTGTCTCCAATGATGAGAGGATGATATTCGTGAAGGAAGGGACTTTAGTTCCTATCTTAAAAGTATGTTATTAAAGGTATTATAATGGTTTTAATTGATATAAGTTTTTGTTTTAGGAAAAGGACAAAGAATTGTACTTTGAGTTAAAAGTTTATAAAAGTTGCAACGTTGGAAGGGACAGTATCCATGGAACAATACTTTTTGATGATTACGTTTTACAACTCTCAGTTTTTGATCGATTTATAGAGGTTTCCAACATTCTTAATGTACAATTAGATGTTGATTGTACTGCAGAGATTAAAAATCATGCACATAGAATTAAAAAACTTCAAATGTTTGATTGTAAAAGTAAAGAGATTGTGTTTGAGTTTGATTTTGATATATGTAGCGAAACTAATCAAGACACAGAAAAAATTGTTATAAATTAGTTAATTTTAAGTGATATTTAAGTAATTGTTTAATCTATGTACATATATTTATAAAAATCAATAAATTATCTCAATAACTACCATGTTTCTATGTGAATTTGTAATTCTGTCATTAAAATGACAATGGCGCATGAAATATTTTCCTTTTTTATGTGAATCAGTGACTAGAACATGTTCTAATTCATACATGAAATATGTGCAAGTATAATCATCATTATGCTTCAAATAAATAGTTCAAATGCAACTGCAATTCAACCTTGTCGATTTAATGCGAATCATGCGCATGATTTGCGTCAGTCCGTCAGTGGTGGTGTCAGTGGTCAAGCGGCGTCAGCTGCTGTTTGTATACATGCGGCGAATCTTTTATTTGCTTTAATTAAAATAAGTGATATCGCTGGCGATAAAATTATGTATTACTCACATAATTGTTACTAAAAAAGCGTTGGACGACCAGTAGCGTTCGAACTTCGGCCGCGATAATAACAACACTACAGTAATCATGCCATCAATGGAATTAATCGTCACGTTAACATTGTTCGCGTTCACTTTCGGCCAAACAAGTGCGCAAATCTTCTCGTATCAACCAGAACAAGTACACATTAGTTTTGGTAAAAATGTGAGCGAAGTTGTCGTTACCTGGTCGACGTTTAATGACACTCAGGAATCTTTGGTGGAGTATGGCATTGGAGGGATGATTTTGCAAGAGAAAGGTGCTTCAAAGGTGTTCATTGATGGTGGTTCTGCAAGTCACACACAGTATATTCATACTGTTACATTGAAGAATCTAAGTCCAAATAGCAAATATGGTAATAATTAATTCAGTTTTTGCCTTAAAAAAAGTATATTATTATGATTAATATTAATTTATATTTGATTATGTGTTTAGTTTATCATTGTGGAAGCAATATGGGTTGGTCTGCTGAGTTCTGGTTTAACACAGTGCCTACAGATGAAAATTGGTCGCCTAGTTTAGCGATTTACGGCGATATGGGCAATGAAAATGCCCAAAGTTTAGGCAGACTTCAAGAGGAAACTCAAAGAGGCCTTTATGACGCTATTCTGCACGTTGGAGACTTTGCCTATGACATGAACACTGTAAGAATAATAATATTTAACTCTTACAGCTAATTTCTTATTAAAAATTAAATTTATAGAATAATGCTGAAGTTGGAGATCAATTTATGAGACAAATTGAATCTGTGGCTGCCTATGTTCCTTATATGACATGTCCTGGTAATCATGAAGAAAAATAGTAAGTTAAACCAACAAATATACAAAAAATATAAACATAACACTAAACTTTGTTTATAGTAATTTCAGTAACTACGCCGCAAGATTCTCTATGCCATTGGGAAACGATATTCCATACTTCAGTTTTAATCTAGGCCCGCTGCACATAATCAGCATTTCAACAGAGTTGTATTATTTTATGAATTACGGTATGAAAGCGCTGGTCAATCAATATGAGTGGCTTGTAAATGACTTAAAAGAAGCCACACTACCAGAAAATCGCATCAAACGCCCATGGATAATCATCATGGGCCACAGACCGATGTATTGCAGCGATGACGACAGTGACGACTGCCGCCATTTTGAAACACTCACACGAGTGGGTCTCCCATTCCTGCATTTCTTCGGTATTGAACCGTTGATGTATGACTACGGCGTAGATCTCGCCATCTGGGCTCATGAACATTCATACGAACGCCTGTGGCCGTTGTATGATTACAAAGTTTACAATGGCAGCTATGAAGCACCATACGTAAACCCAAAAGCGCCGGTGCACATTATCACTGGCTCGGCCGGGTGCAAAGAAGGCACTGATACGTTTGTCAAGCCGCAACCCAATTGGTCAGCGTTCGTGACCAGTGATTACGGCTACACTCGCATGAAAGCGTTCAATAAAACTCATCTGTATTTGGAGCAAGTTTCGGATGATAAGCAAGGCGCCATCGTTGATACGTTCTGGATCGTTAAGGATTTACATGTTCCTTATAAAGACTTGAAGTAAACATTTTAAATGCTAGGAAATATTAGCAATAAGAATAACAGCGCTAAGCTAAACAAAAGTTGCTGCACCATGACACCAAAAAACCACGAGTTATCAATAGTTCCAGCCTCGAACAATTTTATCTCTACGACTAATAATTGTAATTTTGTGTGAAATTGTTTGTGTTATATAAATGTTGAAAAACTTATCTGCTTGTTTATAATGTGATACGGGCAAAACATGTTTAATACTCACATTAAACTATTTATAACCATAAGCGAATAAATCTTTGTTCAGTTTGAACATTACACAATATTTAATGTTTTTCTTGAATTTCTTCTTCGGTTTTCTAGTGAAATCCACATCTTTTGCTGATTTTTCTACGCCGTTGGCACCGTCATGCATTCGTTTTTCTCCGCTGAAATAGAATCACTACTTTTTAATATGTAATAACAAAGCATGTGGAAAACAAGTTACCTCTTCACAGAAACTATGTTTTTCTTTCCTTTTGAGGCATAAATCGCACCCCAATCTTGTTCTGAACCTTTGATTGCAAACTGGGAGAGATTCTCATTTTTAAGTTTCTCTAACTCCTTCTTTTGTTTCTTCTTTAGTTCGTTCGCTGCTTCGTCTAACTCTTGTTGCATACTTTTGGCAACCGGCGTCAATTGTACATCTTTAACTGGTGCCAGGGATTTTTCAGCATCCTCGGATAAGACAGTATTGATGTATTGTACTGTTCGACGAATCAATCGGTTGAAAAGACCTAGTAATTGATTTGATGGTAAATCTAGTTGCGTGGATAAGTCATCAACATCTTTGTGTTGTAACCCGACACCTAATAGAATTGCCTAGAATGTTAAATTTACAAATATGCATTAAAAATAATTGTTTATACATACAGCTTGTACTGCTGACAATTGAACATCACCCAAGTTATTCGTGAAATAGAGCCTCGCCAATGTAGGAATCAAGTCGGTTATAAGATGATAATCCACCAAATTATTACTGTACATTTCTAGACGTTTCACATCATAAGTAGTCATGTGTACATCCAATTCATTTCTTGAAAGTACTAGAAATAATTATTGTTACAAAATATTTGGTCTATTTTGTTAAAATTTTAGCTTACCTTTTGATTCAATCACTCTAGCTTTGTTTGTTAGCATACTCAACGACATAGCTGGCGAAAACGTCTTGAAATTATAACTCAACAAAGAAACAAACCTCTTTCTAAAGTCAATCCAGTATGCCTTCAACCAATCGTCGTCTTTCGCATTCGCATCGTCATTGATCACATTCAGCATAATACATGAATGTTCCCCAGTCAAATCATTAGTAGTTTGACGCAAATAAACAGGCACAAAACCAGATCTCTTCCAGAATTTTAACAAACCTTCAGTCAAACCGTAGGAAACACCAAGATAATGCAACTTCTCTGGTGGTCTTTCACTTAACTTTAGTAGTAATGGCGGCAGAGACTTTCTTGGTTCAATAGTTTCTTCTAACAAATTAACATCTTCATCGTCAACGTTGTCAATTTCTGTTGTTTCTACTTCATCCAAGTTTGTTATTTTGAATTCGTAGTAATCTTTGAGAAGGTTTAGCGCTCTTGCACCGTAACCCATCTTAAATTGTTATAAAATTAATATCTAACTTAAAAAAATATATCAAAATATTAACTTACACCTTGATAATCAGGATGCGTAGCAATCCTAACGATTCTAGCACCACTTAAACTTGGAAAATCAGGATCCTGAAACTGCTGGCCTACAGTCCAAGGGATTAAATCACCCGCAGCGCGTTTTCCTCTTGAGAAGCCATCTTGAACGCTGCCTTTCGAGATTTGTCCTTCGAGACATACTTGTATAACAACCAAAATCTCAGGCAAAGTTTTTTTGGATGAGTCCACAGGGCCCAAAAGACAGAATAAGTGATGTGCAGGCGCGTCCGACATCATTTGTAAATCATTAGGAGAGTTTTTATAATGCGAGGCGACATATAAAGCCACAAGACGTTGCAGAAACTCTTCAGACGCCTTGTGATAACAAAACAACGTATCGCGGTTGATGTAATACAACTCACAGTTGTCCGGTGGTGGACAACCGGACATTATTGGTTGAACAGATGTAGCATCCAAGCAGAGAAGTTTTGTCAGCCATGTTTCAACTTCATCGCCAGGTTTATATCTGATGGATTCCTCGAGCGTTACCTAAATTTAACAAAATATTCCATTTCTAGTTTCTAGCAACTCAAATACCACAAAAACTTACTTCATGTAAAATTCTCCCTGTAGCAGCTCCAGTTGATTTGTTAGCCGCATTTGTGTTAGCTCCCACCGGTGCAGCCTGAACACGAAGTTGTTGTAACAATTTTAATGACAAAGAACGTCCAGTGCCTTCATAGCCATTGATAGTCGAAGCCAAAAACACCAAATATGGCCCCAACATCGCCTTAACATAAGCTAATGGAATCGCTGCAGCTTCATCAATAACTAACAACTCCGCTTGTGATAATCTATTAGCATCAGTCGGATGAATATACTGAATAGTCTGACGATGATCACGGAAAACATTCACCCTAACAATGGCTTTATTAAATTCTGGATTTGTGCTCTGTACCAGTGAGTAATCAATGTGTTCTTGATACTCCAAAGCATCAAATCCTTTAAAAACAAACTCAAAGAACGTGTTTAAATTTTCAGGGCTCGGACTAGTCACGAAAATATTACTGTAACCAAAAGCTACTGCTGACGCGACTGCTAATCCAAGAGCGGCTGATTTACCACGACCACGACTCGCAGTTAAAGATACTGTTGATCGTAAAGTCTTTTCACTGATTGCCTCAATGAATTTCAACAAAGCTTTACCCTGATCTAAAGTTCTACAACAATTTATTAAACTGCCGACTGGTTGGGTTTCTCTTAGACTTGTCTTTAAATCGCTTAATTCAGCATCGTTTTCTGGTTGTTCTTCTGGTTTATCCACAGGATTCACATGTAGATTATGTGAAGACAATGGAAGAACAGCCAGTTGGTCATCTACAACTAAACAGCGCTTGCACGACGCCAAACTCAAAAGAAAACGTTCGTTGAAGCGGCAAACGACGTCTTGATGCGCTTCCGTTCGAAAACGTTGATGAACATCCATTGTCATTGTGTATAATTGTTTAAGAGAATTCATGGATCTGAGCAGAAGGACAACCAGACCTCCACCTTCAACGGTTTCGATTGTACGCGCTAATAGATTGGGTGTCAATGCTTCAAAGTCTTGTAGTACACACATTCCTGAGAAATTAATTTAAAAAGTTACATAAAAAGATTAATTTTGGGTTGGTGGATAACTTACCAAAGGTGTTTCCCAAAATCTTGTGGGTTTCTGAATAATAAGTATATCTAATCTTAGTGCTAGATACAAACAATTCAAAGGGATCATCTTCATTGACACTCAGTTTTCCAGCTTGAATCTTATGCTGCAAGTGCTTCATTCTCTTCTTCCTGTTGCTGCTGAAGCCTAATTCTTTCTTGTAACACCATAACACTGAAGGACGCGCTTTTACTTCAGCTTTTGCTAGCATATGATGCAGAATTACAACCTGATTAAATAAGTAAATAATTTTAAAATAAGATTAAGAACTAATAATTTGAAACTTACTTGATCTCTGCCTTTATCTCCAACAATTACAAACAGTGTTCTGTGTCCCAACTTAACACCATTCTCAATCAACACACGAATACGATTATCAATTTTCTTGCGAACCATTGTAATCACTATGTTATTAATTAATTATTAGCGAAGAATAAACTTTCAGCGTGGAAAAAACGTGTGCTTCGGAAAATGTGTTGTGTTTGTTGGTTAGAAAACTGGAGGGAGCTTTTAAAAACATGAGTTTGACTGATTTCAAGGCCTGTTACTTCACTCAAATGCCTAAAATGTAAATAAACACTTGCTTTGTCACTGTTATCAGTATTTTTCATGTTCTTATTCATAATACAAAACCTTACATAAGCTGAAGTTAACTGCCATTTGTCTCCTATTTTATTACATAGTTTTAAGGAAGAAACATAATTATGAAGGAGGCACCAATATGGAAACAAGCTCTGGTGCAAATAGCATCAGGTGGTTCAGCAGGTAATTGAATTACAATTGAACTCTAATATATATTACTTTAAACCTATAATGTTTCATAAGGGTTTGTGGAGATATGTATTATGCATCCATTGGATTTGGTCAAAACTAGGCTGCAATTACAAGGTGTTCCAAGGCATCAAGTTATTAAGAAAGATATGACTTCCTACTCAGGAATTATTGACTGTTTCCGGAAGATGTATGTTACTGAAGGACCTACCTCCTTCTGGAAAGGAATACTACCTCCAATAATTGCTGAGACTCCAAAGAGAGCCATCAAGTTTTGCTCATTTGAGCAATACAAGCAGTTTTTCATGTTTGGATCACCTACAGCTACACCATTAGTAAGACAATTTAGGAATTGAATCAAGGTAGTTAAATAATATATTGTAAAGACATTTAGTCTGGCAGGTTTGGCAGCTGGCTTTACAGAGGCTGTGGTTGTGAATCCATTTGAAGTGGTGAAAGTAACAATGCAAGCTAATAAAAAGAAAAGTATTGAGGCTCCTAGCACTTGGTTGGTCACCAGGAATATAATCAAGGAGAATGGGTGGGGTTCGAGAGGGTTGAGCAAGGGAATAACAGCTACTTTAATGAGGAATGGTGTTTTTAACTGTTTTTACCTAGGATTTTATAACTCTGTCAAAAATGTTGTTCCTCCAATGGCTGTGAGTTCACTTTTATTAATTTGTTATTCATATTTCTTTGTATACTTGCTTTAAGGACCCAGTTCATGAATTTGGGAGGAAAGTTTTGATTGGATTTGTTTCTGGCACAGTCGCATCATGTTTAAACATTCCATTTGATGTAGCAAAGTCAAGAATTCAAGGACCACAACCCGTTGAGGGTGAAATTAAATATTCTGGAACTTTGAGGACAATGGAAATGGTTTACAGAGAAGAAGGGTAAGGAATTAACAATGAATTTGAACTCTATTTAATTTATAACTATTGTTTTTAGTATGTTAGCTTTGTACAAAGGTTTATTGCCAAAAATACTGCGTCTTGGTCCTGGTGGAGCAATCATGCTGGTTGTATATGACTATATGTCTGAATTTTTGAGCGAGCAATTTTAAGAGATTGAAAACGCACAGGAAACTACAAGAAATCTTCATTTTATTCCATATTTTTATTACTGTGATACACGGGCATTTTGTGTTTTTAATTTACAGAGTATATTATATTATTGTGCATATTACAACATTTTGGTTTCACATATGGTTTATTGTTATGTTATTGGTGTAAAGTTAAATAAAATGGCAGTATATTGGTTTAATAGGTGTTATGCTTTGTGTAAATTACATAGAAATGTTTTGATTTAACACATGGGAGTGTAATTCCAGCAATTCACCTTTCAATTGTTCGAAAATCTTTGTTAAACTGCAAAATAACATCATTTTTAGATTTAGGTTAGGTTAAATATTAAGAATTTAACTTACTTTTGTTGATACGTCGATTCTGTTTCATTCTTTTCTGTTTCTTGAGTATTAACTTGAATTCCTATTGAACGAACTTCCTAAAACATACATTATCATTACAATTGATTCAAAAATTTAGCGCGAGATAACCCGTCGTAACCCCGACTCGTATTCGAAGCACCGTACTTTTATTTTTCTACGCGTTAGGGGCTGTCCATTAATCACGTGATCTTTTTTTTTCATTTTTTGGACCCCCTCCCCTTGGTGATACGTCGTGAGGTTTAAGATTACCCCCACCCCCCTCCCCGATCATCACGTGTATTTTAATCCCAACAACAACACGCCGCTTTTCTCTTTAGAAATCGTGCGTTTGACGAAAAAATAAATACACGTGATATCTTACTCCACTCCCCCTCCCCCTGGTGATTTTTCGTGATTTTTAACAAACCCCTCCCCTTCATGACTCACGTGATTAATGGACAATCCCTTAGGACGCATGCGGCGCATGTCACGAGTTCTATTGCAAAATTTGACAGCAAAGCAGTCGTTAACAGTAACTCGAGTTTATTTAACAACCAATTCCAACTTTTTACAAAAATAGCACAGCATACATAACTTAATCATATTCTAAACACGATTAATTGTTGCATTACAAATTTATAATTACATCTACTTAAACTTAATCCAATTTAATTGGTAATTGTGTGTTCTGTCAATTAATAAGTGCTTGTATCGTTACTTGCACGTAATCGCACGGTCCGTTGACCAAACTGCTTGTTTTCAATTCTTGCGTTTGCTGACAACGACGCATCATCCAACACATGCAGTTTCTCATACTGACTGTAATCATAAGGCGTCGGAGCTGGTTCTTTGTAATCTCCTTCGATTTCATAATGATCAGGATGATAGAAACTCTTATACTCATCCTGTTCATCTGTCTCTCGTTGAATTCTCTTGAATTGGTTTTCTACATCCGTCGCAGCGATATCAATATCGAAAGGGTTAGGCCAACGTGATTTATGATCATTTTGGTACAATTCCTGTAATGGAGGACGGATTATACCAGTGTAAGCTGGTTCTACGAATCCTTTTCCTTTGTTTATTTTCTTCTGGATGGCATCTCTTGTTCTCTGGCCGCGTTCTTTGATAACTCGTTGTCTTTCACGTTCTTTTTGTTGTTTTTCACGGAGTTTTATTGGTGTGGTTGTATCATTTGGATCTGGTGGAAGATTTTTACGTTGGCGTTCAAATTCTTTGAAATCTTTTATGATTTTGTTAACAATTTGTTCCTTTCTGTCTGGTTCAACTTGTTGATTACATGGTTTTTGTTTCTGGGTTTGTTTTTGTGATTCATCTGCTTCTTCAACATCTTGATGGTCATCTTCATCTTCTGGCGTGTATTCAGATTTGTACAAAATAAACTTTTGTTGTTTTTGACTTCTGGGTGCTTCTTGTGGTTCACGATAATCTTCATTAAGAACATCATATTCTTCGTATTTATTCCTCGGAGGTTCTAGAGGAGTATGAGGAACTTCTTGTACTTCTTGAATACCTTCATTTTCATCATTAACATTTTCCGCTAAATATTTATAACCAGTGTTTTGTAATTGCAAATAAGGCGAACCAGCCCAGAATGTGTCTAAAGATTGTTTGAACCTTTCACGAGAGTCTTCAAAATTGGGCGTAGGTTCACGTCTTTGTTCTTCTCCTTTGACATAATTTTTATAGTCATAACTCACTTGTTCCGGTTGGTCATAATCTTCAGACTCAAGGTTTTGTTTATCATCATAATCTGAAGTGTCTGCTGAGTCATAATCATCTTGATACAATTGTGGTTTACGTGGATTTGGAGGTGTAGCAACAGGAGGAAGAGTTGGAGGAGGTGGTGGGGGAGGTGCAGGGGTTGGAGCTGGTTTTGCAGGAGATGGAGGACGAAGTGTTCCTTTGGATGCTGGAGTTGGAGGAGGTCTTGCTGGAGCAGGACCAGGCCCTAATTTAGGTCTTGGAGCTGGAGGAGGAGGGGGTGCAGGTGGTGCAGGAGCAGGAGCAGGAGCAGGAGGAGCAACAGTATTCAAATCTCGATTGAAATTGAATGCCACATTGAATGTCTTCATTACATTTTCTCTTAATAATGGTCTTGCTGCTGGTGCTGCTGGAGCTGCAGGTCTAGGAGCAGGAGCAGGTGGAGCTGGAGGAGCAGGTTTCGCAGGCACAGGTCTAGATGGTTTAGCAGCTGGAGCAGGCGCAGGCGCAGGTGCCGCTCCTGGAGCTGGTGCAGCCGCCTGTCTTCCCCCAAATAATCTTATAGACAACGTTGGAGGTCCTGGAAGTGTCCTTGGCAGCGGTGCAACCGGTGGTGGAAACACTGTACTCCTTGGTGCAGGCATAGCTGGTGCAGCCCTAACAGCAGCCGTCGCAGATGGTCTTTTCTGTACATCATATCCAAATGTATCCGCCAATCCACGAATAACAAAATCAATCGTCCTTTTGTCTCGATTAATATCTTCACTTGAAGAAAATATCGAGCATAAACAGCAACACGTCACAAACAATGTCCCCAACCGCATTTTACACTCAATTCTTTACAACTTTAATACACACTAATAAACTGAAAACATTTCTGCTCCTCTTGATGTCCTATCAACCGCACAGATCAAGTTGAAATAATCGATAGCAACAGATTGATTTGAAATTTCACTTCGTATCACCAGTTTCGCCCGCCACGAGTTAATATGCAATGTCTGGACGTGCCTCCAGCGTGATAAAGAAAATAAGAAATCGTTTGACAAACGCTTCCGAAAGAATGATCAATGATGCCGGAGAAAGGGATTTTTTGCTTGTTTTGCATGCTTTAATCCATCGGTGGGCAGCGGGTATGCGTTTTTTTCGCTTCTTCGCATTGTTGCTGCAATGACGATGACGATAGAGTGGTGGGTGATTTGTCGATGGAATCAAACGAAACTTTAAATTTGCGAAAGCAATTGTTATGTAAACGGATTGAAACGTGCAACTGCGTTGTTGTTACCGCACAAGAAATAAATGCCTTTCAGTGGTACGCGTGGCAAACTATCGGTTTTCTGCATTTCGTTTAACCAATCTTCAATCCAACGAGTGTCACTAAAATTCTCAGTCAATAAAAAACATAGACGCATATTGTGTTGTTGTATGACTTTGTATTTTGTCTTGTGTGAAGAATCAAATGCATGGTCACGCATTGTGCTTCACAGTAATAACTCATAACACAATTACAGTTTTTTCAGCGTCGCATTTTCTTTGTTTGCGTTTTTTTTTGCGTTTAGACTGTTCTCAGCGTTGAAATATTAATATTGAGGTGGGTTTCAATATAAAATGTTTCCGTGTTTTATGGTTCGATATTTTTATGGAAACACTTAATCAAATTGTGATGAAATTGATTTTTTGTTTCTTTGTTATGACATGTGACAAGTTAAAATTGATAGTTTTGTTATACCGGATGCACATTAGTATCGAAACATCCAATAATATAGGATATTGATCACGAGGACAAAGTTTATTTCCACTAGCAATAAACCTACAGAGCAATTTCAAATAACAAATCAAATTAAATGCAAAATTATTAAAAATTAATTCAAAAATGTGACAAAATCTAAGACATTTTAAGTTTGGTTAGGTTTATGTAGTTCTGAATTGTACCATCGTGGCGTCCTTGTGCCTTGTTCATTAACCTAATTTTTGTTTTGATATTTTTGCCATGTTTTTCTTCAATTTGAAGTAAATTTTGGACAAAAAGCACAAAATAATTCATAAATATTCATAATAAATGTCAATACAACTGTCAAATATATTTTATGAAATATTTAGGTTATGTTGTTGGTTGAAATGGGCAAAAACACGATATTCATAACATTTTATTGCGTTAAACTTGATTGGACATTGGATAATTCGTTATTGCGTCGAAACATTCGTAACATTTTCAGTGGATAATATTTTAATTTGACTCGATTAACTAAACCGCGTTACACTTTTCGTTTTGCTGGTGTAATCGATGATAATGAACAATTTTCCACTTCTTTCATTTCTTTTACACGACGCGCACGCAATTTCGACTTCTTGCCGGCGGCGATCGCGATCGAGTTGCGCCAATATCGATATAATTTATTAGGCCGAACGCGAACGAACTCTCTCTGCATGCACCTTGCCAGTTTTGATATCGTAAAAATGCTTCAATAACCGATTTGGTGCGGCGTGATTTCATTGATCGTGCGATTCGTGCGTATCCGCTTGCCATTTGCCTCCGTTTGGCGCACAGCAATACTTTGAAAATCAGGGCATTCGCGTTTGATTTATGTATTTATAAATATTTCATATCAGATGTTAAAAATACCATTTAAAGTAAACACTTTTTGTTTTCTTGTGTGATTATGCAATCATTCGCATAAAACACGCAACGCTAAAAATAAAAACATAAAAACAAAAAGAAGAAAAAGCGTTTTGTCTTTATTCTCGTAAATATACGTTTCGCATTAAATGTAATGTGTTTTAATGCCAATTTCAATTGATTTTCTTGCAATTTCCTGCCGTTGGCTTGAAAACTGTAATTTATTGCTCCGGTGCATGGTAATTTAATATTTTTTGTTGGCTATTCACACGTGGAATTTGTTATTAGTCACTCAGCCTCAAAATATCCTTGAAAGACACATCGGATTGCAAATTCCAGGCGGAATTTTCAACTTGCAGCCAAGAGTAAGAAATTCAATTAAACACAACCACAATTATTATATTTTCTTGACCAGCCTGATTAAATTTCTGATTTAAAACGACAAAAATTACATTTTATCTACTGAGAAACGCATAAAATAGTTTAGAGTATGTTTGGTTGCATACTACATAAGCTGACGCTAAATGTAGGTTAAAAGTTAAAGAAAATCATAACCTATGACATTAATGGAGGTTATTGTTTGACCAAAGTGAATATATCTTATTAAAACATTAAAAACCATTTTTATCGTTGATAATAATTGCCAATTATACAATTTCAACACTTATAAAATACACCTACTCCACATATCAAACGTAATAAGTGTAATAATGCTCGACCATTTGCATATTTTTCTATTCTCTTCAATGCAAACCCAGTAACATACTTATTTATGTATTGTGCATTCGATAATTAGCCGTATGTCAGTCAGTGAACGTAATAAATAATAGTCGTAATGAGTAATGGGAGACATGTAATTTAATATTTTTGTACACCAGCGTATTTAGCAAGCCAACAAACCGTGCTGAAGCTAAACTCTTCGTTGTAAAACAAAAACAGCGAATTGTGACATAATATAAGAGCAACAAGTACAAAAAAAAAACAAGTGAAGTAAATCATGTGTGAACTATTGCTATTATATTCACAGTAAGATGCCAAAGTAAAAAACTCTTTCATTACTTGAGTCTTTTTATTGATTTTTTTATTATGAGAAATTTCTTTGTATTGATGAGATTTTATTCTGTTGACATTTGAATATTCCCAGTACGCACGAATAATTATTTCCAACAATACCAATCATAACATTTATTTCGCCGTGATTTTCAATTTTCTGCGCATGCACAGTAATTATAATAGAGTAATAATTAACATAATTCATAACAACAGTCAATAACAATATTATCTCGGTGTGTGATATTCAAAGCCATGGTTTAAACAATCGAGCAATTAGACAATCACTTTTGTTGCGCTAGGCGTGGGCAAAACGTGTGCCAACCAGCACTCAACAACAACAACAGCAAAAACATGTTCAGTACTTTTTTTACAAAGTCTTCACATTCACAGATAAAATAAATAAATTAATGTTTATTCATTATTATTAATATTACTTATTGATTGGTGGTTCCAGCGCTAGTTGTGGCTGTACTATACCTTCGGGTAGTAGTCCAACATGTCCATGATAATAACTTTCTTCAGTTGGGGCAACAGCAGAGGTGGGGGTTGGATGAAGGTGGTTGTAATTTGGATGTTCGGGCAAATGCTCTGGGATTTGAAGGTCAGTATACCCTGGGTTAAGAAAACCAGGGGATAAGGTACCAGTTGACCCAGGGAGGATATGTGGGTTGTAATTTTCGGGGATGTATTGATGTGCATTGTGGATATGTTGATGATTTTGGTAAGGAGTTTGTATGAGGTGAGCTAAATGACCATGATATTCAACTGATTGAGGTTGTGGGGTTATGGTATTAACTGGTTGTGGATGAGGTTGAAGTTGACTTTGAGGTACTTCTGAAGGGTATTCATAAACTTGTGGGACATGTTCATGATGTCCATGATGATGATAATCATAATAATTAGGTGTGGGTACTACCGGAAGGGGTGCGGGAGCAACAGAAACAGGTACAGCCTGTGTTGGATGAAAATGAGGAGCAGGTACCTCGTGAACCACATCTAAATGTGGTTGGGGTTGTTGTTGAATATACTGATAATGCGGATAATGTGCATGATAATAATCAGTTGGTACAGCTACAGGAGCTACTACCTGTTGTGGTTGAGGAGCAATTGAAGCTACAGGAACCGGAAAAGTAGCTCCCAACGGTAAAACAGGCAATTCCGGTCTTGCTACATGTGTCAACGGATTAAAATACACCACTTGCGGATGTGGTTGGTTATGTACATAATCAAAATGGCCGTGGATGTCATGAGTATGTATATGGGGATGTATATCATGCACTGGTACAGTTGGTACTACTGTAGGTACTACCGTAGGTACAATTGAAGGTACCACCACTTGATGATGATGATCATGTACGATATCATGATGGTGATCATCGTGATGATGATAATTATGAACATGATGATTATCATGTTCATGTACATGGTCATGATGGATATGGTCCGGAGCACTGGGTCTTATTGGTTTGAGCACGGTGACAGCTGGTTTAACCCATCCATTGGTCTGCTGAGGTGGTGGCACGTGTAAAATAGGTTTCCAACCGTTGGAATCTGGTTTAGGTCTCACAGGTAGATGTACAACTGGTCGAGGTCTCATCGCAGGTCTTTGTTTAAAACGCCATCCATTTCTGAGTGGTTTGATTACCGGGACGTATTTTAGATCAACTGGTGTGTATCCCAGGACCACTTTTTGACCTCCTTTTAGTTTTATATGCTTGGCTAGACTATAACTGTCATAAGTAGATCCGAATGTTCTTTTACTGTAATCTTTTTCTGGTAAGTCTTGTTCTGTGTTTTGCAATGGGTCCAAGTCGGGATTCTCTGAATTATCCAGTTTATCACGTTTTACATCCGGTTGGGATGCAATTGTTATCATTACAATTGCTAACAAGATAAAAACCTAATAAAAATTTACATATTTTCAAAGTGATACAATTAATTTTATTAAAAAAACTTACTTGTAATATTTTCTTCATTTTTTAATAGTTTAAGTCAACTTCTAATTAATTATATTGTATAAAATATATTTCTCTGTGTCACTGATACATTGTCCGCACATCAAATGCTCGTCAACACTTTCTTTTCGGTTTTATATCGCCTGCGAGCGTCCGAAAGTCAAGTCCAAGTTTTGATTAGCGATTACATGCGCCATGACTGTTAATGAGACTGCAGTTCAGCAAAATGGCGTCCGGAGTTCACGTGCTCCCTACGTACGTGCATCATTACGATGCGTGAAGAAGAAAGTAATTTTCTTTCCTGCTTGCCAATGGGTGTCACGTTTGTGGACAGAAAACGAATCGGTTTACATTTGACTCATAAGGAGCCATGGCGTTTCTTTTACCATCAAATACCATTATATTGGTGTTATCAGCGATACCGGCTATCGATCATCGCACGCTCCAAATTTTACATTAGGCATTCTTTCACATAACAGTCATAAAATTTTAATTAAGAAAGTTACACATAAATAATTTGTGATTAGATATAACCTAAAAAGTCTATTGCGTCTATTGCGCATGCGCATTGTAAATTATTATAGTGTAACTACATTAACCTAACCTTTAATTTTTGTTTTGACGTATTACATAACCTATTTTGCTTCTTTATCACTTAATTTACTTTTAAAATAAAAATTTTAATTTATTGTTCAGGTACGTTTGTAAATGCATTCTACTAAATGCAATTTGTAAGCAATACGCGCAAAAACATAATTGCTTTCCGATATATAAATTACGGATAAACTGTCTATGTAAATGCGCTCGTGACTCGACAGGTTAAATGTTATTTGGGGCCCGGCGTTAAATGTTACCAACTATATAAATAATTTCAGCAGCCTTGCTGAACTAATCGCTTAAACACGAACGATTTTATTTACAAACTAGATAAATAGTGAAAGTTTACTAATTTAAAACTAAACTAAAGGAATTAAAGGAAAACATTTTCAGGTTTTTTTAAATAACAGATAATTTTCGTACAAAAAGTTTAATTTTCATCACTTTTCAATGTTATAATTACAAATTTTTCAATATATACATATGAAAGGCCAGTGCGTCAACATTTTATCTCTCAACCTAACCTCAACTCAATGCCTCATCAAGATTTTTCGTTAATTATGCCTCCGGTAGTTCTTTTGTTGTTTCACGTTGTGTTTAAACTCAATGCCATCCATGTCCATGGAAACCATGACCACCATAGTATCCAATGCCATCATAACCACCATATCCGCCATGATATCCGCCATATCCGCCATAACCAAGACCGAAACCATGTCCACCATAAGCAATAGGTGCTACATAAGTCTTCGAAACAACTGGAGCGACAGTTTTGATAACAGGAGCGGCGACGTAGCTATGTCCAAGACCATGAGAGTAACCCAAACCATGTCCCAAACCCAAACCGTGTCCATAACCTAATCCATGTCCGCCGTAGAGACCATGTCCGCCATAGTATCCATGATCAATGGAACTGTAGGCAACGCTATGTGCAGGAGCTGCTACTGCCACGGAGTGCCCCAGGAGGCCGTGACCACCGTAGCCCAATCCATGCCCATAACCGCCTGCGTATCCATAGCCAAGACCTAACAAACCGCGTTTCTCGGTTTTCTTTTCATCGCCAGCGTAAACAGCGGCGCACAGAGCCAAAACAACCTATAATTATGTTTAAAAATATAAATTCATATATAAAAAATGAAAGTTTATTTTTATTTGTTTTTTTTAAGTGGAATTATACTTACAATGAGGAATTTCATGTTTGCACTTGTTTTTGTTGGTCTCTTCACCTGGGGACGAAGCACCGACTGAAGAACTGTGGCGCACCGCCGGCTTTATATAGGTAGATCCTTCGGATCTTGCAAGGCTTCACAAGCTTCACATTCATATCTTAACTTACTCATTCCTCATACTCGCACGCGTGTAACACTGACACACAGTCGCGGGTTGTGTCACTGCGAAACATTTTTTTCACAATTTCGCACACTCAGAGTTAATTATGTCATTTGTCCACAAAAAATCAAAAATTTATAAAATTATCTTTTAACTCTTCACAAAAAAATGTTATAAATAATTTTATTTCACTTTAAACTTAAGTATTTTACTAGGAATAAGTTTCTAAAGAAGTAATTAATTTAATATGACTGTAAACAATCAATAATTGTATTTGTAAATGGTATTGACATAACACGTATCAGTTTTGTGTAATAAATCATCAATCGATTGTTAAAGTGCAAGTTTTAATTAGTAATTAATCACGCACCAGGCTGTGAATTGATCAAGCGTGACAATTCATCGCTGCACGAACCCACGAGTATATTCTTCTCTTCTCATGGCGTGTAATTTTTGTCATTTGTTTTTAATGACGTGATCATGGTTTGCCGAAACAGCGAAACAAAATTTTTAATTAGATTTCTCAATGGCGCTGAATTGCGCAAGTCGGGCAATTTTCTCAAATTAGAGGACACCGATTAAATGACGAATTAAAATGAAATCGAAATCAGTGCCATCGCATGTGTGCGCTTGTGTGGCAATCAATTACGCATTATTGTTGAGTCGTATCGTTCGTCAAATCACTTCTTCGCACAACAATTACCTTTCGGAGCGCGCGCGCGCGCAGAAATCGCGAGTTAAAAAGTCATGAGCGAAGACCTTTCATGCTCGACGTAGCCGACGTAGTTTACTCGGTCACTTAAAAACAATACCTATAAAATGCTAGCAAAATATTTACTGCTTGGTTAATTGTACATAGATGTGTGTTGGATATTCATATGTTGTTTAATTTTCGTTTAATTTCGTTCATGGACGTTTTCTGCGCGTTCGTTATCAATTCCTTGTTGTTTGTATCAAATTATAAACCAATTATGACAGGATGTTGTCGGCGGAACGTAAGGTAACAAACATTCACCGGTGAAACTGTTGAGGAACGCAAACGTCGCACAAAAGAACGCTAATTAAAAGAATCAGTACGGTAATGAATAAACGTACTCGTACATAATGAGTACTGCGACCTTAGGCTGCGTGTCGAACGAGAACGACAGTGTGTGTCAAAATATCGTGTGTTTTGCATAATTGTATTTTAATATTAAATTAATTACGAAAATCAATGTTTTCACTTTACATGTTAAAGATTTCTAAGATTTTTTTAAAGAAAATAGTAAAATGTTAAGAATATTACTAATTTTCATCTTGTTATAAGAATATTTTACAAAAGTAAAGAAAAACATTGTAATTTACGCATTATTCTTACATTTTTACGACTTGACTTCTTTTTTACCACAATACAATTATGTTTTCTTGAAAATGACGCAAAACGCATAATAATTATCTCTATTCTTTTGAGATTAATGTTTCGATAAACACTACACGTCACGTTTTATCCATTCTGAATTGAAGATGTAATCAGTTTTAACTCCTTACAATTGTAGAGTAAGTTGTTTAATCCGTTGATAAAGCACGCATAAATAGATAAATATTATTAATAATTATTTATGTGCGTTATTATTTAAGATTATATAGTTGTTGTTTTACTGGGTACGTTTAAGGAGGTGGGATGGTAATGTGAAGTGATGGTGTTGAGTAGAAAAATCTTTTACACGTTTCTGACTTTTTTTCGTGATTGGATGCATGATATTTATATGGGTTTCATACTGCGACGATAGAATAATAGTAGGTATAGTTATGCACTTGTTGTAAATGTCATATAAATACCTATTTATGAGACTTTGATTTAGGTTTCAAAAGAGTTTATACTCATATGTTTGTTAGGTGTAATATTAATGAATAATTATTTATCATAAAATTTTTAGAAAAGTTTTTTTTTAATTTTCATAATAATTTAGTTACTTAGGAGGATGTTTTATGTATGGTTTATTAGCAATTTATGAAATTAACTTTATGGATGTCATTAAAACGTGACGGAAATTAAATTTGCACGATTTCTGCTTCTTACTAATTTGTACTGATTATGAAATTTTGTAACGGATTCAGAGTTTTACAATATTACTTTTGATACGTCAATGTAACATAATTTATAATTACTTTGCATAATTATAAATTTAAAATGTGGCAAAATTGTAAAAGTTAATTTAAATATGTAAATCCGCAAAACTTAATTATTTGTGAAATTCGAGTACATCGAATGATGTAGTTGTTTAATTGTTTAATTTTTCTCGTCAATCTCAAATCAAACCATTTTTACTTCTTCTTTTGGTTCTATATGCTTTGAACAGTTATACTTTACATTACTTTACTTTACTTATGCGTTGAACATAAAATATTACCAAAATATCAATTCCTATGACAAATTTCGTCCAAAAACACGCCCAAAATGTTTTCGCTTCATATTACCATATTATTAACGGCTTTCTAAACTGTTTGCTCACGTTTCAACCCTATGATTACTCCAAAATAGTTTGTTATAAAAGCGTTTGTCATCGATGTCTCCATTCGTAGTTTGCTTCGTGCGCTTCTTCGAGTACAAGACCAAAATTCGTACAACAATGAAAATCGCCGTAAGTAAAAAAAAAACAAACAAACAAAAATTAAAGTCAAATCATCAAAAAAACAAAATATTTCAGGCGTATTTAATGGTAACACTCTTTATGGTGGTACACCTCTCCGAAGCAACCTTTGGCCGCCACAAACACACCAACAAACACAAAGGTCCCTTCGGCGGCCATCTTGCTTCGTGGGGTTCAACCGCCCTGGACGGTTTCCTGAGATACGCTCCCGATTTCTACGATGTTGTACCGAAAGTAGCGCACAAGCTGCTTACCGCCGGCAAGAAACATCGTCACCGCGAACATTACTACGACTACGATCATTACGAAGATGATCATCCTCTAATAACAGCCGGAAAACGCACAATGAAGCGAATTAATAAATTATTGAATAAACCACATGGCGGACATGTTGTTCCGGTGTATCCGGCTTATCATGGCTACGGCGAGCATTTCGGTGGATTCGACCATTTTGGAGGTGGTTTTGGAGGTTATGAGCACTATCCGTTAGTCATACCGCATGGCAGCTTCGACGAGCTGCCCGTACATGGAGTTTTTCACGACTCGATTGATTTTTCACCGCACACGTTTGGGAACAGTTTGTACTCGCATGATTTACATAATTTCGATCACGGCTATCATTTGTAGTCGCGCGTTAATTTAAGTTAAGTTAATGTGGTGGTAAAACTGTAAAGTGAAAGGAAACCAAAGATGGAGGACGTTTTTTATCATATTATTTTTATACTTGTTGATTTTTAAGAAATATATCAACAGAACCGACAATTAATGACCTTTAACACACCTAACCTCAATTATAAATCCTTTTAGGTTAATTTATGTGTACTTACACGTTTTTCTCCAATGAGTAACTGTTGTAGTTGCGTGATGCACGTCGCAAGCTCATAATCTGTATGCTAATTAAAATCATATGATAAAATCAATAATTTGCAATCATTCAAACGTGGAATTCTCAAAATTACAGCTTTAGGTATATAAAAAGCACATACCTTTAAGGTTTCGAGTATTTTGTACAGTTTCACATCGTTTTCTTCGGTTTTTGTGCCATTTAGCGACATGTTGCACGTGTTTTTGCAAGTTACTTGGCTCTCCGACTGTTTGGTTGGTAATAAGCCAGAGACTGATGATCGTGATTGCATGTTCAGTGTTTCCCGGTTTTCTTGATGTCGCGTGTCATCATCGTGCACGTTTACGATCGATTATTACGAGCTAGCGCGGCCAAAAAGCCCAAAGAATGCGAATATGTTCGAGGGAAGAAAGTAAAATGTTGGAAACTTCGGGTTTCTTATTTATTGGGGGTTAATAGGCGACATGCAAGCTATCATGATATAAAAACACACAAAGAATCGCAGGAAAAAGGAAAAGAAAATGGAAGTTTGCATATTTTGTGTTTTTTGTGTTATAATTAAGTAAACAAAAATATTTATTGTAAGAATTTAATAATTAGATTACATTTTAAGGGGTATATTGGGCCAATATGGCGGATTATCCTTATTCATACAATATTCAAAATTAAGTTGTATTGATGTTTCCATTCCGTTTATTTTCGCCGCTTTATCGCCGTACATTTCCAATAGTTTTTTTCGTCTAGCTTCTCCAGGTTGTTCACTTGGCGGAAGTGCCATTTCATCTGTTTCAACCTTGTCATTTCCTAACTTTACATTTCCGCCATTAATATCCGGTTTGGCTGTTTGTTTTACCGAATGCCGCTTTGTTGTTTCCTCCTTGGGTGCCACTTGCTTCCACTCAGCGTCTTTATACGTTAAATATTGCTGCATTTGCTTGTCGTATAATCGCTTGATGTGTTTGTGTAGCATTTGATTTTCCATTTGTAATGCAAGTGCCCTCGACTTCCAGTGAGCCAGTTGATGTTGATGTTGCCAGTCAGCGACCTCTTGCATTGACTGCGCGAATGTTCCGCTCGCTGCTCCAGCTGTGTGTGAGTGTATGTTGTTGATGTCCATTGTTTGGTCTCCTCCGATGTCGAAAAGATCGGCGATGCTTTCGCACAAAGAGTCCTCCGACCGTGCAGCGCGTTTAGCTTTTAATTTCAACAGGAAAAACTTCTTGTTACGTTTACGCCGTAGGCGCCTGTTGCGATTTAATTTGCCTTTGCGCGCTAGTTTTCTCGGGATCGAAGTCAGCAACATAACCTGGCTGGGCGACGCCATTTGAAAATGACAATTTGACCCTGAAATGCGCAAGATTGACGTTCAATGCGCCCTCTACATAAAATACAAATCAAACGCAGCGTCGTTGAGTTTCATAAAAGTTGTGAGGTAAATTACTTAGAATAAAATAGTGTATAACATAGTATAAAGTATTAGCATAAACATTAGTTTTGTTCCACATCTTGACCATCCGTCAAATTGGATTGGTGAGCACATTTTCTTTTATTTTTCCCATCGTTTCCACAATATTTAACGTCTACTAAACGAATTGCGGCAAAAATGGCGGCGATTTCACGTAAAAAGTATCCCATGCCTTCTGCAATCGGATCGCAGATATCACGCATTGTTGTGGCGACATTGTAAACAAAAATCAATGGTGGTTGCACCAATGCGTTAAAAATGGTCGCCAACAGCGGTTTAATGCAATAATCCGAGAAAATCTGCAGCACACCAACTGTTAACGGACGCATAAAACTTTGCAAAAATGACCTGCAACAAAAATTTCAGACACATACAAACATAAAAATTTACAATTTACCTTAGTAACTGCAGAACAAAAGACGTAATAAACGAAAATAATATATGCACGAAACCGAATGTCTCTGCCCAAAACTTCGTCGTATAATTTTCAGTTCTCTCCGCCAATATCTCAGTCATAATAACCGGAGGACGATCAGTCGTGTGATAATACGCTGAATTTCCATGATCAAAGTAATACACATCAACGCGTGTTACACTATCCAATTGTCCTGGTATTTTATCAGCGGCTGCTGATCGTTGGTAAATTGTTTTCTTCTGCATCCTCAGAGATGCGTCCATCATCGGTTCACTCCGATGTTGTAAAGAATTCATGTGTAAACTCGGTGCAAATCCTTGATTTTCATTTATAATCTGTTTTTGGTATTGCTCATCGTTACAATTCGCATTTCTGTAGAGTAACTGCGCTTCACGTCGTCTTCTTCGACTGCGTGGTGAAGTATTCGTCGCTACGGTATTGGTGCAAGGCATGGGATCATCCACAAGATCAAAGACTACTCGCTAAAATGATAGATAACTAGAGGAACCAACATAGTCCAAGTATACACAAAATGGCAGAATATCGTAAATATGTATATACTTTAGGTGCTGATTCAGATTTGGGTTGGAGGATGTTAATCCTATAAAGGTCCACGTTTTGAGAGGGTAGTATAGAGGCTTGTTGTTGGTCTACTTGAGAAGAATTTGTAATGACGCCGTTTCCGTTTGTGTTTTTCGTGAAAAGACTCGAGATCTTTTGAATCGGATTGCGAATATTCAGAAATTTCTTTTCGTTTATTTCGGATGGTAAATTATCCATATATTCTGAGGGTTTTGGATCTATATATATAGCAACACTGTCTGTTACAAGTGAACTTAGTTCGGAATAATCTCGAGGGGTGTTTGGTTCTAGTGGTTTCGCATTTGGGTCCTGTACAAGTTGGTGTATCACTTCTTTATCTTCACAATCAATCTAAAATTAATTTCTAAGTAATTCCACTATCAAAATACGGTGGGTAAATTATTATACTTCAATAATGGATGTGTTTAGGGTTGTACTATCACTAGCTTCAGTTGTGGTTGATAAATCTTGTGATTCAGGACCCATGAGGTCAATAACAGTCCGCAATTCATCCTGAATATTCTCAACTCGACCGTTTGTATGCACGCCTCGATTTTTCGTTGGTACCTTAGTGGGCGTCATTACTTCTTTTTATTTCTACACAATGGGAAAACGTTCTGGTCAAAATGGACAATTAAATGACATTGCGCGCATGATTAATATGACATTTAGAATTTTAATCGTTTAATAAAGTCGAAAGTCCGTTTGTAAAATGTAAAATGTCTGTATTTGCGTGTCCTCGTTTGTATAATGTAAATATTGCAACGAATGCAAAGCCAAAATGTATAGATGCAGCCGCCCCTGACCGGTAAGAATCCAAAATCTCATTCCACTTATTCGTTTGAATACAACAAATAGATATGTTTAATGTTTCAATTGTTTAGCAATTATTTGCGATTACTTACAGTGCGTAAGTAGAACTTTGAGTAATGCGTAATAAGAAGGGGCGATTTGCAGTTTGCAGTTGTTTGAATTATTCGGGAGCCTAAATTAATAAGTACATTGACTAGATAACATTATTGTTTGCGATGGCTATGGCTTATTCTTGGGTTTATATATCAATTCTTAACAAAATTGGTGCAAAAACTGCAAGTGCCTGGACTTGACTTAAAATATCTTTGTTTGTAGCTTAAATAAAATCGCTTACTTTCGGTTGGAATGTAACTTGTTGCGCCTTTTTGCAAATAAACGTCTTATATCTAGACATTTAATACATATCGTTATTTGTAGAATAGGTAATGCTTTTTTGTAAATTTTTGGATAGTTAACCCTCTCTGCGGCGCTCGTACATTCACGCATACAATCGCTCGCGTTTTATACACAGATTAGATGCATTTTGCGTTCATGAATTCAGTCACACACCGAAGGCAAAACGATATACACACACGACAACGCGAAAGCTAGCTCAATGGTCAAATGGTTTCACGACTTCGCATTGGGAGAACAATTAGACGTATTGATTGGCATCTTTATGCCGTAGCAGCGGTTGATGCTCGACGTGACGATCCAAATCGTAGCTTGTCATCCAGTCCTTCACCTGCGGTTGCACCACGCCGCATCCGCACTCGAAGAATTCTGCCACGTTCATTATCGGTCCCTTTGAGAAGGGACTCCGGCCGTGGTTGTTGATAAAGTGCGCGTAGCGACTTTTGTTCATTCGCTCATTTGCAGTCATTCCAAGACATGATATCTGAAATTTTAACATATAAATAGTTTTGTTGCAATTGAAATGAGAATTTGCGGGTTACTCACTTGATAAATCTGACATATCAGAAGCATAAACACCCAAGCAAAGTGGAGGAGTGCGTTGCCAGCGATGAATGCGATCCACGCGTCGCATCGCCCCAACGTCGTCACCACTTGCCAATAACTCTCGGTGCTATTGATCGCGCAGCTTGGTTGACTGGTCCAGAACTGCGTCACGCCAAACAGCATCTGTGCGCACATGACCACCAAACATGCTAGGAAGCCGATGAAGTGCTTGTGATTCTTTGCGCCGATGCAATTCGCAACCCAGGGGCAGTGATGGTCAAAACGCGCCACGCACTTGTTGCACACTGAGCAATGTTTAGAGCGCAGCGGACGACGCACCAGACACGTCGAACAGAATATCGACGGCTCAAAACCCCCGGGGCCTTCTTCTGATAATTCTATTATAGTCTACGCAAAAAAAATTAAAGATTATTAAACATTTACACAAATTATAGATAAACACCGACCTTAAATCTGATATCTTGAGTAGCAGCGATCGTGCCAGCATCAGCTCGCCACGACTTCAAGAAAAAGTACCACAGCGCCATCGAGCTGGTAACGAACACGAAGTTAATGAGCAGCGTGGTGTTGGGCATGATGAAAATGAACCAGGTGATGTAGAACCACGTCTTGGTCGACATATAAATACTCAATGGTAAAATGACCATCAGCCGGTCGTCGAAGAGCACATCGCCGGCGTAGTTCAACACGATGTACATGCAGAGGAATAAAAACAGCTTGATAAGAAACATCAGGTCCGAGGCGAGGACCAGACCGGCGATATAAAACGCTAAAAACGGCGTGCCCACCATGCACCACCATCTCACTCTCTACAAAATCAAACATAATTACGTCAAACACAAGGATAATTGAGCTTTATTGATGCAACTACTAACTTTGTCTTTTGCTATTCTAAAAATTACGTTTCGTGAACGCTGTGTGCTCATGTTCTCTTTCACTTTCTCGGCGACTTTCTTGCCCACCCAGACGGAGGTCACGTATGATTGTAACATTGATAACGGCGTGTCTCCTCTGTGATTCGGTATGTTTAAATTTGCCTGGCCCTGAAATATCATCAATCATTTTATTCTCACATCCAAATAACACTTAAGATATTATTCAACTTACAACTAAAATTAATGTGCTGATAGCTTGTGTATTTCTTGCTAAAATCGCCCAATGCAAAGCAGTATTGCCCTGGTTGTAATCAGCCAGACTGGTGTTTGCACCCAGAGTTAATAAAACCCTTGTAGGATCCAAGGTGCACATCTTCCAGCAGCTCCACATGAGTGGTGACATGCCTCCTCTGTCCTGTGAGTCAGCACTCACGCCCCTGGCTACAAAGTAAGCCACAACTGCTGTATGGCCAAACTGTGCAGCCAAATGAATACAGGAACAGCCTTCAGCATCTTGTATGTTTGCATCTGCACCAGCATTCATTAGAATAACCACAGCACTAAGATGTCCTTGTCTTGTGGCCCAATGCAGTGGTGTTGCATTCAATTCTCCACCAATTGCATCAACCTCTGCCCCTTTGTCAAGGAAGAACTTCATGATATTCCGGCGATTGTTAATCGCCGCCCAGTGCAACAGGGTGACTGTTTCAGTGTCTCTTTGGTTGACATTGTAGCCAGCTTCTATCAACTCCTTTACTCGAGTGAATGCTCCATACTAAAGATTAGTGTAATTTAGGATTGATTGTGTTTTGTTTGTTGTTTGCTCTGGACTCACCTGTGTGGCCTTGACGATGTCGAAGCCGCTGTAATCCTGCTCGACGACGGGCACCACAGGCTCCTTGGGGATGAGGCTGTGGCTGTCCTTGTCCGTTTCGACGCAACCGCCGGCGGTCGCCGCCGCACCACAAGTGTTCTGATACATAGCTGCGCTCGCGAGCCGCGCTAAACTATTGTTGCACCCAGTGACTTCATTCGAATTTATTGCTAGCGAGCAGGTTAGTTGCGTGCTTCCGAACTGAAGGAACAATCGATCCGATTGTTGATGAATGTCAGAAACCGTACACCGTGAGTGCGAGAGGAGAAGAGCGCAAACCGGCGCAAATCGTGCTTGACTGGTGACGCCCTCTGAGCGAACCGTGCAAAAATTAAAACTTAAATTCACCGATTTGTTTAAAACAATTTAATAATCATACAATTAATTAACTAATAATTACTCTACACACGAAAACAACTTATTCAGTTTCAACTTACATGCGTATACTTGGGTACTGTGCACGTTTGTCAACTGATGAATCAATATTGTAGCAAGAATCCGGAATTTTGATAAGATAACAGTCAAGTAGTGGCACCAGGAATTTATTAATTTTGTTTAACATGTGTCACTACCAATACTATATTAATTAAAATACTGCTGAAGATAGTAATGTTTTTATTGTAATGCGCCGACAAACAAACATACAAAATTGATAATTTCGAGCAGTGATATTGAAAGAGTCACGTTAAGGACAAGTAACAATCGCTAAACAATCAAGCATCGCAATGTTATGTTGATACACAAAGATTTTATCAGTCAACAACTTATCGCAGTGTGTGAAACTTCGAGAATTTGCTTAAACGCGTTATTGTCGTCATTCGCATGTTTGGTTGCGCAAACGTTATATAACCTACAACATGTAAATTTAAATTGTATTGCAACAAAACTTTTCACATTTTTAATTGTTTTGTTATTATTTTTGGTTGCAGTTGAAAAAAGTCAGTGTGTCTTCCAATTGTTGTTGTTATTACAGAAATCGGTGAGTTATTTTTATTATTTTTCCTTTTTAATTTAAAATTAGCAATATTTTCTGAATTTTATTTGTAAAATTTATGTACCTATACATTGTAAATAATCTTGCGTGCTTGCGCTTGCATCATTTCGCTTTGTCCGCACGTATATCGGATGTGTTAGTATGTCAGACGACTCTGGGCGATTTTTTCTCTCCATTCATCTCTTCGGCTCGAATCGATTGGCGCGCAGACAGAATGCAAGGCACGCTCTTTAGCTCCTAATTTACAATCCAATCCAGTTTAGTGGCCTTAGTGGCTTTTGCCCATGCGCTGGCTGCTTCATTCAGCATTCTTCATCGCTTCGAACGTGCGTTAGAAAAAGATCTATTGTCGCCAATCGACGCGAGAAACTCGATAAAAACGCAGCGGGCTATAAAAAAACGCTACAAAGTTGTCAAGATTAACGATTTCCTACCGGCGAAACTCCATACCTCCATTACGAGACCAACTCGACATAAAATGGATGAAATTTGAAAACGTTTAGGTTTTGATAAACACATACAAACAAAACGGTGTACACTGTCTTATAAAGTGACAGGAAGACAACGTTTAGTGCGCCTTTTTCGATGGCGTACTTGTCGCGTCGGAAGGCAGAAGATGGAAGAAGAGTTTCTATCAGAAGCTGCACCAAACGCAGACGCGATTTCCTATTTGTAGGCTTGCACGCGCTCGCCATTCGGTGCTTATATGCATCGATACTTATTTCGCTTCCCAGAATCGCGCGTCGAATCGACATCCGACGATGTGTGCGTTCTCAATTAATTTATGGCCTCGCGTTTTGTCACACCTAGGAAAAACGCAGCTAAACGCAAACGATCGATCAGGATTCGATAAAATGGTTTAACGCGTCGGATGGCACGAATTTACTGTAAATGGTCAAAACATTTACGGCTTAAGACTTTAAGTCTTTGAGAAGATGAATGAATGTGGGCGATGGCCACTGGTTCAATCCGAGCTTAAAATCGTAAAATATTACACTCTGAAAAAAATAACATGTGTTTCACCCAGTGGAGGTGTTAATTAACTTGTTACACATTTAGTGTCCCACAAGCGCTAAATACGCTTTTTTTTCTTTCCGAAATGATTATTTTTTATTTGAATGCGGTGTGGTTTTAAATTGAGCGTAGCCAAGCTGTCTGGCGATGATTCTTCGCATTTCCGTTCCGCGTCTGCGTGATGAAATCTCTGTGGAATTTTTATATCGTCCAATAAACTCGTACGAATCGTATAATTTGTAAACGTATCGCGAATCGCCGCTTGTAATAAGAACAAGAACACACTACGCGCCACAACTTACGCATCGAGATATTAAAATTCGTAAGTTTTCACTTACTTGGCCGAAACCCGAATGCGAATCGGAGAAATTTACACATTTTTATTTCATGATGGCGGTCGTGACTCATCTATAATCGCTGATCTGCTTTGCAATTTATACTATTTACATTTGTGGTTATGGTTATGAATTTGAGCAAATTTTGATCCGAAGCAAATTGTTCCGCCGACGTATAATTAACAAACATTAAAATATTTAATAGTTTTGCATATTGAGACTCTACGCACCGCGCATAGATATAATTTGAATTAATTGCTCATAAAACATCCGAAATTATTCATTTCCTTCACGTTTAACTTCACCAAAATCAACATAACCTCAAAAGACCTAAATCCCTATTAGGATGAAAAAGGGAACCAAACACACACAATTAATTTAATTATATTTATTTATTCGTGCAAATACTGTTATTACATTCATCAAACGCGCTCTGGTCGCTAAAACTCTACCGAAATAATCAATGATTTTCTTAATCTTATATCCTATCAGTATAAATATCAGTGAAAGAAACATCACAAATAAAAATAATAAATTAACTACGTTTTACGTTATTTAAGTATTAGTATCTAGTGTTTTTTAAGTCTAAGCTTAGGTAATCAACTCTAGAACTATTTTACATGTGTACATAAAGCCTCTTGAAATTTCAATTTAAAGCCTCTCTCTCATTGTTTGCATCATTACGGAAATTAAACGCGTGGATCCTTGGTGACCTCCTCTACAATCCCCTTGTGGTATTCTTCCTGTGTAATGTCCTCGGACGCTACTTGGAATTTGGCTACCAAATCAGTCTCTTTGATGTCTTCTAATGTGGTCTCTTCGGTGTTGACCTGAGGTTGTTCTGTTATATCAATTTCGTCTATGGCACCATATCCAGTCTGGACCACATCGGCCAAACTCAACTGACTCAGGTCTAACGCCCTGCCACGTGCGTTGATTGTCCTTGTAATCGGGTGATATTCTTCCTTCTTGCGATAACTATGCAGGTGTTTAACTGGGAAGTCCTTGTAAGCATCTTTGTCATAATTAGAGATCTCATTGAGATCTTGTACGTTAATACCGTAGAGTTGTTTGGCAGGACCATAAGTCTTGACCTTTGAATGACCTTGTATGATTAGGTACATAGGCCCTCGAAGTGGTTCCGCAGGTTGTTTGTAATGTTTGAAAAGTGGATCTGTTGTTAAGATTTGTGACACGGTTGTAGGTGTTGGAGGAGATGGTGTGGTTATTGTTGTAGTGGTGGTGTAGGATTTAGTAGTAGCTTTAGGGATGTTTGCTAGAAAAGACGCCATTGTTGATGGGATATTAGGATTTAGCTCCATAACTTTTTCTTTCTTCGTTGCTTCTTTCTTAAGTAAATTGATTAGGTTATTAGAGGTTGGAATTGTTATTTCCGATTGAATGTGGGCTTCCGGTTTGCCTATATTAACATAGGTGTTCATGGCGTCCATATGGGCGTTTTCTACTTTACCCATTTTGTATATCTCGGGTCTACTTGTGCTTGACAAAGAGATAGGACCTAATAGAGGTAGGGGTTGAGGTCTTTTGTTCATGTGTTGATGTGAAACCACCAAGGGAGTCCTCCAGGTCACACTGGTGGAGTCAGCTGTGTGATAATTCTCTTCATCCCGAACATCCCTGATAGAGTTGGAGATTGTACTTGCGTGGTACACTAAATTTCCAGCTTGTACCTGGACATTTTGTACATTTGCGCTGGGATCTGTTGTGGGTCTTAGAAGAGGTGTCTCCGTTCGGGGTAAAGGTGGTGGCATTAATATAGTGTAAGGTATCTGCGATTGGGACTGTGATATACCCTTATACCTGTCGTGTTTATTCTTATGATATCCTGAAGATGGAAAATAATATGGATTTGGGAAGTAAATCCGTTCTCTTTGGCTTTGGTAATGATTCTGTGTAAACTTGGTTCCACTCTCGACATATTTAAAATACGGGTCATAGACATCCCTGCGTGAGTCCGCAGAAGGTGCAGCAACCGGTGGTTGAACACTTGGCTTCTTTGAACTAACACCCAACACCAATATCTCTGTTTTTGGTGGATTACCACCATCTGCAGTGGTTTCTGCATTTGCTTCCGATTGAGGATCAGGTTTTCTTGATGACGGGTCGACCCAGTAGTGAACATGTTCCAAAATCGGTGGTACATAATCATAAGTGGGGTCGTTTTTCAACGGATCTCCGCGTCCAATTGGCGTCCATTGTTCGTAATCCATACGGGGTGAGAACACCGAACGCGCTTCTTGGAATTTTGTCGTGTTTTTCACGTTCTCTGCAACGAAAACAATCGCCAAATAAATTTCATCAAAATGTAAAAGAATAGAAAAAAAAAACGACATCAGGTAAAGCGCATCGAGCCACCGTGCGAAACGTGAAAGTATTCGATTATTCTCGACGGAAACGCTGTGAAATATGCAGGACGTACGTGCGTAAGTACAAGTAGCCGGCGCGCGCGCATTATCGGCTCTTCGACTTTTCGAATTCATATTAGCTCGAGCGCGGAGATATTGAATGAACGCAGCGTGGAGCGGCCGTCGGATTAGCCGGACAATGTGTGCAGCGCCAGCATGTGACACACTAACCCATAGAGCACTGAAAACTTAAGCCACTTAGAGGAATGGCATCAATGGTATCTATAGCAAAATAGATATAAGCATATCAGGACAGGACTACACACAAAAAATAAAATTTTTATTTCAAGAATAGAAATAAACACCTTTTAAACTTTAAACTTTAAAATATTTTTAAAATATATTTATGTTTAAGCCGGTTCTGTATTGATTCGATAATGTGCTTCACAACTAAATGCTTCTTTCGGTGACAAATCTTGACAATAAAAGTCGTAAAGCAAGTTTTGTCACGCGTGGATGTGATTTCCGTACACTTTGTGTACTTTAAGCAAATAACGAGTTATCTTTATATTTAAAATGCATTAACGAGTCGATGTGTGTGACTGTAGGACTAAATAGAACACAACGGTGTTTTTTTTTTCTTCGCCGCGCCACGAAAAAATCTAGAATATAATTTGTGGTAATGGAAAATATGAATTGTTTACCGGTGGCTTGTCTAGTTGAATTCTTCACCAGCTCGCACTCGAGCACGCCCATTATCGAGTACATCACTGCCCAGACGAAGAGCCATCGTCGATTTTTGTGCCTCATTGTAAATTTGACAAAATCTGCAAAGCAAGACAAACATTTATTAATTACGACAACTCAAATATTGATTAATTCTTAATGATAGTAATAATTGTCCATAAAAGGCATTCGTATGATAATTAAAAATCAAAAATCGATGCTTTCACTTTTCAGCTTGCCTAAGATTCATGTTGGCTTTTTTTTGCCCGCGCTGTTTGTAATTTACGTTCGGTGGAACCTAGTTTCCCACCTAGTTTTTTTTTTCTGGTCGGTCGCTTTGGATTGATTTGTTTCGCGCGTTTATAAATATTCAAAGCAACTCCTTTGCCGCGGATGTTTATTTAAATTACGCGCGCGTATAATTTATTGCTGGTATGATATACGCACCTTTTGCGAATGTTTATTGCTGATGGCAAAGCGGGAGGAGTGCTTCGATTCGAGTGCTTTTTTGATCTAGTTCGAGAGTACTAAGGCTATTATTAAAAAATAGCAAACAAAAATCAACGGTGACTTCCAAAAACTATTATTAGGTTTATTCAGAGGCAATTTTTGAATAAAAATGTCAAATTTGAGTTTAAAAAATTATATTTTTCTCGTCTTATTGACTAATTTTTATTTTTTTTAATTCATTTGTGCTCCTTCCATAAGACAACTGCGCATGCGCATTAAAAACCATGGCTTATTGTAGCTTGTGTAACATGATACGCAAGCAGTAAATGTGCGCGTTGTGTTGAAAATTTAAAACATCCAGGCGGAATTTTTGAAACAAAGGTTTTTTCTCAACACCTACGCCGCAAAAAGAAAGGCCCCTCTCGGGCCGATCGCGGCACAATGAGCGATTTATTACGGAGTCGTTATCAATTTTATCGATCGCGAGCTGCAGCCGCGCGCCGGGTTCAAGACGCAGCGGGCGTATTCGATGAGTCATTTCGTGTAACAATGAAAAAAAACCAAGCAGATTCGTAATCTGGTAATCTGGTACAAGAGCAGCCAACAACCGACGAATAAAATGTATTACATGAACTTAAATATAATCATAATTAGAATAGAACCACCAACGCGGAAATCGCGCCGAAAAATCTCGCTAGAGTCACACATCTTTTAATATGCTCATAAACTTTTGTTGTTAAGTTATTATTTATGTATATGTTGGATGTATATGTGTGTGGCTGCTTTATGTGCACGACAAATCGTGACCGACGTGTCTTATATTCTCGAATCTGGTCGATTCTCGGTTCGCGGCGTTGTAAAAAGTTCCGAAACAAAATCGCCGACAGGCCGTTAATGCTCTTAAATAATGCACACATGAGGAGTTCATGTCCGAGGCGGTGTACGAGTTGTACAACTGTGAGAATCGACTCGAACGCGGACGAATCGATGTGGAAGCAATCGAAGATTAAAGACGAAGGCGCACATAAATTGCGACCGACGCAGGAATTATTATGTGAGGTTATGACGCTCGAAGATGTTATCGAGCTGCATTCGCCGTACATGCCGGTCGGTCATAAACATGAGCAAACATTGCATTAATAAAACGCTTTCCTTAAGCGTAAATTGCAAACAAACTTTATTTCACGTGTGTGTAGATTACTACTTACTAGGTGAACTAAGCATGGATTTTTTTTTGTTAGTTGGTTGCCGAGTTTTGTATCACATTCTTTTTCATTTGATTATTTCGTTTATTTCGCTTCATGGTTTCATTTTTACCGAGCGTGATTCGCAGTCGCGCAGATTCGCGTCTTAAGAATGATGAGTAACGATCGCCGGCGTATTAATAATAACGGGCTGCAAATTTGTTTTAAACTTTCTCTCTCCCGGCGTGGCGCGGTGCGGCGTTTTCCCACATCGCCGCCGACTAACAGTAATATCTAATAACAAATTATAAACGCTCGTAATGGCAATAATGGCTGATGGTCGAATGAAAGAAATGGAAACAAAACGCGAAACGAGTTGCGCACAAAAAAACGAAATGAAATTGACTATATTACGGAGCACGCTAAGCAGCAGAGTGAGAGACCAGAGAGGATGAGACGGCCGACAAAAAAGTAAAACGAAATAAGTAAAAGCAATATCGGTACAAAGTAAGTCAAATTTAACTTGGGTACATACTACGGTCTTTATAGTAATATAGTAATAAGCAACATTTGCTTTTTTTATTGTGAAATGCAGTTGGAGAAGCATATTTTCTCATAGTCTTAGACATTTATATGAGTTTGTATGTTTGTGACGCTTTCATACAAAAACCACTCAATAAATTTAGGTAAATTCTGGTTTACAGATTATTTTGATTAAGGAAAAGTAAATAGGCAACGTTTTGTCGCAAAAATTTACTCAGAAGGTTGTAAAATAAGGGATGAAAGTTTGTTTAGAGTTTTATGCAATTTTTATTGTGTATAAAATTTTGTATGATAATTTTTCCAAAAAACTGCTTGCGTAGTTAAATCTAGAATTTTTTTTTATTTTTTTATCGAAAAAAATCATAATTTTCAAGTAAATACTTTTCGATTAATTAATAAAAATGTAACACATTAAAATATTGTCTAATACCAATTCTAGGAATTCAATTTACGACTAATTCCATCATTTACTAAGCAATTCAAATCCACTAAACGCCATTTTATGTGCTAAAAATGCAAAAATAACATAAAACTTTTATTATGTGTTTTTAATTTGTTTTGCTAAAAAACACAATAAATAAAATTCCTTCTCTTAACGAGAATCATAAAAATGCAACAAAATATCAATAAACCGATACATAAAAACGCTGCATTAGCGGCGGTTCGCACCATTAACATATTTATTTATTGCCCACACTTTAGAAAAGTTTATAAACTTTTTGAAAACAAAGCTTTATTACTAATACGAGTGACTGCAGGAAGTTGGGTGTGTTCGGCGCGGGTCAGAGCAACACCAGTAACAATTTCTTTAAATATCGTGCCGGGCGCGCGCACGCCTCGCACATCTTGCGAGCGATATAAATCATAAGACTGCGGGCCGCACTTGCGTGAATTTGAATTAATGAACATCCAACCAACAACCGTCGGGTGTAAGTGCGCACCGCGCGCGCACGACTTAAAGGTGTCGTGAGAACCGGGCGTAGGTGTTAACGCGCTGTCAACCACGTGAGGAACACGCCTCGGCAATCGCAATCACCGCCAGCATCGGTTACATTTGTTTCTCGTTCTTCGACTTCGGCGTTGCGCAACTAGAAGACCGACCGGAGACGCGTGTTCGAGTGCGGAAGAAGCGCGCGCGCGATGGAGATAATTAAATGCAAACAGAATCAAATCGGGCATTACGCCCAAAATGAGAAGGAAGCCGGCAGTCGAGCGGAACGCACTTTAAGCGGAGTAGTTGGACTTTTTACATTTCTCGGTTAGCTACTAAAAAGTAGTTGGTAGTTAAATGTGTTGTGTATCTTTAATTTTAATTAATTAAACGCCAAACAAACTTTCACTAAAATTGTAGATACGCGTTTTTTCCGCTGAATTATTAGCGTAGTTATATGTCTGGAGATGATTTAATATAAATTTAATTTAATTTGCAACGTCATTTTAAATTTGGGTATAAATTACTCAGAAATAAACTTTTTTAAATGAAAATAAGGTTAATTTAACGTAAAAAAATAAATTTTCACGTTTTTATCGTAAAACTGTGTTGCAATGATAATAAAATTAAACCAAACGTTTTAAAAACTAATTTTGGCAATAAATTTCAAAATTTGATTCTTCAGGTCCCAAAAATGATTTTTTTGTTCTAAATGTTAACAGAAACAAAGAAAAAAATGTGAGTCAATTTAAAATGAACAATTACAGAATAATAAACAAGTAAAATTTGCTCTTTGCCTAATTTACCATCGTTATTAATGATGGCCATATGCAAATTTACTTCTTTGCCGACGTTGCCGACGAGCAAAATGTTTATCGCATACAACTTACATCTTTACAGTTTAACGGACATCTAATACCTTCTATCGCCTGATCGGCTGGCAATTCACCATAATGAATGAATAAACTCGCAGCCATTTACAATTTAAACAAACAATAAATATGTAATTTATTGTTAATTTGTGGGTCGCGCGGGTCAGTCGAGATCAGCCAATTAGGATGTAGTGATCACAACTACAAATCAAATCACTTGATAGCAATTACACCGCACTAACCGCAAAATGGGTGTAATTAGCAAAGTTAATTAAACGCAAACAATGAAATATGAAGTAGGTGACAGTTAACTGCTGTACAATCAAGAAATTACCAGATAATTCAAATTAATATTAACAAAGACCATACGCGATATTTTATTAAATTAAATTTAATATCAGACATTTTGTTTTTTGAATGTCGCAGAACCGGCTGCTGTATACTATGATATTGGATGCATGCACGTCGCTCACTTTTAATTAGATTAGATTGATTTGCATTCGGTTTTTAAACCTCTAATTTAGATTAATAAAAGAAGCAGTGAAAAAAAGAGCGAAATTTAATTTTTGATTGGAGTCATCTCTAATATGATTGAATAGTCGTGTTTTGGTTGGGAACATGTCGACTTCCGCAAACAACGTCGAAGCTTAATCCTTAATCTGCGGATGCATTGTTTATGCAAATTAGCAAAGTGAAATCGATATTGATTTTATAATATCGTTATAGTTACAAATTGTGGGTTTGCAGTAGTCACGAAAGTGATATAGTCGCGTTGCCTTTAGAGTATATTAGAATAACACTTGATTATTTTAGTAATTAATTAATTACTCGTAAACTAATCATCCTATAGTATTGATTTTTTGAACATGTTATGGAGAATTAAATTCTGCATTCATTTGTGTAAAAATTGCATTGAAAATATTTTTGAATCAGAAGTTACGGATCATTTTATCTGATTTTTAAATTAAAATTTACAAATTTCAAGTTTAATTGTTCATAACTTGGTGAATACTATTTTTTTTGAAAATATTCTTGCTTTGTTGAATGAATAATTTAATTAAGAATATATTTTTAGAGAAATAATCAATTTAGCATAATTTATTATTAAGTAATTAATTAAT